AAGAGAACAACAAAAATACCTAATTTGATTGATCTTACAATACTTGTTTGGTGACCTGTGTGTTAAGACTAGCACTGAGTTTATCAGTTTAACAGTAACAGTGCACTGCTCACTGGAGCTAGGCTGGCTGAGCACAAACAGTCCAAATTCTTCCTGATTCAGAGCATTTGCTGCAGGTGCTGTATTGGAATATTCCTCAAATAATCAATTTTTGGGAATCCCCCTCCTTAAATTTTCCACGTTGTCCTTGCTGTATCAGCCATCCTATGGTTGTTACACTGTATACTGCTTAATTATGTCTGCCCAGTTCACTGCAAGGAGGAACTGATGATCAGTGTTTTTGAAGAGCAGTGCTGTTAGAAATAATGAGAACATCTGGTCGGTCAGCAGCCGTACTCCAAACGGTGCTTCATCTGCACTGTGCTGATGCTTGGCTTACAGCCGGGCGTCCATTTCACTCCAGCAAACAGCTTTCGTTTCTGATAATTTTAACACGGGAGTCGGGGCTTTCAGCTGCCTCTGACCTGCAGCTAGTAACGTTCTGACTCCAGGCTTAACTAGCTGCTCTGTAGAGCTGGCAACATGGTTATCTTCATCTGGTTCCTGTGAAAGCATGTTGTTGGAAGAGTTAAGCCTATTCTAAGTATTTTCATTTCTCAAAATGCCAAATATTAGTGCCAAATCCTTCATATTTTTAGCACTTAATGCAGAAAGATTTAGAACTCTGTTAAAGCTGTAAAAAACCCTTTTATTTTCTGAACTGAACATTCTCTTGCATTAACACAGAGAAGCAGCAATAACCAACTGGAAATTTGGAACACTGATCTCTTACACTCTTGACTAAGTCACAAAATGCACTAATGGCTTTATGTTTGTTTTTACTGTCAGGTCTTAAGCACCCGATTTAAAGACCAAACCATAAAAGCTGTCATGCACATCAGTAGTAGGAACACCTAAGAGATAAATAAATCATATTTCAATTTCTGTATGCCTTAAGCTTCATTTAACCCATTTTGTTGGCATTGCAGTCCCAGAGGTGGAAGGGGAAGTGGACAGCATTAGTGCCCTGTGCTCGCAGATCACCAGTGCGTTCAGCATGCCGTCGGAGGACCCTTTCTCTTCAGCACCCATGACAAAACCTGTGACAGTGGTTGCCCCACAGTCTCCTGCCTTTCAAGGTCTGTGATTTCTTTGCTTGCTGTGGTTGTGCTGGATGAGGCTTGAATGCACATAATGTTGCTTTCCAGTAACACATGGCCTTAATTTCTTGTGTAAGTCTTGCATCAGTATTTTGGAATAATGCATCTTGTTTTATTCATCCCATCTATTTAGTTTTTATGTGGTTTTGTTTTTAACAAGAAGTTCATGCACCTACCACACGATGGTTACCTGTAAATGGGACTGGCTTTGAGATCATGGCTATTTCAGCCAGTCTGCCACCTGGGCTGCAAAAGTCTGAACAGCGGTGTGTCACAGGAACCAAATCCTGCAAGGGAAGGAGATTTTGTGCCACCCGATTACCATTTTTCAGACAAACTCCCAAATAAGATGTAGAGATCCAAACTGTAGCACGCTTGGTAGCCTCTAACCTTCATTCCACCAATGCAGTTTTATGCAAATAGTGTGGAAAAAGAACCTCTCCTTGTTAAATGTAGTGATTATTTTGCATCCAAAATCTGGTGTTCTTTGGAATCTAAATTTAATCACTCTGTAACTTCCTTCTGGTGAGCCAGATCTCTTGGCTATAAATACCCAACAACTTTAACTTTAGTTATCAGCGCTGACGATCTCATCAACTAAATAAAAATCCACCATCCCACAAATGTGAACAAGAGTTGGCTTGGTGAAACGGAATTTATGTGCCTCATCAACTGTCAGTCCAGTTTGGCTAATTTACGCAAACTGCTGTCATGTGGAAGTGTTTAAAATTGTTGTATGTTAATGGTTACGACATGGCCCACTAATACTCCAGTCATGTGCATGCCTTGCATGAATTAATTGCACTGATGTTGTCTGCTCCCATTTTAGTTAATGGCACTGCCTCAGCCTTCTGTGTGCTTGCTGCTAAACCATCCCAAGCTGCTGTAGTGTCCACAGCTATGCCAGTTCGTGAAACCAATCCCTGGGCTCATGCTCCTGCTGCTAATACTGGAGCTGCAGCCATGGTCTCTGGTAAGACTGGAAGTAGATCCTGTGCGTTGCTATGAGAGCTTGGATCAAAAGCGTAATTGAGCTCCTGAGACGCCTGTGTGTGCCACTTGATGAAAAGGGGAAGGAACAGGAACAAAAGCTGGAAGTAGTAGCCTTTTGCACAAGTGGATGGAGGGAAGCTATGAACTTGTAGGTTCTGGGTCTATAAGGGAGACCGTTTCTTATTTTGGCAGGGTTTTAGAAAAGCTGATGTTGTAAAAGGAAGCTATCTTATTTTCATTAAAATAGCGCATGCTTGAGGATGAAGAGATCTGTACATGGACCTCCAAATGATTTCTGTACATTGTTCCCAGCCAGAGAGAGATCACGCTCGGTACTTAAAAGCTTTAGAAATTAATTTCTTGTGTCTAATAAGTTTTAGTTTGTCCCTTCAGTTGTCTTTGCCTACATTCACATCCAATGTGAGGTAGTAATTTACCACTGTAAAAACAACAGAGAACTGACAGTTTTAACTAGTTGAGACACTTAGGCCAAAGGAAGAGTACTGAGCAGTTGTCCACTTCCTAAAAACTGAATAACTGCTTTTCTCGTTACATTGAAGAGTTGGTGAGGTCCTATAGGAAGGAAAGAGAGTTTGAAACAGGGAGAAAGAAGACTGCAGCATTCAGCTAATGAAGGATGGTTTTGAAAGGGGGAGAGGAATGGAAATTATGGTATTTTTAATTTTTTTTTTTAAATCACTGAAGATAAATGACTTTAAATAGAGCTGTATTTATAACAGAAAAATCTGAATTGTTAGAAGTTGAGGATTGCAAGACTTTGAAAGGGTTATCAGCCTGAGTTATAGTCTGGGACAGAAAAATGAATGTTGCCTTGAACTTCCTGCTTCCTGTACCATTACATGCCAGTACTATAAAAGGGTAAAGCCTGAATTTAGAAAATAAATAAGGAAAACAAACCTTAAAAACAGATTCTTGAAGATTAATGTTCCAACAATCCACCATTCCTGAGCTGTGCGTTCAGAAACTGATACTCCCATGTTAAGAGTTAGAGACTAGATTATTGCCACCGAGCAATAAAGGCCTGCCCAAATATCTCAGATGGCTGCTATTAAAAACAAACAGCAAAACAAAACAAACGCCCACAAAACAAAAATCTGCTCTGTAGTGATGAAACTTTTCCATCCCTTCTTGACCAGCATCTTCCCTAAAACAGGGCAGTACACTGGATGCAAAAAGGCGCTTCTGCTATTAGCAGCGGTCTCAGCTGCGGAGGGAAGAGGCCTGGCTGCTGTTGTGCATCCTGCGGCCTGTCTCACTGATAAAAGGGTGAGGAACAGAACCACTGATGACTTCCCTGTGCTTTCCTCCCCAGGCACCGAGTGGAACAGCAGCACCCCAGGCACGGCCTCGCCAAGTCTCTTCCAAGGAAATCACAGACGTACTCCCTCGGAGGCAGACCGCTGGTTGGAAGAGGTCTCCAAGACTGTCCGTGCCCAGCAGCAGCCAGCCCCCGCCGCACAGCCGCCACTGCAGCCCCCTCCGGCCGCTTCCCAGGCAGCAGCCGCCTACCCCGTGAGCACCTTCATTGCGCCTCAGCCCGTGCCGGTTGGCGTGGTGCCGCCCATGCAGCCACCCTTTATTCCAGCTCAGCCCTACGCCGTAGCAAACGGGATGACGTACGCGGCAGCCCCCAGCGTACCTGTGGTGGGAATCACACCTTCCCAGATGGTAGCCAACGTCTTTGGCACGGCGAGCCACGCTCCGGCTGCCCATCCGCACCAGTCGCCCAGCCTCGTCAAACAGCAGACGTTCCCTCAGTACGAGGCCGGCAGCGCTACGGCCAGCCCTTTCTTCAACCCGCCCGCGCAGCACAACGGCTCTGCGGCTTTCAATGGCGTTGACGGTGGCAAATGGGCTGCAGAGGACAAGCACCCCCAGCCTCCCGCGGCCGCCCCGCAGGTAGACCCATTCGAAGCACAGTGGGCAGCGCTGGAGAGCAAGGCAAAGCAGCGCACGAATCCCTCCCCGACCAACCCCTTCTCGAGTGATTTACAGAAGACATTTGAGATTGAACTTTAAGCAGCCCTGTAGATAAAGGGAGCAGAGGGGACTGTTTCTCATCTGTTTGCTTTGATAATCCCAAAGGTCCCTTCAAATGAAAAATGGGTTAGAAAGAGGGAGCAATGATGGGGAGGATATAAACGTATGCGGAATTTCATGTGCAGTTCTCAAAATAAACCCTGGAGCCACCTCGCTCTGCATTCCCTCTTCACTTGGAAAGCTGGAAGTTACACAGCAGAGCTGGGCGCCCGGTCCTGCAGAAGCATCACGTATCTCAGAAAGGATGGCAGACCTCAGACCTGCGACCTTCCGAGGCCCCGTGAGTCCTGGATGTTCCCCCCCCCAGGGAAAAAGCAGAGTTGGGGTGGGGGAAGTAAGGAGGGAGGTTGTCACCTGTTTAGCAGAAGCTGGCTCTGTGGAAAAAGTTGAGCTTCCATTTTGAGTAACAAAGTGAATATTATATGTAAAGACTAAAGTAAAGCCAAAATCTTTATTTTTATGCATTTAGAATATTTTAAATAGTGGATATTAAAAGATGTATGAGTTGTAAGTAATCTTGCCAAAGGTTTAAAAAAAAAAGGGGGGGGGGTGAATGTAAGAAATTGTACATAAGATTGATTTATCTCCAATTCTTATTGTAAGTAACGTTGGGGGGTGGAAAAGGGGCTCTAGCTTGTTCTTGTATCTGTTCATTGTAAGTAGCATATTGCAACAACAATCACAACCAATAAGTCATTATATTGTAGTTTTAAATAATGAAAATTAAAGAACAGTATTGTCATGGTCTGAAAACCATGGGGAAAATTAACTGTTTTTTTATTGGAATCAAGCTACATGTTATATATAGTACATTTTTTTTTTCTTCCATGTATTGCTGCAGTTTTCTTGTCTTAATCTATTGGTTCTAACACTACTGTGACAAACTTACTGTAACCATATCTAACATCCTGGGGCTGCCTAGGAACCCATTTTTTGTTTGTCTGTCAATAGATCTTAGAGGTTTTTTTAACTTGTTTTTATTTTTTCCATGGATTTGTGAAACCTTGTGGTAAGGCTGCAGCTGGTCCAGGTTCTGCCTCTGGTGACTTGTGAAATCCATCTCATTTTAACTTTACTTTTAAACTTTGGCCTTACAAGCAAATGTAAGTTATATATATTTGTACTGATGATTTATAATCTGCTTTAACAGAAATAAATGTTGGTGGTAGAAGCACCGTCTGTGAAAGCTTTATTTCCCCTCTCCCCATTTGATTTTCAGGATTTGCCCTTCTGGCTCATGATATTTCAACACTTCTCATTTTGTACCCCACATTATGTTACCTTGAACTTTAAGACTGAACTTGCAAATATCCATTTGACCTATAGCTGTTTAAAAGCTCTGCAAAGGAGGGTTTTAAGGGAAATATTGGTTTCTGGGTTTGCAACACTGGATTTTCTAATATTGAACACTTACAAAGACGAAAATACAAACATTGAAAAACAGGTGAAAGGAATACTCACTTGGGCTTTCTTTTCCTTTGCTACTAAAAGGAGGATCCTAAGGGCTGCCCAGGATGACACCATATTTTCACTCCTTTCTGCTCTCCCAGGAAGCTGATACCCATCCTATCAGTGTGGTTGGTTTTTACTGCGTGCTTACGTGCATGGTGTGAGATATACTGAAAAATACCAAGTCAGACTTTGTAACCTGAAAGGAGAGAAATGCTGCCTTGCATCAGCCCTAGCATTTGAGCTTGCCAGCAGTTGCCATTTCCAGGCAAGTACAGAGGTAGGCTAGAAAATGGGGGCTTTTTTCTTTACCGGTTTCTTACCTTAAGCATACCTGTGTGGAGTACAGCACCAGCAGCAATCCCCAGTACCCTATGGTATTGGAATTGGTACCTGTGCTTATTTGTCTTTCAGAAAGCTAGCAAATAGTCACATACGCTTAGAGATCTAATGTTGGTTGGGTCTGTGGTTTTTGTGGTTTTTTTTTTCCTTTCTCCTACTAGTTCCTTGGTCTGTCAGAGCTGTGCCCAGAGATCAGATGGAAATAGCTACACCCTTCCTCTGCCTGGAAGATAAGGGTAAAGGGGATAGAATGACCTTCCTATGATCCTTTTTTTGGAGAAGAAAACCACTACCTTGATTCTCAAATAATATAAACATTTGATTAGGAGGTTAAGTGATACTACACAGAAGAAAATTCTCTGCTTGCCAAATACGAAAATGCAAACACACTGCTTTAGTTAACTAACTGTTAGAGCCATGGCATGTATTTGAAGCAACACACTGCCTTCAGATCCCATCCTTATTACCATGGTTACACATCTGAAAGGAGGTCAAGTAATAAATGAGAGAAAAAAAAAAAAAAAAGAATGTTCCTTCAGTGTTAAAAGTCCAGTCTGTCAGAACACAGATGCCCACTACAGCTCTCACCAGGTTGGAGACAGAGCTCCCTGACCATGCTGTGTCTAATCATACGGCCTAAATGAAAGCTGACTGCACTATTAGAAAACAGGGCCCCTGAAACAAAGAAAGGGATGGTATTACAGAAATGGCAGCTCATTCTGGGAGAAAGGCATCTGATACAGGCACCATCCACTTGGAACCACCTTCCTGGGGGGGGCTCACAGCCCCTTGCTGCCCTCTGTGCCTGCCACACAGGACTGAAATGTACACAGCCTCTCATCAGTCCATGGTCTCAAGAAGCAGAGTCGTACCATACAGTTAAAAAAAAACAAAAAAGAAAAAAAAAGCTTTTTAACTGTCTGTAGCCTCTTGTTCCTTTACTGGACTGCTTTTAGACTGTTCACTTTGTTCAGATCTTAAAGCATTGTGTGCAGTACTGAACCCACACCTGTGCTGAAGAGAGGGCAATCATTAGGTTGGTAATTCTTATTTTTAGATGCAGCTGAACTGATTTACTGGATTTAGAGTTCAGACCAGCTTTAGGCTGCCAAGCCTGGGGATTTACACCCACATATTACTGCTGCCCTGAGTGCCAGTTCTGGACTGAAGGAGAGGAGAGTGGTGTGATCACAGTCCAGAATTAGCTTCCTTTCATAGAAGCCTTAAATTAGAGAAGCAGAACTAGGAAAAAAAATCAAAACACAACCTAAAAGCAACACACTAAAAAACACAAAGCTGTCGCAAAAAACAGCCCTTACTACCCACCTGCAAACATCAACATCAGCACTACACATCACTGTACCAGCAAAGAAGTATAGCTATATCTATACATCCAATAAATGGTGCCAATTAATACCAGCATCCACCCAAGACTCAGAAGGTAGTGCAGAATGAGGCTGCTTCTAGGGCTAGTGCTATGGAGAAAGAATATTGAGACTGCAGAAAAGCTTGGAAGGTCTAAGTCTGTTTTGAGTTACTGAAGTTGTGCCTTTGCTGGGTCAACAAACCATCCTATACTTACCATCTTACACACACACACACACACACACCTTAATCCCCAGGGATTTCTCTTTCAGTGCCTCATGCATGCCAGCTGCCACTCTGTGTTCTGTATTAGTTCAGACAGGAAGGATGCTTTTTAGCTCTAACTGCTTTGCCTCTGTGTCTGGAAATCCCTGTTTGTTGGCACATAATAGCAAGAATCAGCCCTGGCCACATGCAGACCCAAGTGTTTCTGGAGCTTACTGGCAACAGCAGATCATTGGGAAATTTATTCTAGCAAGACAAGTATCCCTACACCTATTTACGTGTTTATATTACTCTCCTCTCCAAGCTGATACCCAGCACAGTGCTAGCAAAAGCCCATACTTGCATTAAATTCAACAGCACGATTCTGGCTCTGGAAAAACCAAACTAACTTCATAATACTTCCCAGAGATACTGATGTTTAATCTGCATCATCTTAGAACATACTACAGTGTTGTTATGTTAATGATCCCTACCATTCAGAAAAGGCTAAATACATTTTTCCATTTTGTCCAAAGCTTTCTGTGGAGCATTGCTTTCTGCATTTCAATCTAGAGCTGAATACATTTAAGTGGAAACCAAACTGACCCAAAGATAAATTCTACTTAGGAGCGCTGTAATAAAACAGCTACAGTACGTAGCTGCAGTAGGTGACATCACAGCTGCATCTCCAGAGCTGGCAATCTTACAGCACCTCTGTGCTAATTTTACATGCACCAAGCTGTTTGTCATGGTCAGATTCCTTTGCTCCTCAGCATTATAAATGTTCCTCTGTCATTAGTCCTTCTGTTAAGACGGCTCAGGCCCATCTTAAGACACTTCAGCCTATGGTGCTTTTTTGAGCTATTCTCTTTTCCTTATATGAAGAATCTTTCATTCTGGTTATTTGCTCTCTCTAAAGTCACTTGGAGGGAGTATTCCCAGTGCTACCTCCTTCTGTGAAAAGCAGCAACTACCATTATGTGGAGAGATGGATGAGCTATTGCAAGGCATACAAGGAAGACATTGCAAGGAGTCAGAAGAAAGAAGTTTGCAATAAACCTGAGGATGGTGGTTCTCCCACCTTTTGGCAATTACACCCTACACCATTAAATCTGCCCTCTTGAGCTGCCAGAACAGTTTCATACAGTAGAAGAACAGAGTTCAAAATTCTTGTCTTGTCACCTGCTGTTCCACACGGCCTTGGTGGTGTCTGTCACCCACTGCGATGAGGAGGGCTGTCGCGTGGCTGGTAGCGAGAGCAGCTGGCACAGCAGAAGCTGGCATAGTACTCGTTACTGCAGAGCTGGGCCTGCACGATCAGCCCACAGTTGGCGAGGTGCGGCTGGTCCACACATTCTCTGCTCGGGTCCACAACGTGATTCACAGTTGCTGCAGCCAAGTAAAAGGTAAAGCCAGCTGAGAACACAGCCGGGGCTTGCCTCCAGGTTTATCTTCCCCTCCCCAAAACCACAGCAGGTTCCCATTTTCTCCATCCTTCCAGTTCTAAGGGGAATTGTTTAATTACAGTCCAAATAAAGGACCAGAGAGAGAAAATGACAACTCTGGTTAGATAAAGAAAGAGAAGGCAGTTTCTGGGACTGATTCCCGGTGCCTTGGTGGGGGGCCGTTTCCACCACCCTGCTCTCACACCCACCCAGAGGCTCCTGCTGCTCCCCAAAGCCCGGGACTGGTGGTGGATGGGTGCATGATGGGCAGCCTTCTAGTAATGGACAAGAGGCAGCAGCTCTGTGCCAGGAGAAGTGGGGAGGACAAGTTGTACTCACTGCTGGGCCTGCTCCTCAGCACTTTCACCTCTGTGCTGGCACTGACAGAGTTGCTGCTGCTGTAGGCGCTGCATGTGTAGGATCCCTCGTCAGCCAACTGAACATTGCTTATGGTCAGGCTTCCATCCTGGGACAGGTGGACGCGGCGGCCATCTGCCCTCACTGGGACTCCATTTCTGTAATGAGAAGTGTTTTGTACCACCGTTCCCACTCCTGGTAACTAAAGGAGCTCTTTGTACTCTTTGGAATTGATGCTCTGTGAAAGGGGTAAATTAGTACAAATTCAGCACAAAGGAAGAAGTCTTCTTTTGCCATAACCTGGCTCTACAATTATGTAGGAATATGAGCCTGAGCAAGTCTACATTCATTAGTCCACTGCCACCGTGGGAGGTAGCTAGCTGTGTGCTCTGTATATGGTCTTTGTCCTTTCCAGTATGACACATTTTTGAGGTTTGAGGAACTAGAAGAAAAGCCACAGTGACTTTCCCTCTCTCCGGGTTGTGGTCTGGCAGTCTTGTTTGGCTGGCATTAGTAGCTTATGCACATTGCCTGATGAACATATGGGGTAGTGAGCAATGCAACCTTTTTCCCTTAAAAGCCTGTTTAGAAAAATGTTAAAATATCAGCAAGAACGTAACCATTCTGTTCTTCCTGGAATACTCTGTGCATGGCCAGAAAACTGCCTGAATTATGAACTTCTAGTTACCAAGGAAAGTAAACTTTGTTCACTGAAAAGAGTTTCATTCATAGCCTGATAATTCAATCATTTTGTTGACTCAAATACCAAACTTACATATGGAAGAATAGCTCTCTTTGTGAGATGGCCCGCTTCAGTCCAACCCCTTGGATCAGAGGGATTGAAACAATTGCCAATCCATGTCTATGGATCCTTTGCAAGAAAGCTCCAAAATTGAACTGATTATTTTCAAATGGAAAAAAAAAAAAACCCACACCAAATCCACTACATACTTAGACAAATTTGGTTTAACTATTAAAATATCATCAGAAGAAGACAACTTCTCTCTTACTGTTACCAAAACACTGTGAATTGTCATTCATTCCCATCTGGCAATAAAGGGAGAGAATTGCCACAGCACAAAGCTGAGAGAATAGATGCTGTTATTGTAGAGGCTAAAATGTTTTCTAGTTTTAGTCACAGAGAGTTCTCTAGAGACCAATTATAAGTCATCCTCCAGTTACTCACTTTGATTTTTGGTATTTTATTGTCATTTGCTTGCTAGCATGGAGCTCCTCTGAGCTCCATGAAGTCTTACCTTAAAGTTTGCCTCTACTCATTTCTCTGAAATGCAAACTCGGTGACCATTGCCCACAGAGATTTTGCCGAAGATTTTTAGGTTAACCATTAGGTGGATTAGGAAAGGTGAGACGATGCCATTGGGAGCGAACCACAGCTCTCTCCCTTGCCTAGCAGGCATCCTGCATTACGATTTGGAGGATAAGTGATGAGGTTCAAGAAGAGACAAGAGAGAAATTTCACCTTGCTTTTGCTCACCTTGACCACCTTATATTCACATTGTTGCCAGTCACTGTACAATGAAGTTGAGCAGTTTCTCCTTCAGATACCTTAATGCTTGGCAGAAGACCAGTAATCCTCAGTCCTCCTAAACCAGAAGGTGAACAGTTACTAGCAAGAATACAATGCTATGCTGCCCCAGGTAGCAGAAGCTTCTAGGCCTTGAACCAGCATGTTTGGAACTAGCTGTAGCTATTGCTACGGGGAATGTCATATATCCTAAGGGCTTTAGCCCGAGCCAGGGCAAGAAATGGAGATTTCAAAGAGTATTTTTCCTCCAATTAGACAAAAGTACATCATATGCAAAGAAGAACTGCCTCTTTATTGCCTCCTGCTACTACCTTACCTGTTCCATGTCAGAAATGAAGTCCAAGAGACACTCTCATACTAGCAGTCCCACCTCAGCTATCTAGAGCACCATGACCTACTGATACATGAGAATACCGTTGGGAAAACCCACTCACTCTTCCCTTACCCACAAGCTGCCTGTTAAACATTAGGTATGAAGTTAAGAGGCACGGCCAGAGGAGAAACCCACTCTGCCCAGCCCTTCCTGTTTCACACTTGTGCGCACAGACATGCAACACAGCCACCCGCCTGGTACCTAGAGGTCGGAGCAGGACCTGCCGCTGGTCCTGGTCACGTCCATTCGAGGCGATGCAGGTAAAGAAGCCGGCGTCCTCAGAGCTAACCCGGCTGATCACCAGGGCCCCGTCTGACTGCTGTCTGTGTCTGATGAACAAAACCACATGAACAAAATCTCCTCAGCTTGTGTTTGAGCCATGATATGATTCCAGCCATCAGAAATGAATCTGAGCCTTACACACAACTTTGCAGTAACACTAAGCAAAGGTATAGCAGAAGCTCAGTTCAATTCGCCATACAGCCTCTGGCCTGTAGATTCTGTATCACAGCTCTTCTTCTGAGAGCTTGAAGTCCAGGCTCTGACCTGCGACTAGAGCAGTAGGACAGCATTGTCTGGCCCTGACAAATGAAACTGCCCAGCACAGAGCAGAAAAGTCCCTGTCTGCACTGGCCAGCAACAACGTTCCCTCAGAATGGGGCTCTCCTCGCCACAGCCTGCTGCAGGAATAGTAAAGCCAGCCGGGAGCTCACCTGGGAGGGGAGAGGGGCTGCCCATCTTTCCGCCACTCAATGGTGAGAGCTGGAGATGCTTCCACTGTGCAGGGCAGTCTGACTCTCTCCCCAACTTTGGCCTCCACTACTGAGGGCTCGCTCTTGTCCATTCTCAACCTGCAAAGTCCACAAGCACAACAATGCAGCAACATCCTTGTTCAGTATCTGACCTTCAGCACAAGGCCTTCTTAATCACAAGCCTTGTTTTTTGCCTCAAGTGGGAAAGGGCGGTCTCCGTGCTCCCGTTAGAATTTGCCATTAACAACATTCACTCTCCTCAGAAAAAAAGCAGCCTCTATCAAATCCTGCTACAGATCAGCACAGCGTGGTGCTGCACTCTTGCCAGACAACTTAACCCTTCAGAGACAGCAACTCAGAGCATCTCTGTTACTTCTAACACCCCTCTGGCTAAAACCGTAAGGAAGTGTTAGCAACATAAACACACAGCAAATGGCCTGGGCACCAAGTAAGCTTCTCTCAAGGTGCAGACAGCAAATACTTTTTTAGGGTGTGAAGAGTCCACTGCAATCACCAGCCAGACTGCATGCAAGGGCATCCACTGCACACTGCAGAAAGGCTGGGCATGGGCTCTCACATCATCCATCCTCTTGTGCTCTTTGCTTTCTTCTGACTACAGATAAACACCATTTCAGAAGGGAACTAAACCAGGATGTTCCCAGAGTCAAAGAAAACATCATCTCCCCCACCCCCATTCTCTGACCTAAATTCTTGATCTCAAAAAACAAAACCAAAGAGCCCTAATTCAGTGCTTTTATAGTTCAGTGAAACACTTCTTCCTGCATTTAGGCAAAAGCAGCTAAGGGGGTTGCCGGGGATTCGGCAAATTGGCTGAGTTTTAGGCAGCGAACTCAAAAGAAGAGAGAGATCAGATCATACTCCCATTTAGTCTAGAGCCCCAGTGTTCTGCATTTAAAGTGAAAACAACTTTTAACCTTTTATTTCTGCAAGGCCTGGAACAACCAGAGAAACATGCAAGAAACTACAGAGTATGCCAAGCAGTACATGAAAAGATAGCTTGGAGTCAAACTGTTGTGTTCACAAATTACTTAAAATAAACGGCCAGGGGCTAAAGTATCTGACAGGTTGTTATTTATTTTTTTATATACACATATTTATTGTCTATTTTGTAGTAATTAAGCAGTTCCCTCTTGCTTTGCTTTTTTTCAGAATGGGTTTCTCTTTCTGACTACACTAACTGGAACAGCTAAGGACAGTTCCTCCAGCATTTTTGTATTTGTCTGAACCTGGATGCTTTGTTATCAGCCTCCCTGGACATATTTGCTAAGGATATGCTTCTTTCAAGGGACCCTTGGGAGAACAGCAGACAGCTTGCAACTGGGATTTCTGCCTGCTCCTATTGTCAGCAGTTCAGTATCCCTCGCCTCCTAACCATGCCCAGAACAGCTGATCCAGGACCTTTCCAATCTTCAGTTTTTCTACATGAAGAGATGCCATATGGTTCATCAGCTGGGCATGGTGGACAAACTGTTGCTGTATGTGAACTTACCTATATGTGAATTGCTGATGCACAGAGGAACCGGCTGCCTGTACAACCTTCCCGTCTCTGGGTAGCTCTCGGTGCTGCTGATTTTCCTTGTGAAGGACCTGACCTCTCTCACCCTCTGCCAGAACAGCACTCTGGTACTCTATTCAAAATAAAATGCCATATGTGAATAAAAAGACTGTTCTTACTGTGACCTCTTGCATAGGGCTTTCTGTGAGCTTGGGAGAACTCGCTGAATTGGAGCCAAAGAGCCCTTCAGCCATCTGTTTTCTGACTGATGCAGTAAGCCTGTGCTGCCGACTAATGAGAGTCACAGACCTGCAGGCAAGCAATTTTAGACTCTTTTCTCTTCTCTGTTATTGAATATGTTGCAGTATTCCTTAGGCCACACTGCCTTCTGCCCCCACACCATTGCTATGACATGGTACATCTCAGAGACTTAAGGCCACCAATAATGGCTTGCTGGCCCATCTTTTTTAGACTGATCTGTTGTATTTTTTCTGGATTTGCATCTTAAATATGGCATGTTTTTTGAAACAGGGAATAATTTGTTACCTAGTTGGTCTTGTTTGGTCAAAACACAAATGCATCAGCATGAACAGCTATGTAACCCAGTCATACCATACTGTGAGATTGAGGGTACAGGAAACCCCTTTTCTGAAGCCTTCTGCCTGGGACCAGGAGGCAGCTGATGGCTCTCAGAGAGGACAACATGCTTGCTACGCTGGAAACGGTACAGGTTGCAGATGGGCAATAATTCCAGGTACGAGGTGCCACTGCAGGTGGGAAGTGCTTTAGGGTAAGGGCTTTATCATAACATAACATCAGAAGAAGCCCTGTTGCCTCCACACTCTTGATTCCTGCACTGCGGAGGAGATCTGCTGCTATAACTTGCCCAAGGAACAGCACTGCTATGGGGTAAAGGCAATGCTGCCTGCACAGCTGCCTGGCAGCAGAGGACTTTTCCCGTTGTCAGCATCAGTTAATGAGCAGCGCTGAGTTACCCCTTTCGTAGAAGAGGTAGTAGAAGATTTAAGATGTAAGTAGAAGATGAATTACCTATGATCTGTAGCTGAATCTGCCGCCGTCTCTCTGTCCTCCCATCAGAAATGAGGCATGTGTAAGTCCCAGCATCCTCCAGCTTGACGTGGCTGATAACTAAAGAGCTGTCAGACTGGTAGGTGTGCCTACAACAGGAGTGGGAATCAACTGCCTCTGCGTGGCCAAGGACAGCACCTGGCCGAGGCAGAGTGGCCCTTCCTGCTGATGTTACATAAACCACCACCATGAACTGCCCTCCCCAGCTTAGAAAAAAAAAAAACCACCCTGTTGACCACAGCAGGGTCACAGGCAGGGGAAATAACTGCAACAAAGAAAGGAGGTCAGGAACGGAGAGGAATGGGAAAACAGGGAACTGCTTTCAACAATCCTCTCCCATGAGAAGGCAAACTGCCCTTCCAGGCAGGAGCCTGAGCCCCAGCAGTCATTTGCAAACAAAAAAGCAGAACTGAGCTTTTCTTAACAACTGCAATTTTCGTAACAAAAACTGAGTCTCTGGATCCAAACTGTTGAAGGAAACAGACTTCCTATGAAAAAATAGGCTTTTAAAATTATATTTATAATTTTAAAAGCATTACATTAGATGGCAGTGCCAGAAACTCCAGCCAGGGGAACTCCTGACTTACTTGGCCACAGGCTTCATCCTGGACTAGTTAAGCAGTGTCTCAGGAAAAATCCTGCACAGCCAACATTCTTTTGCACAATTGCCCACAAGTCAGTTTCCACTGGTTTTGGGGCAGCACTCATTCTGACCCATACTGCTATCTGGTGCCTCAATACAGTTGTAGAGTATACCTGTTTCTGCTGTCTATAGATCAGATGGATAGCTCATTTTCAGGAGTGTTCCTAGCTTAATACATGGGCTTGTTTATTTATTAATCCTTTTTATCCCCTCCAAAGAATGTTACCAATGAGATTAGAAAGTGGACAAGCATATTTGGCACTCTGCTCAGCAAGGATAATGAACTGCTCCGTAATGAAGAGGGTCGAGCTTACCTGTCAGAGGAGACTGTCTGGCCATCCTTCATCCACTCCACCCTGGAGAAGGGGGACATGCTTGCCTTGCAGACCAGTTGAATGTTTTGTCCCTTGACTGCTGTCACAAGAGAGAGCTTGGCTTCCTCCAGAATGGTTCTGAAAGATAAAGAGATTCCAGGGACCCCTCAGCTGCTCTTCTCTCCTTAGGATCTTCCAGTGTGACTATAGACAACCACAGTATAAAGAAGGACTAGCTGCTCATTTAGCTCTGAGCAGAGGCAGCATGTAATATAGCAAGTCTTCTGCACAGCAAAGGCTGGTCTGGATAGATTCATCACCACAAGCAAACCAAGGAGACAGCCATAGCTATGTAACTCTCTCTTCTGAGAACTAGGCTCAGCTCAGCAGATTGACAGAGATCCAGACTCAGACATATCTAGCTCTACACAACCTCAATTTTCACTGTGACACTGTCTAGATCCTGACCCAAACTGCATTTTAAAGACTTTCCCAGAATAACCCACTACTTCTCTGTGCAGCACTGAGATAAATGCTGTGAAGCCAGAGTCAAGTAAATGTACTGATCAGAATGGGCAAACCACCTACGGATTTTCATTTACAGTATGCCTCTCAAAAAAAGGCCTCAGCATCCCAGTCTTTTCACGCTTCTTCCAGTGCTGTCAGAGTGTAATGAGAGTGCAGGGAATGAGAAACCTCTTAACTCCAAGGCCTGGCTAATATGATTTACCAAAGCCAATATATAGCCAATCTGTCACAGGGTCAGCTGGGCTGGACCTACGTTTCCACTGCAGAGGAAGCTGCACTGATGCTTCACAATGAGCAGACTGAAATGACCAAAAAATAAAATAAAATCACCTGTGCTGATTCTGTGCTGGGAAGGAGTCTGCAGACACCTGGTGCCCAAAGCTCTCTGTCACAGAAACGTCTGTTCCAGAAGCCTTATGCCACTGCTTGCCTTCACGTGGCAGCACCTGTTGGCCACTGCTACTCTGCTTTTGGGAGGGCCCAGGCACTGCTGTTTCCCCTGTCAAGTGCAGCTGGCTCAGGCTTTTCAATCTACTTTGCTGGGTGCCCCATTGCTGGCTCTCCATCACACCAGATTTTTGCGAAGCTTCTGGCAGCACCTGCCTTCTCCAGTAGTTCTCTCCATGTCTGTTCTGCGAGGGGTTTGAAGCCCCATAGGATCTTCCTTCTTGGCCATGACTTGAAGACTCTCTTGGCAGGTGCTGCTGCTTACCCTGAGCAGCACCCATATGAAAATGAGAGCCAGTGTCCTGCCGTTGCAGGGCTCCTGTGCCAGAAGAGGGCTGGTGCTCCAAGGGACTAATCCCCACAGAGCTATGACACACTCTCATGCATTCCTCCTCTGAGGCAAAGCTGTTTTTATTGCCATGGCAGCCACCATACCAGAACCGGTTGCACTTGCCAACAACAGTCACAAAGTACCAGCGAGTGGTCCAGTTCGCACAGGGGCCGTGAGCACTGGGCAGCAGGCACATGACAGGATATGCTGCCAGAAAGAACAGAACAGAAGAGCATGTGAGGGTCATGAAACACAAAGGTCTGAGTTCTTCAAGCCACTTGCCTAAATGATGGGCCTTATGGGCAGTGTTGGTGGAAAGGTGAGACACCTGAGTTTTTCACCCAGCTGTTTTGAAATAGGGCAGCTGCTCTGATGTTTCCCTCCATCTTAGTTTTCCCACTAGCAGAAAGAGAACTCAGCTCAGAGACATTTCTGAGTCTAAATAGTTATGGCCTTTCCAGGAAATCCTGCAGCTAAAAGGTTGATCTTGGGTCTTCTTCCACGAGCGGCACATAGCCATCATACGCACATTTCCAGCCCACAGAGCAAGTGGATTAGACCCAGTTGTGAAGATTCATGCACTGCAGAATACTCCTGCAAATAAAGAGGAGCATGGCCAAAGGTGTCTGCGAACACCATTCTGTGCTCTGAGTCACAAATATCAGAGTCACATGCTGACAAATACTGATGCAGGGCTCTGACTGAGAGGCCCTTTGCTGAGCTGTGGCAGAGCAGAGAGGACAGGCAGACGTTTCCCTTTCTCCAGGGCAGTCTCACAGGGCTGGTGACCACACAATCCCTTTGCTGCAGCAACAGGGGAAAGCAACGCAGCAGCAACCTGCCTGCAGAGGATACAGCTGGGAACTACAGGAGAGGAGATGCTTTTGCCCAGCGCCTCTAGCATCCTTGTAGTAGAGTAAGCACTGTCCTCCTCCCCCCTCCCCCCCCGATCTCTGCTGGTTAAATATCTCCACAGAGCCCTATACAGCAGCTCCATCCTTAGCTGTAGCTCTTATTGCACTCCTGCCCAAATGGGGTTGTCTGAAGGCAGAACATGGCTCCTGTTCCTCAGAGAAGAGCCTACTTCACCTAAACCCAAATAATGAATTTGGAGAACCAGGCTATACCAGGTTGTCTTCCCAGTGTGAAACAGCTACGCACTGACAGAGATTACACACAATTCTGCTCTAACAACAAAAGAGGAAAATAAGAACTTCTGTGGTAGCTAACTTAGCCAATTAGCAGCTTTCCTACATTCCTTTTCTCTAAATTAGAGAGGTATGGATTTCAAGGATGGCCTGTTCAGTGGATTAAGAATTAGGTTGGCTCACTGCAGCCAAAGGGTTGTGATCAATGGTTCTATGTCTAGATGGAGGCCGGTCACAAGTACTGTCCTTCAGGGACTGGTACTCTTCAAGACCTTCAACAACGACACAGACGATGGCATCGAGTGCACCCTCAGCAAGTTTGCAGATGACACCAAGCTGAGCGGTGCAGACAATACAGTAGGGGGAAAGGAAGTCATCCAGAGGGACCTAGACAGGCTGGAGAAGTGAGCCGATGAGAACCTAATGAAGTCCAACGAGGCCAAGTGCAAGGCGTTGCACTTGGGCCAGGGCGATCTCAGGTATTTATACAAACTGGGGGAAGACCTCTTTGAGAGCAGCCTGGCAGAGAAGGACTTGGGGGGTCCTGGTAGACAAGAAGCTGGACATGAGCCAGCAGCGTGCACCTACAGCCTGGAAGACCAACTGTGCTATGGGCTGCATTCAAAAAGGGGTGGCCAGCAGGGAGAGGGAGGTGATTGTCCACCTCTACTCAGCTCTTGTGAGGCCCCATCCAGAGTTCTGTGTCCAGGCCTGGGGCTCTCAGCACAAGAAAGACATGGAGCTCTTGGAACAGGTCCAGAGAAGGACCACTACGATGACGAGAGGGCTGGAACACATCTCCTGTGAGGAAAGGTTGAGGAAACTGGGCTTGTTTAGCTTGGAAAAGAGAAGGCTCTGAGAGGACCTCATTGTGGCCTTCCAGTACTTGAAGGGAGCATATAAACAGGAGTGGGTATGACTGTTTACATGGGTGGATAGTGATAGGACAAGGAGGAATGGTTATAATCTAAGACAGAGGAGGTTTAGCTTAGATATTAGGAGGAAGTTTTTCTACACGATGGTGATGCTCTGGAACAGATTGCCCAAGGAGGTTGTGGATGCCCCATCCCTGGAGGCATTCAAGGCCAGGCTGGATGTGGATCAGGGAAGCCTGGTCTGGTGGTTGGCAACCCTGCACACAGCAGGGGGGGGGCTGAAACTAGATGATCATTGTGGTCCTTTTCAACCCAGGCTATTCTATGATTCCCTTTAACCTTCCCTATCCCAGCCATGAGGCAGAATTTGTTTTCAAGGAGACCATTCACTACAATTTCCAGAGGTCAGAACTTCCACACAGGAAGTTTCCAGATGGTACTGATTTCTGTGTAATTCTTCCTGTGTTTCTAACCAAACAAGTCAAAGCATCACTTACGGTAGTTGGGCCTATTGAGACATCCTTCCCCTTCAGGACCTGCAGCCGAAGCGACACTGTCAAAACAGCAGCCGTACACTGAACTGCGGCACTCGCCAGAGGGGTGCTGCTGGGATAAGGCTTGGCTTGCCTTAGAGACAGGAATTGAAAGCCAAAAGTTATCATGCATACATGAGGGCAGCAGCACATGCAAAGCACCATGTCCAAGCTGTTGACTGCAGGATGCCAGCTGCTAGAAGAATCACTGCTCATTTGTTTGCCTCCTAGAGGCTTTCATGCTGGCAAGGGCTGGGAAACTTGGCTGTCAGCCATGAAGCCAGTGCTGCACCTCCCTGCAAAACACACCTAGCCAGCCTAGGCAGTAGATCGGATTTTTCAAATGGCCCCACCAGACACCCCAAGCTATATGAGAGGAATTTCCCCCCTAAATATTTTATCCTCAATTAATTTGCAGAGATGATAAACAAGGACAATTGTTAGTGGCAATATTTTTCTGTATTTTTTTTTCTCCCAGAAATCGGATGGCAAGTTTCTAACAGACAGAAATTTCATTACTCAGGATTATTCAACCAGTTCTACACAGGATTCTTCTCTCCTTCTCAGACAATTCCCAACCACTCCCTCTGTCCCCTGCTTACAGAGGATCACAAGCAGATGCCCAAGACTGAACAGGAATGAAGTACGCCAAGGGGCCTCATGCCACACATGGAGTATTACTGGGACAGATGAAGTATAATAGAAACACATAATCTGAGTAATCGGGTCAAAACTGAATCTTCACACGTAATGGGCAGCTAAAACCCAAAGGGTTTTTGTGCTTACTGTTGGAACAGCTGCAGCAGGCTGATTTCTTCTCATATGAATATCACTGTCATGCTGTGGGCATCCCACGTTGTTTGGACCTTGGGCAGCTGATACTCCATCAGGACAGCATCCATACCTACAGGCAGAAGGCAGAAAGGCTGCAGCAATATCTGACCTGCTTAGTTCAACAGACACAGACTGAAAATTCCAGTAAGCCTCCAGGAAATGCAGTGCCTCCCTGCTCAGGCCCATCTACTCACAGCTACCTGTTCTGGTGACAGGTGTTGAAGGAACAACCTCTCCCCAAAGGGCCTGAAGCTGGAGTGTGTCCATCTGGACAGCAGCCATGTGGGGTCTGATAACAGTTCTGAGATCTGGTTCCTGCAGTGGGGTGCTGAGTGGTGCTGAGCTGATGATAATTTGATGATCGTGACTGGGATTCCCAGCGAACAGGCAACAAGTTGATGCCATGGTCCTCAGTGGAATTGATGTGGTGATTCCTAGAGCTGCTGTGAACTGCAGAGCTCCCAGGGAGCAACCTTCCATCACCAGAATCTGTGGAGATAACTCCTTACAGCATGCAAGTGAGCATCTGCTATCTTATACCTGCTCAAAGCTACAAGGCAAGCTTTTCTGTATCAAGGTTTCACCTGAATATGTGTCTTCTGGCTCTTCCTTCTGAATTTGGTTGCTCTGAGCCTCTTCTGTTCTGCCCTAACCATTCACCCTGCTGACCCATAAGAAATCATCTGTCACATTGCTTTTATCCCCTTGTAGTAGGACACATGAACCTTTTTTCTAATCTCCTTTAGGCAGCATTTTTCTCAGACAGCACTTATGCTCATATGATATCTCATGATATATATCATACTCATGATATCATACGTCAGAACCTGGGATATCTTTACAGCCTGCTACATGCATGAACTCACAGGTAGTTCTCTATTGGTGTGAAGAACCTATAATTTATCCCTGACTCCAAGAATTCTGGAAGTCCATGAAAAGAACAAGAGAAAGGGAGAAAAGAAGGATCCTTCTCCCTACCATACCCTGTTTCAAGCCCACCATTACCAAACCCAAGCAAACAAAATTCTGAACCTGTGGGAGGGCTGTTTGGGTTGTAACGCGTCAGCAAAGACTGTCGACTGATATCATATCCCATAGTGTCCTGCATACTGGGGACCTCTGCAAAGAGAGACATACACAAAATAAGTGCAGCTAGTCCAACTATATTCAAATAATTGCAAATGCATCAGAAAAGTAACAGGAGTCTAAGGTTGACAAAAATGTGTTTCTTCTGGAAAAGCTGCTGATCAGCAATTGGATTCAACTGGATTGTCAGGACAGCTACCTGCAGTGGGTAGGCAGCCAGAATTCACCATTTCAGCTATGACAAAGACTAACTACAGACAGCAAGTAAAATCTCCAAACAGTTTACAGCTGGTCCACAAGGGGATGAGAGCTGGCTACAGTTTCTAACTACTAAGTCTGTCCAGGGTGTTAGTCCTTAGCTCTGTGATTCATGATCAGTCTGCAATACAAACTGGGACAGAGTCAAGGCAAAATACTGAATTCAGAATAGAAACACCAATATTGCTCCCAAGCCCATTACATGTGTTTCAAACAGCACAGGTACTGGGACTCTGAAGATGCTATGGTTTTAGGTGCAAAAGCACAGGATGGAGACAGGTAAGCAGGGAGCTGAGTGCACAAGCTTTTGCAGAGTCTTGGCAAGAAGCAACTTAGGAAAAGTTGGGTGTCTATCAAATCAACTCACGCTGTGGCAGGTAGCAAGGCTGCACGTTGCAGCTATCCAGGGTGGCTGGCTTCTGTGGTTGGATGGCTTTGCATATATCAGCACTGTAGAATTTGGAGTCACCATCAGCACAGATAACTTGGCGTGTCCGGATGCCTGAACTGCAGCTCTTTGAACACTTGAGTACAGAGAGAAGGCAAGTGAGCAGGAACCAGAGTCAGAATGCAGAAACAACCACAGACCAAGAGTATGGAACAGCTGTGATTAGCTGCAGGCCGAGCACAGCTTCCTCCACCAAGATAAGGCAAACAACAGCCCAGCTGGATTCATCTGAACAGAGGTACTCTTAATCATTTTGCCAAATGTTGCATCCAGCCCTGAACCATTAAGCTCCAAGATATGCTTACTTTCTAACATCTAGACTTGCTGCTTTGCCAAGGACAGTGTGGCAAGGAGCTGGAATAATCAGCAGGAGTGAACTGTTCCAGACTGACCTGAAGGCACCTTAGCACTACAGGGATCCACCAGTTGTTAAAGGGCCAGTTTTGAACTCTGAATTCAAAAAACAACAGGCAGCATTTTACAACAGGAAACAAATGGATAGCTTTCTTGTAAGCAGCTAACTGGATTTCCTTTCACTGGAAGCTGTGAGTGAAAAGGAAGCAACAAGCAGCAACTCTGGGCAGAGAGGGCAGTGGAGAAGATGAGAACCAACCTGTTCACAGAAAGTTTTCAGACACTGGGAGAGTATTCTTTTCTTTTATTCAGATACAAGTAGGAGCTCTCTGATATTGGAAAGCCTGAGGCCAGGAAAGATCAGATTAAGGTATGCAGCTTTCTTAGCTGTTATTAAAACTCAGCTACACCACACAAAGAATCAGATGTAACGTGTTTTAACTCAGAACAAGCTGGTCTCACTAGCATGGAAGGGAAACAAGTGTGCTTGGAAATCACATGGTAGATTGGATCTCCCCCATCTCCTCCCCCGGGTATGTTTCCCAGGCTGAAAACAGCCTGTCTCCCTCCACAAGGGAGACAAGATTAATCCAGCTAAAGACAGTCTATCTGAACAATTACAAAAACAGTTTAAATTATTTCACCAAACATGATGACCAGTCCTGAAGCCTGAAGCTCTAAGCCATATTCAGCCCATGAGCTGTTTTGCTTTTCACAGTAATGGAGCAAATAAATGAGAATAAGCAGCAGGAGTGGATCATTTCAGTTTATTGGCTGCATTTTGCCACTGTCACTGAAACTATAGTCTCCCCCTCCAAGAAGGATTTATTTTTATAGCAGCTGCAAACAAAGCAGGCAACAGATTAACTGGAGCATTACTAGTGCCAGTTACAATGCAACTGTGAGCCAAGGGATTGGTAATGAAGTACATGCTTTCCAATTCAGCCAATTCCAGGCTGCACTGATTAAACCTTGTTTGCAAGGAACACAGCAATATAATCAATTATTTCCGATGCATGAAAGCATGATGCTTACCAGGCCCCAGTCTCCAACGTGCCAGCCGACTTCTTGGATGCAGTTCTCCTTAAGGCAGGGCTGGGTGGCTGGTGGCTTTGGTTCCATCAAACAAGCAAAGTCCTGAGCCTGAGAGCCCCGCTGCGTTCTGCAGGTGACTGTCCGGGTCTGGACACCTTCCCCACAGCTGGCTGAGCACTGTGGAACAGAGCACAACAGTGAAAAGGAAGCACCTACTTTACACTTGCATTTCCAGGCTGTGGTCCCCAGCAACAGGGCAGAGTACCACTTTAAGAATGTCTCAAACAAGCAACCAGCATTAAAAACCATATTCTTGGATGGGAATGAGCAGAGTGGTTGTCTGTGCTGTAGAAGAGACAATATGGCATGTTGGATAGGATCTGGGAACTCACTGGATAATTTTGGCTTAGTTACGTAACTTCTCCTGCTCTCTATCAAAAAAGACAAGAAGAATGAATGACTTTGGAAAAAAATACCAGTCCAACAGAATATATTCAGAACACGATGTTTGTAGATGGCAGGAGATACCTGCAAACTAATGTTCACAGAATCACACAGAATCACAGAATTGCAGGGGTTGGAAGGGACCTCCAGAGATCATCGAGTCCAACCCCCTGCCTAAGCCAGCTCAAGGTAAAGAATTCAGGGGAAGATAAAAAGACAAGGTTCTTGTATTTCTCATGTCTTTTTCCTGAAGACCTCATGCTCTACTTTATGGTGTCAAGCTGTGAGACATCATCTTCCTATGCATGTAAATGCCCTTTTGCAATCCTCTGTTAAATTCACAGTGGTTTTGTCTGGAATCCAGCTCAGTTCCCCAGGAATTGCCGAAGTCAACTACATAGGAAATTACCTGAGAGCTGTCTGAACTACTTTGAGCTTCCCAGTAGAGTGCTACTTATTTACCAGAGTGACCTTTTGTCTCCAATAACACATAGGTGAAGTCATTTTTTTTGTAACCCCAGAATGAATCATTTAGGAATCAATTTGCAAGAACAGGTCACTTAGTGCTTTGTGCCTTTCCTAAATAGTGCTCTCATTCCACAAGCCTGAATTCACCTCAGTATTCACACCCTACATCTCATGAGAGTACAAAAACAACAACAAAAAAACGTTACAGTCCTGCTTATCATGCCTCAAAGTCGCATTTCATGCTGCTGCTGCATCACTTGACAAAGAAATACCACAAGCCTGTAAATCAAATGTTGCAAGAATGCAACACACTTCTTTCAAAAAAAAAAATTCACTCATGCTTTAGGGACTGAGTAGATGCAATTCAATGATATTTACTACCTTTGCTTTCTATGACTTTTGAACATAAGATGTCTTCTAAATGCCTGGCTGGTAGTGCTGAGTGCATGTAGTTTGGAGGATAAATGCACACTGCAGCTGACCAGAGAAGCCTTGCACTGATACACAGCCTACAGTAAACAGCAGGTCACCAGCAGTTCAATAGCATCTTCCTTACTGACTGTTGTGATTTAGTACTGCCATTCAGGGGCTAGTAATGCTGGGCCAGCAATACGCATGGAAATAAGCAGCATAAGTGGGAACCATGAGCTCCTGTTTTACAGAGGGGAAATGTTACTGCACAAGAACAGCTGCAGCACAGCAGCTCTTAGCCTGCCCTTCACCAGGCCTGGCTCAGAAACAAACACTGGCAAGATCTGGTAGATCTGATGAAAATACAGGGGAGAGAGCATGTGGTGAAAGGAACAGGAAAAAAATTATCAAAAGGCATAGATGCTATTTGGAGAACTCTGGAGGACTGCAGGGACAGTCTGCACCTTGCCATGGACATCCACCTTGTACAGTCTCAGAGAAGGTGCCTGGCTTTTCACCCTCAAACTCTGGCAGACCCTCCTTTAGTGAATGCCATGTGGCAGTTGCTTCTCACACAAACTCACCTCTGACCAGGGCCCTGTGCTCCAGGTTGCACACTGTCTCCTGTTGCAGGGCTGACTGCTGTGAGGCTGCTGTGCAAAGGCCATACACTCAGCGTTGTCCACAACACCTTGGGAGTTCTGACCATCAAATGCTACACAGTAAACAGAGCGAGTCTGGGTGCCTCCACCACAGGTAGCTGAGCAGGGTCCCCACTCCCCTGTTTTCCACCTGCAGGTCACAGAATCAAGCAAACAAATAATGGCCCAACTAAATGGCACAGAAGTCAGTGCCGTGTCCGTGTTGCAGTCAGACAAGGAAAATGTCTTCTTTGCAGAACAGAGTCAGAGACAAGTTCCTATTTCACCAAGCACTGCCCAGCTTGATTGGCTGTGCAAAGCATGAGTCCCACTCCAAAGGCAAATGCCCAGCTACAAAACACTTGTTACTCTGGAAATGCAGAGCTTTCCCTAAGGGGAAGTTTCATTTCCATGGCTTTTGGTTTCCTAACATCTGCAAAAATATTATGCCTGGAATGGAACACTAAAGAGGAAGAAAAAATAATAGTAATAAAATAATAATAATAATTAAAAACAAACAACAACAACAAAAAAACAATCCAAGAAAAGTAGCTCGCAATCCATCATGCTCCAGCCACCGTCCAAAGCAGAAGACATCACCAAACTGAGATCTCAATCTGCCTGCAAACTACGCTCAACTCTCCAGAAGCACTTACAAACTTTTAATTGACAAACCAACAGAAAGATGGCTTACTCCTCTCATTGGCTGGATTATCTAACAGAAGCACATAGCAAAAGTAAAAAAAAAAAAACTTCAAACAGATTCTGGATTTGGTTGCTGAAACTGTCACGGAAATGTTACATCCTTGCTAGCAGAAGTGCAAACGTGCAGAAAACAGTCACAGTGGATGGTAGAATCCCTCCCTTGTCCATTCCTGTGTCTCGGTGCTGCCCACACAGTTGGGAGCACAGCTTGCATGGCCTGACTTCAGGGATTTCAGACTCCAGCATGGAGTGGAAGCAGTTAAAAGGCACTGGTGATACAGGGGGTGTATCACGGTGATCTACTATCTCCCTCTTTCAGACACCTAAGCCCCAGCCAGAGAGTAAAGACAGTTCATGTTTTCTCCCCTACCTTTCCAGTTGCTCCCCCTGGTCTGCCCTCATAACTAACTTTCAGCCAGCCAATTCACATTCATACCCCATCAAAAACTCCACAGCAGACTCAGCCAAGAGAAGACATGTTCATCTCCTTAAGATACTTTTTTTCTGCTATTAAAGAAGCAGATAGCCTAGAACTGAATACCGTTTACCACAGAATAAGATATTTCCTTTGGAAAGTGAACAATTACAGCAAACAGAAGCCACTTAGAGCAGTGTGCCTACCGAGCTCAAAACAAATTAATTGATCGAGCTTTTACAGAAGTTCCAGATGGTATGAAAACAAGAGTGTTTTGCTTCCTGTGAAGAAAGCGTGCAGTTTTAGAAAGATTTTATCAACTGGATGGACTCAATTACAGATTCCGTCAACTGCAGTCAAGACATCTCTGACACTTGTTTCATGTCCCTTGTATGGAAAGATCAATCGTAACGATGGGACCATTCAGAGGTAAGTCCTATGCTATTAGCAGTTTGCTGGGAACACTTGTTTTGCTTTTATTCTATTTTACTTCTAACACCTCAGTGGACATTCTAAGTACTGTATCTGTGACAGCCTTTCACTCACCACAGTATGTAAGCAATTTTCTGCCTGATACAGGACCCAGGCCAAAGAAAGAGCTTTTGAGGAACTTTGAGGTTTTTGCTATGGCACTCTGGAGTTCAGTCCTGGTCAATGACTCAACAGACCTAGCCCATCACATTCTCTTTTCCTGCTTTTTATCTTGATTAACCAAACAAAAAATCTTAAAAAACATGCCTCCACCACTCTAGCCTAAAACAAACAACTATCAAGCCAAAAGCTATGAAGAATCTGTCTCTTCCTCAACTTCATACCAGTCAAGTTACAAGCAGCACTCAAAACCACCTAAGCAAAGCTGCCAGCCAGCACCCTCCACCATCATTTTCATCAGCAAGAATCAAAAGCAAAGCATGGCCCACTGCTACCACCAGTGCCAAAGGAAAGACTCCAAGTCCCCACACACTCTAGTGGGCAACTAGGTGGAAAGCAGAAGATAGCAGCTGCCTTCCCGTTGTCTCCTCAGTGTTACCTCTTCATCTGAGAGCTCCGTGCTCCACCGTGGCTCCAGGCTTGTGGCGGAGAGATGTAAGAAGTCCTTTACACACAGAACAAAGAATTTAAACAACTTAAAGCATGTAGCTATGGGCTAATACGAATTCAGAAATGTTCCCAGTTTTCCAGGTACTCCCTGGCCCACAGCAAGTCTCCACTATAACAACCAGATACACAATGAGATATGCAGTTAAGGCTCTGGTTACAGCTCTGGATGCTTTTAAGAGCCAATTTAAGCCAATTGCTTAAATTGTAATCAAGGCTATGTAATCAAGGGACAAGGGGGAAATGGTTGATTAAATGGGTCTGAAAATAATAGAAAAGGAGAAGATTCCAGGATTCATCTATTTCAAAGAACAAGGACACTGAGAATGCAGAAATGACAAAATTAGACCAGCTCAGACCTACTTCTCTTTTTTGGCAGGCTCCATTTGAAGAGAACAGAAACCACAGATTCTATTCCTTACCTTCTTTCACAGATTCTGCCTTCCCTACCTAGAGGCTAGAAGACTATCTTCCACAATTATGCTAGAAAGAAAATATAACTGGTCTATGAAAATGAACATAGGACCTACCAAGACCATTTCTTGTGCACATAAGAACACTTGTCATACAGTTATCATCCCCAACTTTGATTTGGGCTTTCTCTAAGAAGTGAAACATTTCCTTGGAAAATGCCAAGCACCATTTTCCTGGCTCCAAAAGCACCTCAGGAAGAAGACAGAGCTCAGAAGTGGAAAGGAAATCTTACCTTTTTGTTTGGGGACAAGCCTGATGGCCACATGTCCGGTTACTGTCTGGTCGTGGTTTGTTACTGCACATATAGTCTGGATAAATCTCATTGTCTATGGTACAAAACACCAAACGGGATTGGAAGCCTGAAGGTCAAACAAGAAAGTATACTGATCAATGTAGGGCACCCAGGAAAATGTACCAGTGTTTGAAATGCAGTGGCATTGCTAAGACAAGATTCTAAAGCAGCACTGAATCCACACCTGCAACTCACCAACCTGGAAGAGTCAGGTGCAGCTCTTGGTCTGTCACCACGTGTATGAATGACGCCTACTCACAGTATACAAGTTCACAGGAAATAAAAAAGACAGAATAATTCTGTATAGGTGAGGGACCCTTTTGTTTGAGTGGGTTAAGAGTCACAAGGGAGATGTCATAGGCATATGTTGCTCACGAAGGAACCCTGCTTGGTGTGTGCTGTTAGACCTAGAAGGTCAGTCTTGTGAAGACTAGATGTTGTAAATCTTTATGTTTCTTACTGGTTTAGAATATCAGCTCCCACAACTACAGTATGGCAAGAGCTACCATCAGCAAGACAAGAAGAGGCACACAGAAACTCCATAGTCAGATGGAGGCTTTTGGTTTGATTGCTGGGGCATTTTTTGGTGGTTGTTTTTTAGTTTAAAATCAATAGTTTTGCTGATGCAAACTGAACATGTGGTGACACCCCGTAGTATCTGACAATCTTCCTGTTCAGAGAAATGGAATCTTACAGGTGACAGTAGAGGGTACAGAGGTGTGATACAACCCAGTTTTGTAGACCAGGTCAGCTTGGAAAGTGGTTTCAAGAGTTTGAAAAGGCCTGCAGAGGACATTAAGAACTGAGGTAGGACAAGATAAAACAAACACATCCCTATGATCCAAGATCCAAGTAACAAGTCTGAGGATTAAGACATGTAAAATTAGACAGGACAATGCAAGGAGCACAATCCTCTTGTGATTCCATGCGACTCTCTCTTGAGAAAACCTTAACTGCCACCAGCAGATATCTGTGTTGTCTTCCAGCAGGAGACTGCTGAGAAGCAGCTGCAGAGGGCAGCACGCTGCCTCTTCATGGTGTGGATATAAACCTTGAACCACGTTGCCAGAGACCAGGTCCTGCCCCCTTACCTCCTCCACACTCAGAGCTGCACTCACTCCAGGAACTGTAGCTCCAGCTGTAACCTGTGGACTGTCTGTGTGTAGGCAGGTAGTATTCATACTGTACTCCTGGGTTTGGCTCCTGACTGATGAGCTATGAAAGCATGGGATAAAGTCATGAAAATAGCAGCAGCGCTTCTTCCCTTCACAGCATTTCCCACTGTGTCTGAGGGTTTGAGCCGATTTGGTCCCTCCAGTTGAAAGAAGTCTTTTTCTCTGGGCTGTGTTTTCTGCTTGCTTTCTCTGATTATCTAGGGAGCATCATTTTTCAGAAAAGGGTGCATCCATCTCTCTCATAGGCAGAAGATCTACCTGGTCTGTTACAGTAATACCCTGACATGGCCTACGGTACACTATAATATGCAGTACCCTAGAGCCTGTCCCTGCACCAAACCCATTCTGTGCAAACTCATCTGAAAGTTAGAGCTCAGAGGAATACATCAGGCCTTGCTTTGCTCCTTTTTGGGCCTCAGAACACCAGCATAACACTGTGTTTTCTGCAAGCAAAACACCATGGTCTAGATTAAGGGCCTAGAGCTTTGTAAGATTCCTGTAGGCCCAGTTATCTTTCAAGAGTATTTCCCATCTCAACTTCACCAATGTACTCCCACTGCACTACGTGACGACTGCTATGCAAAACAAGACAGTATCAGTGGGGGCAAGCACAGCCACTTACCTCAATGACCAAGGGCTCTGTGGTGGGACCCCTGGCATGGAGGAGCTCTGGGGCAAGATCACCTTCTGAGCCACGATCATAGTGCATAACTGTGCTAGCTATATGTAGCGTTCGGCTGAAGTCAATTGTCCAATGCCCATTCAGATAATAATCCCCTTGCACATTCTTGACAGCTGGATAAACCCACATGCCAGAGAAGAAAAGGCAATAAATTAACATTTATGACTTGAAATCTGGTTCTAGCTACTGCTAGACAGTTCCTGTTCTAGACTTTCAAGGTACTGGCAGCCCACAGAGCTCTCAGCATCATAATTTGAGCACCACCTCTTTGCATTACTATTGCAATCCTCTAAAGTGGAGAGACAATCTAATATGGCAGCACCTATCACCATTGCAAAAATTCACATACAAAAATGAACAGTAGAATTCAACAGGGATGCTCCCATTTTCACTAAATTCTGCATCACAGGCGGGGCAAATAAAGGGGAACATTATCCACCAAAAATGCTGGACCAGCCTAGCATTTCCTTGCCAGAAGCTGCTGTATATTCAGACAGTTCTTGCCAGTTTTGCTGCAGAGAAAGCACTTATATGCTGCACAGTCAAATTCCTCCAGCTTATTCCAATACTGACTTTATCTTCTTCATTGAAAATGAGGTTAATCTGAAGCCCAGAGTTGAGCATCATTACACTTCAAAGATACTCAGTATTCAGACCTGATTTTCAGTCTTCCCCTCTGCCAGATCAAACTATCAAGGCAAACCTTGCAAATCCTAGTGTACTGAAAACCAAATTTTAATGCAATGGCTGGAGTCCAAACAGACTGAAACACATGTTCCAATATCAGTCTTACCTATAAAGTTCCTGCTTGGCATAACCTCCTTGATTTGGATGCTGGTGGCTCCCACAGGGATGATGAACATTTGATTGTACCCTGAAGAAAAATTAAGGGGATTACTCAATATTTATCTGTTAATAGTACACAGTCACATTTGTGCTTCAATGATTCTTCCAATTTCATCTGTATCTGAACAACTGGATGAGCTTTATGATGGTGGCTCAACACATTTCAGTTGTCACTTTATCTGTATTCTGAATAGCTTCACCAAAAACTCTCAAGATATCAATCTCAAGATATCAATCCATGGGCATACAGTTTCAATTACACCTCAGAAAAGTAAGCACATGGATTAGCGCAAAGTCATTTTCTTAATGTTCTAAAATTTAGGATTTCAGTAACTGGCATATTGGGTCTTGACTAAGATTTGATTACAGCACAGTTGTCTTGAAATGACTAAAAATTGGCCAAAGGCAGAAGATTCAGTTCCATTTATAGCCTTGCAGAAATTCTAGTAGGGCTTTCAAGACACTGTGTATAGGGATAGTCTTATGAAAATGGTATAGAGCTATATTCACATGGTACATTTATAGCACCTGTTAGAGACTGAACAGGGAGAGACACCAGGAGAATTTCAAGTACATTTGACTCTTCTGAGACTGAGAAAATGATTCCCTGAGTAAGGCAATCAATACGTTTTGTGATACTGAAGTGCCACATTAGTTTAGTTTTAACCTTCCCCTTATCACATGCCTGAACTATACAGATCAACTGTACCTTTGGGGAGGTTGGGCACATCGAAAGTACCCTTCACATCATAGCAGGTGCTGTTATCTCCTCCACACTGTAGGCATTTGTCCTCCTTCTTGGTAGATTCTAGTATGTTATCACAGCCAACAGCCTGTCAGGGCACAGGGGCATCAATATGAATAAACCATAATGACAAGGGAAAGAAAGACAAAATGGCTAAATGATGGACTGTACTTATGAAAAAGCCTGAATCTAGGGAGTGTGGGAAATCAGAAGGTAGGAAAGCTGTTGTCAAGAGAAGGACAGAGCTGACCTCTTCCCTTTCACTTCCAGAGACAGGTAGATAAAAGCTGTTGATATCCTCCTCAGCATCTCAGAAACTGAATGAATCCACTTTTCAGATATTATTACAAAGGGCCAAGCAGAAGAAAGGGAATAACCTGAAAGACAAATAGACACAATGGCAGAGGAAGGAAGCAACAGGATGACTCACTTGACAAACTCCTTCTACACAAATATCCCGCTTGCCAGGTTCACAAGTAGTTCCATCTATCACAGTTTCCTTGTGTCTGTAGTAGAAGTTTTCTCCCTTCGGAATACAGTTTAACTCACACTTATTGGGTGCTGGTAGGAGAGAAAAAAAATACTGTGTACCATGGTTAATAGCTTGCTAATGCATCAGAGTCCTGGTTTTAGATTACAGAAGCAGAAAGAGGAGTGAACTGATATTAAGTGGCAGATATAGAGCAGATTTCTGTGTCACAAACTGCTGGATGATGGAAAAGTGCCCTGGGAAAGCCTCACTGTATGCATCCTTTTCCTCAGGCACTGTGATTGGCAAGTGCTAGAGAGGTCATGTTGGCCCATGGGATATTTGGTTCCTTAGTAGAACTCTTCTTACACCCCACAGAGTGAGTACAAAGCTTTTTGGAAAGAGAATAAGTGTTGGTACAGAACACAAGAAAGCTGTTATTTTAACAGACAGTAAGTCACTGGAAATGAACAGAGTGAGGATCTCTTGTTCCTAAATCTGCCTTCTGAAGCGGTTTCTCAAGAAAGTGTGGGCCAATTGCAAATATCTTATGTTTTCTAAAGGACTTATTAGTTACATGCATTTATTTCTCATGCATCTTGCTAGTATTCTTTCACAAATACAGTAAAATACAGCAGAGCTGTGGCTTCTTTAATACTTTATGATCAACTGCAGCGAGTTCCAGCTTTCTTGAGCAATGTTCCTGAAAGAACAGCTGTTACAAGAGACAATTATGTACTGCTGCTGTGGTAGGTGTTTCTTTGCCCATGTAGCATCTTCATGTCAGCAATGCTTTGCTGCTGACAAGAAGATAATATCCATGCCACAAACCCCCTTGCTACTCCAGTTAGGGAAATATCTACTGTAAGAATACATTCTATAACATAAAAACATATTGTTGATAGTCAGAGATGAAGAGTAACTCTACTTTACTAGACTTATTGTTACCTCCATAATACGGAAGCCACTTGTATTTCTTTCCTTGAAATTCTGTCCCGTCAAACTCTGCACACTGCTCTGCCCGGAAATCTCTGGAACTTTCCGGACAGCTCTGTTTGGAGGAGAAAACATTTTCACCAGGCCACCAGGAAAAGGAGGAGAATTAAGTGTGCAGCTAAAAATTTCCCTTCTGTCTCACACATAAAATCTTAGGATAAATTATTGTCTGGGATCAATATTCTTTTGAAGAGATACCATTGATGAACAGCATTCATCAGTAATGCCAGAGAAAGAGAATCTAACAATAGCATATTACTTCTGAACATGAATGGGAAAAGGAGCAACAAGAAAGCAAAAAAAGCCAACAGAGTACAAACACTGTGCTCTACCTGAATATTGCATGAGCGATAGCTTCGAGTTGGTCCAATGCAACTGGAAGCACTTTCTGTCCTGAAACACCAAAAAAATCCCATTAAGCTGTCTGAACACAGGAAAAAAATCATCTCATGGTAGATATCCCCAATAACCTTCACATACAGCATATAATATTTACACAGTCTCCTGAAGCAGCAAAATAATGAAAAAGCACTTCTTCTTTCTTACTAATGCAAGTTTGTATTTTCTAGTGCTATTTTCTGCTACAGACTGCAATCTGTCATGAATGAAACATAAAACCAGAACAATTACAGGATAGCTCTTCAGCACTGTTTTCACTAAGTAATGGAAGTAGAACTTTTTGTCCTTTGTCCACTAGCATATAGCTGACATATCCTTACCAGACCCAGGCACATATTCCAAAAAAGACAGCGGTGGCTAATTCAGAATAGGTATGCATATCACTTACTGTGCTATTTATATGCACTCTAAGCCCATTCCTAGGGAGAGCTAAAGATGCCCATGAAGAGTGTGCAACAATGGTTCCAGTCAAATGTTTTCAGCTGAGAATTATGGAGAATAACAGCCGTGAAGTATATTGATCTGAAAAGTCAACAAAAATCTAACATCTCAGCACTTCTAAAATGGAGAGACAAGTCCCCAAAAATTCTAAGCAGGGAACAAGACATGAGTGTATACCATGACAGGCAGCCTTCAAAGATGATCCTCTTTAAATCAGGGTGAGGTGGTTTCTTTCCCCTCTGATGTTATTGAGGCTGAAGGTTATTATTATTATTATTATTTTTCCTTTTCTTGCTTTTTATACAACAGGATCTCTCAGGTTCATAATTCCCAACCAGTACACTTCTAGTCACTGTCATCACTAATCTAATCAACTACAAATGAGATGGGACTGCATTAACAGTGCTCAAGCCTACTCCACTCCTGCACCATTCACTGGAGCAATTCATCTTCCTGGAAATCATAAGCCCAAGAAAATCTTGGCATAGCCACTGGCTCCTGAGAGAGCAACCAAATGCTCTGACCTCTCCTCCAACTCCCCCAGGTCTCCCACACTAGACCTGATTGAATAGGTGCTGCCATACCAGTCACCTCATTGTACAGCCTCAGATCTCAAAGAGAGATCACTGTATTCAAGCAAAGGAGTCAAAGCAAAGACACGTTAAAGACAGCCTTTTTCAAAAGAGCAGTGATGAGATTAAAGCAAAGGATTGTGTCAAAGTGGACTCAGATGACTTTTGCCTACATTTAAAGAAAGAAAAATGAGGTTAGACCTTACCTTTGGAAGTAGCAGCGCCGTTGCCGAACACTGACTCCACCACCACAGCTCCGACTGCACTTGCCCCATTCACCCCAGCTTCCCCAAACACCAGTCTGCCGCCTCATCCTATGGCCCTGTAAATAACACAAAACACAAACATATCAAACAGACAGAAGGAAAACGACAAACAAACATACACAATGAAAATGAATCAGAACGCCTATTTGTTCTCTTCCAAAATAGACTCTGTTGCTGCCTTGCATTCCTACTATGAAACGTGGCAGAGAACAATACATCAGAAAAGCCAAGCCTCTAGTAACTAGAAGTAGTATATTCCCGAGGACATACAGCAGCTCCAACTTCATAATCTCAGTACTTTGGAATAATCATCTGAAAGATAACAACTCCCTCTCAGCAAGGCAGTAGAGGCAAACCATTAATTCAGGAGCTGTGAGTACTGTCACTCCAGACCAGATAAACACAACCTCTTTACTACAAATCCTTAGCTCCAAGACAGATAGATACTTAGAAGAAATGAAGGAAGCAGTAAGTAAACCCCTAGAACACAGATCTTAAGGCAGAAAAAAAAAAAAAAAAAAAAAAAGAATATCTGTATTTGGACATTTTTCACCTGCACAACATTTTACATGTTAAGGTACGGGCCATCACTAGCAGTAGCCTTAACTCATTCTGTTTTAGAAAGTCATACTGAGTACTTATATTAAGAGAAATCAGCATGATAATGTGGATAAGATGTTATAATTGCAATAGAATTACACAAAATACATTGTTGTAGAAGCATATAAAATAAGTTTTCAGGAAGGAGGCCTGCTGCAGCTGACAGGATCTGCATACAGCAGAACACTGTCCCTCTTCACTACAGGGGTGTTGGACTAGATGGCCTTCAGAGGTCCCTTCTAACTCCTCTGATACTGTGATTCTATGATTTAGTGGGAAGAATAGCAACATCCTGAAAATAAAAATAATTGCAGGATGCAATGTTTGCGAAAAAAAACAACAGTGAATGAAGAGTTGCTCAGGGAGTGACACTGTAAAGATAGGAATTGCTGAGCAGCTACACCTGTTGGGCAGTTTACATACATATTACACAGCTGATAAGGTAATACATACCATTTGGGCATTTAGGTATTTGAGTTAATGAGGAGAAGAAAGGCAGAGGAAGACTCAAAAAGGAGTCAGAAATCGTATCTTTGCAACCTCCATTTCCTTTTCCCTCTCATCTTAATAGTCTGCAAATTCATTCAGCAACGTGCAAGGATCCACAGCAGCTCCTGCTTGCGGTTCATTACTCCAGAACACAAGACAGACTACAACAAGCCGTATGTCTGCCGTGGTAGAAGGATCATGAAGAAAGGTGAATATTAATACATTTTCTATTTACACCTCTTACTTCAAGCGAGAGCTCAGGTGATAATCTAGTGGCAGATCATTCATGCTGTAAAGACATCAGGAGTCTATTTAAATTGCGTGCAGTGAGACTGGCAATCTTCGGTAGGTCCAGGCTGCTCTTGCACAATAAGAAGCAGCTCCTTCTGAGAGCTGCGTATTGCAAGCAGGCATCACTTCATAATGTCATTACCTATTTGCAGTGCAGTTTCACTTCTTGCTGGTTGATGCAGGCCAATGCTAGCTTGGCTAATTCAGATTAAGGCTGTAAGGCTATTATTTTGGTGTGTAATTACAATCCGTTATTGAAAACGAAAGGTTAAAAAAAAAAAAAAAAGAGACATAGCCAAACTTTCTTTCACCCACACTGTATATTCCAATATTCCAAATCTACATAACCTCTGGGTCTGGCTCCCAGCTTATCCTCGAGATTCACAGAGCTCCTTTTGTGACTAGATTACTTCACCTCACAGCTTCACTCTCCACATCTTCCTGCTTGTGTTCTGTTACCATCCCTTCCTGTTATCCCTCCTGCATTCTCATGTAAATTACTCCCTGATGATCAGGCAGCTGGTGTCGTTGTAAGAATTTTCTACCGGAGTGGAGGAACATGCTAGAGATGTAGAATTTCACTATTGCAGGGGTATTACCCCACCCAATTCACACTTCGCACCCACCAGGGTTGCTTTCCAGGGCCTACAGAGAAGGCAGGAGCTCCTCACTTCTTGAACGTATTTTTCATTTCAGTTAATCATTTTTACATAAGACATACAAATCTCTTCGAGAAATAGGAACTATCCTATAATTATAAATTATCCAATGAATTCAACTTGGGCAAGATGCACGAGTTAATCCTCCCTTGTCATGTAAACAGTTTTTGTAATTTTCTGCACATACTCCCTGCCTGATTGCAAGTTCTTGAGTTATAGTCTTGTTATTCTTCCTCTTGGCCACTTTTAAGAAGTAATTCCCTGCTACAGACAGGGCAATACAGTCAGAGATATCTTGCTGTATTTATGCAGTTGCTACGACCATACCCACAACTATCATTGTCCAGAGTCACTCCATTTTCATCCTGCCTCTACTGCTTTAAAGTGAAGCTCATTTTTCTTGGCCTATGCTATTTGATTTTCTTCATGTAAGTATTTGTGCATTTCTTTCTAACACCTCAGCAAGCAAAATCCTTCAGGACAAGTTTTCTAGTTCAGACTAACTCTGTTTACCTTCACTGCTCACTCAATGGCACTACCCAGGTTACAGCCACTTCCACATATTTTCTGTCTGCCAAGTCAGTGTCACTCTGACCTCTTGCCAAACCTAGCTACCATTGTTCTGTTCCAAATATTCAGCTCAGTGTTTGCCTTTGGCATTCTCATTTGCCTTTCCGGGAGTAATCCCATCAATAGAGTTTTAGCTTTCAGAAAAGCGTTTTATTTTCCCAAGTGTTTATTTCAGCACATAATTCTGCCCCCTGTAATCCCTCCTCCCTTACTCCCAAAAGAATGAAACATGCTACCACTCTAATTCTCTGCAGTCTTATTCCTCTGTATCAGCTGACTGATTTAGGAGCAGTATTAGCTCACCCTGGAAACAAGGAATCTTTCAGTCACCATAAGGGTGAAGAAAACATGTAGATAAAAATCCAAAGGAGGAGCATTTGAAAGTCAGATTACTGGAAGGCAATTAGGACAGAAAACCCTTCCCTGACACGCACACCAACATGATAAATATTCCAATATCCCTCCTACAGAAGTAGCATTCTTTATTCCTTCTACAGAGAGCAAAATCTGCAGGGACTCTTTGTTGTAAGCCTTATACATCTGCAGAGTGCAGAAGCAATCATTTTCTCAGTATCACTCCATTTATGTACACCCCAAAAGGAGTGTCAGATAGAAGAATCCTTCCAAATCTGTACGGTGTTAGAAATCTTTTAATAGGAACCCAACTCCCAATACAGTCAATATGTGACTGTATGCATGCGTGCACAAATATAAAGCAACATAATAAATAAGGAAATTATTATTATATATTCTGTTAACAATATGTTTTAAGATGCTATCAGCTATTTTCTGTCCCCAAAGCCTCCTTATGCTCTGCACTGACTCCAGAATACTTTTATCTATTGTCAGCCAGAATCACTAAATGCCAGGCCCTGCTGGACCCTGGAACTAAAGGCCTAAAAACTTAATCATTACTACTAATTCAATTGGCTACGTTCCTCCCCTGCTTGAGTTTAGCATGATTCAAGAATGTAGATCCTCTATCTGCAGAAAGTACATATTTTAATGTTTCAGAAAAAGCCAGAGAAAATATACAATTATCTCACTTCTGGAAACTCCAGAAAGGATGAACAGTTAATGCCTAGCTGCTCTGTCACATTCTGTTGCCTGTTAAAGCAGTGGAAATGTTTATCTTCAAGCAACATTGATGAAGAAAACATGACCCAGGAACCACGTGCTCTCAGTGCTCATTGGTAAGCAAGCTGGGCTAGTCCAAAAGTTTAGAAGGTCAATGATTTCATTTTTATGGACAGTGCATTGCTTTCATCAATTCCTTGATAGAGGTGTTAGTGATGTAGTTGGATCACCTGCTTTATCAGGCCAACTGATTCTGACAAAACAAGCAAATAGAAGACCTATGTTTCTGAATCACTACAGCTGCAGTCTTTAAAGAGAATTTCAGTATGTATCAGACACACACAATAAGATAACGCTGGAAAATGGCACTAGATAGTATAATATATATCATAAAATACATGTTTTTGCATATGAAACATGTACTGGCAAAGAAGCTATGAGTGGTACCTCAAAAAAGCCTGAAAAACGCTGGCAGTACATAGGAACAACTTAGAGAGGGCCCCTGAAACACTTATCAATCAGTTCGATGACGGATAGGAAACTATGCACAGGCAGAGAGTGCATCCCAGATGTGCACTGTAGGGATGCAATGATCTACAAAGTTCACATAATTTAATATGGATTATGAGTCAATATAAGTATTTTCCCCTAGTGCCTTGACATTAATTACTAATAATCTATGAAAGCAAACATACATTTACTACACAGTCCAAAGAGAGCAGTGAAGATTTGCAATCACAGGTTCAAACAAACTAAATTCCAGTCAAAATCTTCCATTTAGTGTTGCCCTACTCATTGGGCACCTTTGATGGCCTACTCAACCTTAATTGTTCCATGACTCTTTGTGCTGCCTTTCCAAATAGGCAAGCAGCAATAAAATGCCACATTATACAGCTCCAACAGTCATGATCAGTTTTGGACAAGACTACTGCTCAATTTTAGCTCAGCAGGTCACATATCTTTGTTTCACTGAGCTGCAATTGGAGGATCTTTCTGGATGCTGAAAAGTTGTTATTTTGACTTCTGAAACTGCATCATGCACTTAGAAGATTCCATTCAGACCCAGGAACATCTAAGTGCCAACACTGAGACTGGTGGGAAATTTACACTGTAAGTTTACATTGGAAATTCTTTACATTGGAAGTACAAGACTCTGTACAATTGTTACCCACTGAATATAGATACAGCTGCCAATGATAACTTGAATAACGTGAAGTTGATTCCCCAGATGTAACTGTCATTTTATAAAGCACTTCTGTGGTGTAAAACTACAGTTAAAACCAGAGTGTTTCTCTTTAATCTTTCACAGTATTTCTCAAATAGATAACACTCCACTACTCTTGCTTGATAAACACTAACTTTCTGGGGTTTATATTTCTGAAATAAGGCTTATCTTAACACACTTTGAATTCTAGCCTTGCTGTTGGAACATCTATGAAAGAAAGGAAAAACCAAATGTTTTACAAAAGAAAGTTATCTCTGTAGCCATTTATTGCATAATGGTTTCATTGCCAAAGATTGGGCTAATAGAAGTCTTTGTGGAGCTTTACTAGGTTTGAATAATAATTGCTTAGAAAGAGTTAGCTTCTTACAGAAAGATTAATGAGGTAGACTAAAAAAAACCAAACAACAAAACAGAGCTGACAAGGTGTCAGGAGGGGAGCTGGGGCCCAGTGGCAGGATCTCCCAGGGGCAGCAGAGCAAGGCTAGACTTTACAGCCCAGCTGTCTTTACAGCCAGGCCTGTCTTATGGGATGAAGCACTTCCCTGGGGCTGGGAGCACGCCCTATTATGGTACTGCTGTGGGGCTGACGGGTCTGAGGGCTCAAATGGAGCAAGGTGGAAGGAAGCTGGTCAGGGCCAGCCTAGCAATGCCATCAAGGCTCTGGAAAACAACACACCTGGTATGTATGCTAAAACCACATACTCTTCAGGATGTGAGCTATTTCCTTCTCCTTTCTACGTCCAGAAGACCTGTCCTGTACTACAATGATGACCACTTAAAATATTTCCACACAGCTATGCCCTGCAAGATGTGGCATTCACACCTAACTGTCAGGGACTGAGAACGTTCAGTATATCTCAGACGTTTCTAATGTAGTTATATGCTATTATTCCAATAGATGCACTTTCAAGATAAATCCATCTGTAACCAGCTATGCTATTAGCCTAAAATGCAAGAAAAAATAGGCGAATGAACATGAACAAAGCATTTTTTATAATTCCCTCTTAACCATTGATCTTGGCTCAGACACAGCAGGCTTGCAAAGAGCTTTGAAGGTAAAGAATGCCAAGTACCATTTTTATGAATAATGAATAAGCAATCAAAGAATTGCATTTGAACAAACCTAGGAAAAAAAAAGAATGAGAGAGAACAAGATGGTGACAGCAGGAAGTGAAACACAAAATGATACAGAAGAAGAGAGCAGCTTATTAAGAGAAACTGTTTGTCAAAGAGAAGAAAAAGCAAGGTTTTAACAGTTGAAAGGCTTGAGGTTTGAACTCACTGCGTCCATCTTCCATTGCCCTCTACCACCTAACCCTGGCTTGTTAGCATATCCTCTCCAATAAACCCACTAAAATCTATCTGTTCCCCTACAACTTCAGCCCCTCCAGATACTTTAGGTTCTTCTTTGAGTACTTAACGCACTCCCTTTCAGTTCCCAAATCATTCCCATATTCCCTATGTTTACCACCCTCGGCACACCTCACTCTTTCTACCCCGTTATGGGCTCTAGCACAATATAGCTGTCTCCTTCCACATCCCCTGCTTTTCTGTCAGCTAGATAGAGCATAGCACCTGCCTCACCTACTGCAGAACCAGGTAGGTGCTGCCTCAGGACTAATTTAATGGCTAGTGGGCAGAGCAGGTAATAGCTACTTTTCAGAAATGGAAAGCCTTCCTGAGGCTCAGGGTGGCCTGGAGCTGACTAGAGTATAAGAGCAAGCTAAAAAGACGCAGCCACTGCAGAGAAGTTAAATTAATTACTGAAATTCCTGAGGAAGAAACAAAAGACATTCAGAAAGCTCCACAAAGAAGAGGATTGTGAGAACATTTTACGAACACAGAGTTATTTTGGAAAAGTGGTCAAAACAAACAGAATGAAGTCACTAGAAATTGTTTATCCAAGTGACCTAACAGGAACTCAAGGTTGAAACAAACAAATGATTACATACTGGCAGACAGCTTTTTCAGCTAAAACTGCTTCAGTATGTGATTATTGAGAAGTGGAAAATCTGACACCAATTTACAAATGGGTCCCAAGAGAACCCACAGAATTACACAGTCACATACTATAAAACTGGCATCTACTAAATAAATTAATAGAAACTGTAACAGAGAACAGAATTAGCAGATACCTGCATAAATATATTTGGGGAAGAGTCAACTAGGCTTTTTTAAAGACAAGCCCTTCTAAGGCCGTTGCAGCTCTTCAAGATATTTGTAAATATACCAAAAAGGTTATCTGTCTGATATATTCAGATTTCCAAAAACCTTTGTACAAAATCCTTCACCTAAAGTTTTGAAGGAAGCTAAGTAGCCAGAAGGAAAATCCTTACATGGATAATAAACGGGTGACCAGAAGTCAAAAACAAATGTAGAAGTGAAATCTCCATTCACTGCAAAAATTGACATAAGCAGCAGAATTCTGTAAGGAACCTGAACTGCTCAACACATTAACAAATTACACCATAAACATGGAAAAAACAAAGATGAATGATAGGCATAATAAAAGACAGAGAACTAGAGACACACTGCAAAGAACTACAGAAAACCACTACAGGATGACTGATGGGTTACTAAAACAAAAATTGGGATTTCATGTACATAAATTAAGCGATGCAAAGGAAAAAAGATAAATCCTATCCTAACAAATACAGTGATGACATATGATTTAATCACTAAAGAGCAGAATCTTGGTTTTGACAGAAATGTTGTGCCATTAGAGGTTTAGATTGCTTCAAGGAGGCAATGAACAAGTTTGGGAAAGAGAAACAGAGATGACTCCAGTCTGAAGGGTTCATAAACCACACGTGACTGGACATGGAAGCACACTGAGAAAAATTATGCATAATTTACCACTCTTCTAATAGATTTTTCTAGACATCTGCTTATGATGTAGCTGGAATCAGAATATATGGCAAAACAAACCTTTGGTTCTACACAGTATGCTATGGAGAGCCACCATAGCAGAATGTCTCGGTGCTGTTGGATCTTCTTTTTATAGCTTGGACAGATCCAGCACATTAGGGAAGCTGAAACAAAGCGGTGGCCAAAGCAAAACCTTTTTCCTTCATTCAGCATGCCTTCAAGAGGACCTACTGACTGCATACAGGGAACAGTCTAATGCTAAAGAGAAATGCCAGTATTTGTGTTTGTATATAGGGTGTTTCAGACATTTCCCTTCCAAAACATCACCAGGCTGCAAATAGGCAGGTGAGCAGATGAACTGATTAATGCCTATTCCGCTTGTGGTTCTTTCGCCATAAAGCATAATCTTCTTCAGGATCTGAGATAGAAAGATCTTATTTAAGCTTATTTCCAACTCAAGATAAGAAGTCTATGACAGCTAAAAAACTCTGCTTGGTTTCTGGCATCTTGTCCCTTATCTTCAAAGGAGGCCTACAAAGCACTTGCAAATTCTGAATATAGGAATAGAATTTCATAATTGCTTGAGAGATTAAAAGTTATGGACTCATTAATTTTAGTGGCATATAATTCCTCACAACTCCCACTAAACACTTAACTCCAGGTGATAATTACTTCTCCCCTCTTCTGTTCCTTTACATCTAATAAACATAACACTTCTTCCTTTGCTGAGACTTCCCATCTACTCAGCAGGTCACCCTTTACTTCAGATTGTCCAACTCATTAATACAGCTGAAGACAAATTCAGAAGCACTGCTCTCAAACTTCATTTACTTCAGAAAGGTCCCACTTTTCCCTCAGAAAAGAAGAGGAACCTGAGTTCCTAACAACTGTGCTCCATTTCTGACAATACCGAATTGCTTTAGTATAGTTGTTACATCCCCCCTTAAAACCTAAACCATACATCTTCTCTCTTTCGTGTAGCCTTACTGGTTTAAATCAGCTAACCAAAGATTCATTCGTCTTACTTCCAGTGTCAGTTCTCTAAAGCTTTGAAGCAGGATATAGCAATTACTGCTTTGCAAATAACAATTCTCAAGCCAAAGGCACTGCCAGAATTTTCTCGTTTAATTGCCACATTACACTTTTCTTAAAGTACCACAGTAGGCCTGATGAGTTCAACCCATTAGTTCTTTTGGACATACTTCCTACAAATATCTTTAATTTCTTGCAAAGGTATTCAGAAGAGCTTTTACTTACTAAAAATGCAGAAGGCAGCATCTCTGCTAGCAGGAACAGAAGGAGCAAGTTCTTCATCTGTGTCTGGGGGAACACAAGGAGTATTGATCAGAATTGCTTGCTTCTTTGCTGCTTGTATGGTGACAAAGCTCAAATATCATACAGAAAAAAAGTTATGTGGAACTAAAATCAAGATTAGAGAAGAAAAGCAGTTTTATCACTACGCTCCCTCGATAGATGAAGGCAACTGCAAAGACTGAAAATACCTTGCACAGAAAGCCAGAATGTAATTACTGAGCACAAATATTTCCCTGAACTTTCCTCTGGTATTATGAGAACTCCATCCCCAGGCACAATGGAAGACGCATGCCGCTGCTTGCCTGCCCTCCCACCCTTTTACATATACACATGATAAAACACTAAGATTGTAAGGACTTCAACCAACCCAAGGTAAGAAATTCTGCAGTTAACATTTCTGCGTCCTGTAGTCATCCTGTGTGGCTTGGTGAAGCTTCACATCTCTTGTATGATCTTGCATGTTTAAAATCCTACAGTTTGTCATAAACAGCTATAACTTGGTTTAATCAACTGTAGTTGCAGCCCCTTTGCAGAGCTAGAAAGGAGACTAGGGCCACAGAAACTATGAAGGCAGGATACAACTGTTTCAAATTAAAAAAAAAGGAAAAATAAATAAAAAGATCAAGGTATTATGCTAATTTGGAACCTCAGCATTATACTGAGGCCTCTTGCTACTTTATCCTTCCTCCTGTAAGTTGCAGAAACCAAACCCACACCAACCACCATCCACCACAGTTTACAGCTGTGAAAAATGGTACTTTGGTCACTAGATAGTTCTTACTCCTTATGGCCCCCTTCTCATGACTTGTTGACTCAGCTCAGAAAGAAGAGATACACTAGATACTCCTAGCATGGCTTTTATCTAGACCAAGTTTCTATGGGAAAAGGAAAGGAAAAGCCTTCTTTTCACAATGCCTTTAAAAAAAAAAAAAAAAAAAAAAAAAAAAGACACCCCTTTTAATATTAAAAAGTCATATATTGTCCCCTTAACCTGACCTATTAAATCCAGATAAAATGTAAACAGATACCACAATTCTAGTGCTGCCATAAAATCATAACATCGTACCAAAAACAAAATGAAACATGCTTGATAGAGCATTTGGGTCTTTCAAGTAACTTTATGATGGGCAACTATTTTTCTTGTAGTGCTATGCCTCACTGAATCCACTCTGCTCATTACAGCTCTATAAGTCCATGCATAACATGGATTTTTACGTTCCCAACATTCAGAGCGGTGAGTGGTGATGAAAAACTTGTTCTCTACTATTTTTCCTTTGGAGTACTGAAATTAAGCACTGAAAACCCAGCTGGACCAAATTCTTTGTGCAAAATAGCAGGGAAATGCAAAAGAAACATAATGAGAAAATAAGCTTCTGCCACTATATTCTGAGTGCCAATCATACGATTCCTAAGCAAATGAAGCTTTTGGAGCTTTATATATGAATAGACTTTCATTCACTTTGGATTAGCCTTCTTAAGAAACTGAGAAAAGACTATGTAGCCTCTACTTCACACATGCGCTATTAATTCTCTTTCAATTAAAATCAAAGGAAAAAAACATCTAGAGCTGCCCACCATAACAGGTTAAATACTCCCAGTGCAGATAAGGCCAACAGCTAGATCTGTGTCATATCCCTATCCAACAGTGACATTTTCAGATATGTAGAACAGCCGTGAGAGACTTAGATATCATAGAATCATAAAATGGTTTTGGGTGGAAAAGACCTTAAAGATCACCTAGTTCCAATCCCCTGCTTTGGGCAGGGTTGCCAGCTACTAGATCAGGTTGCCCAGGGCCCCATCCAGCTCAGTCTTAAAAATTTGCTAGGGATGGGGTAAAACAACACTTTTGCTACAAGTTATGCACAGAAAATAGGAAAAGTCTTATGAAGCAGCTTATAATGTCCTTACACCACTGGCAAAGGGCATTGTAACAACAGCATTTTTTTTAAATGGTATTGATGTCAGAGATAGATATTTGAGACTCTTCAGCTTCTTTTCTTACTGTCCAGAGAAAAATCTCTTCCCCAGCATTTCTCTTTCATAATTTCCATTACAGGCACTTCTCAGGTTCACATGGACAGCTGTGGGAATCACATCCATTGCTACAGCAGCCTAGGACTGCTGCTAATGTACTGCCCACTCCTGAATCCGAACCTAGAGGTAGATAAGAAGCTGAGCCAAAACCACGATGTTCCTGGAAAGGAAGCTAGAGAAGCAGCTCAGCACAGCCGGCAGCGCTACCAGTCCCCTAGTAGTTAGAGCATCTTGGAGGGTTTTAGACAGGGTAAAAACATTCTATGAGGAGACAACCAGAAACAGCATCAAACATATGGGACAATCCCTAGAAAAAGCAACAGGTTATAGCTCTCACGCTCACTTGCGCCTTTGTGCAATCGCATGAGCACGGAAATTGCTTTCAGATGTCTAACATCTGGCCCAAATTTAGCATTAAAATGTTTAGGACATGCAGCCCTATTAAACTAGTCAACAGATTCCAGGAAAAATGGTCAGAAGGAGGAGTAGGGACTTTTTTAGCCCAGTAAGTGCTCCACTGCAAGACAAATCTCATGGCTGATTCTCTGAGCTTCAACAAACTTGTTATTTTGAAAGCTTCCTAAGGTGTTGTATTCACCACTGATCCTTTCAGCCTCAATTCCAACTGGAAATTACACAGATGGGACCTGTGAATCTGTCTGAAACCTTCAAGAAAAAATGTTCAAGTTATGCAGTTATGCTTCTGGATTTAATGGCTCTTTCAGTCCTTACAGGACCTGGGATATGGCAACATATGTTATTCTGTTTGTTTTGCCATTCTTCTCACTGAAGCCTGAGTGTGCGGGGGAAGGAAAGAAAAGGACAGTGTTTCACAGTGCTTTCACTTGTGACAACAGCAGCTGCTGCGCTCTGTGCCTCCTGCCCTCCTTTAATTCTTTTCAACTCTCCCCACCTACATTTCCCACTGTTAAAGCAGCATCTCCACCCCCCTTTCATTCAGAAATAGTAGCAGGGCCGGAGGGGAAATCATGACTATACACCCTAGATATGGAACGTCTGCTGGAAAACTAACAAGTAAGAATTCCTACCACAGTGCTAAAATCTGAAGTTACATCAGTAAGAGGGAGTATGAGAATCAACTCACAATAAGTGAGAGGCAACCAGGATCTACAACCAGAAGTAGAGACAGGCCCAACTGAAATCTCTGTTCAATACAGCAGAAGAAATTCAAGTTTTCTAGCCAACTGCATCTGCTACTAACTGCTCAGGTTATATGAGTAGAAGGCATAGCTGAACTATGAAGCTCTTTTCTCCAACAGGGGCCAACCCAAACCTGATTAACACTAGAGAAGTTTAATCTTGGAATTAAATTTAGCAACTAAGGACACTTACTTCTGTTCCAAAACAATAAGGATCAAATAGTATTTTGTGGAAACTTGAGAAACTTCTTTTTTGACAATACCTACAAAGCATATTCTGGTCCACTTTCTGAACTGCATTCACAGTCCTGACTTCTGTCTGGCACTGCGAACAGGAGGTGCAGAGTGTCACAGAGGTGATGGCTATCATTTCTAAGCCAGGACATAACTCATCTTTCAACATTTATGCTCCCAAGGAAACAAGAACTACATTGCCTGTGTATATACAGAAAAATTACTTTCAAACTGCCAATTGATTTCAAGGTTTCAAAAGTAGAAAAGCTAACTTTCTTTGAAAGGAAAAAGTATACAGGGCAGAGATGAAGAGATAGTATATTTCAAACTCATGTAACTCATCTGTAACTTTGGATAAGCATCCTTATTTCAGGGCTTAACACTGAATCTACTCAAATAAGCTTTTGCTTTAACAAATAAAATGTCTAGAAAAGACAGACAGGCAGTCTTGGAGATTTCTTTATAGCAAAGCCAACAGTAAACTGGTTTTAAAATATTTTATTTAGTTACAAGGGCCACGGAGGCTTAACAAGATCAGTGAATCATGCCTTAGAACCAGGAATACGCTTTGACACAAACTGAAGAGAATCAAGGATAACCGTAATGACTTCTGTGTTTTCTTTATGTGTATAAATCCTCCTAGTGCACAAAAAAATGGTCACGATCACCTACATAAACTTGAACTTTTTTCCAAATCACTTCTCAATATCCATGCTCCGCGGGAAACAAGAACTACATTGCAGAGATACATACTTGTGTGCATAAAAGTAACTTTGAAACTAATTTCAAGGTTTCAAAAACATTAAGTTAACTTCTGTGGGAGAGAAAATGACTTCTTTTCAACAGGAGGGAATCTAAATTTGAAAGAGATGTCATGAGTAACTCAGCCTTGTTTAAACAATAGCTTAAACTGTTCAGATGCCACAGAATCAAGTCAAGAAATCAGAAGAAAATGAGTATTGTTAGTTGCAGTGCTTCTAGTGGTATGTGGCTCTCTCTGTTTAGCAAATAAGACAGTCCAATCTTCTTTTGCCTGCAAATCATGTTTCTAAATCACGCCTTGGGCAAAGGCATATACCACATTTGCTGGTCAGAGACTGTTCTGAAAGGCAGGAGATAAATGTCTCCTTCAGGGTGGGCTCCTCTCTGTTGCCAGACAAGATACAGCCAGGCTGGGCTTGCAGTTAATTTCCAAAGCTAACTAGCAGTACTAGCCTAACCAGCCACTTACAGCTAATTTCTCATCCCAGTCATTGATTTGGATTTTCAGTGTGGATCTATTGTTTTCATCTTGAGAGAAGCTGCCTTTCCACAGCTTGAGCCACAGGTTAGCAACTGCAGTAACTATTTGCTCACTGCAGTACTGATCAGAATTGCTCATTGTAAAGTTTAGCACATCTGACATTAAAGCAGAAGTTGTCAGTGTGATTTTACTGCTTGCACATTTTCAGCATTTCCACCCCACTTGTACCACTATCATTCCCCACTCCCACATCTTCATACATCATATCTTTCTCAATTATTAAATAAATATAAATAAAATATCAAACCTAATAAAGGAGGTGGGGAATCAGAAAGACTATTACATTGTCCAGTTTTCCAGTGGCATCAGTTTTCTTAGCCATTCATTGAAGTCTCTAAGTTTTTAAGCCATTGCATTTTTCTGGAACACTATGAATTTTTGCTTTGCTTTCTCATGTTTCATCTTTCTTTGTTTTGTTACCATATCTTTCAGGTTTTCGGTGAGTTAAAAATGGAAAATACAGATGTGGTAAGAAGGGCAGGATGAAAGACAGCAGGTAATGGAACAGGGATCAATTACAGGGGAAAAAACTTTTACTTATGCTGAGTGCAGCATTGGGAAAGCATGAGGATCACATCACAAGGCCCAGAGGAACCAATAAACATGTTCCTTTGGACAGAGAACGTCACATCCAAGATACATCTTAACATCATGCCTACCTGTTCTCTTCCCTGCCTACAGCAAATGATTTTTACTTTTTTTATTTTTCAAAAAGAAAATCAGGGCCAGATGCCCTTTGGGTTGGGTGGATTGGACTATTCATGTGCATATGCTTGTTAAAGTGAGAGGATGCTAAATTTCCTTTGTCTTGACCACACAACAAGCCACATTTATAAAGAGCTGTCTGTATACAAAGCAGTGGCTAAACGTTTATTAAATGTGTATTTAAATACGAGACTAGTTGAAGGCGCTTAGTGAAATAAGAAGGGAGGGAGGGAGAAGGTAAAAAAAACACAAATTGAGTAAAAGTTTTACAGAGTTATTTTTATCACTGATACAGATTTATTAATTCATTCTACATACATGCTAGGAGTAAAGAAACCTCATCAAAAAGCAATCCTGAAACGATGTACTTTCAGCAATAATATGCATTTTAATTTTTCAGCTGAATAACTCTAAAAATGTACCTTTGTAAAGTTAAACAGTTAAGAAAAACATGCTAATGAGCACAGCAAGAGAGCACCAGCTGAATAGCAACATATGAGCTTCTTCTAGAATGCTATATCAACAGCCTTTCAACTCAGCCTTCCGCCTGATTCATAGCACACACAAAACCTGAACTGGAGCATTGCTTAACATCGCTGACTCTGAAGTCCTCTGTAAAAACACTGCCAGCATATAGCAACATCAAATTCAGCACCACCTGCGTAAGCTATAGCAGCCTATCTCATACAGTTCTATATTCAATAGAGCAATCACACAAAACATAAGCTGAAAAACCACTGGGTGGAAGAGCAAGATTAGAATGTGTAACACACAGGAAGCCTAGGAAGACATCACACCATACCCTACTGGGGAAGAGGTTGATTTGCTTCCTTCCCAATCTCCACACTGCAGGAGATTATATAGTGCTTCATGAGGACAGCCATCTTTCTATCTATTAATATCAGATGAGATTCAATTTTCTGCATCCAGCCTTCCACTGTTGGGTTTGCAGCTAGAAATTCATTATGAGAAGATAGGTTTCTGCCTTCTACTTGGTAGTCTCACTGTCCTTAGTTGTTAATTAAGTATGTGAGCACATAAGGATAAAGACAAGAGCATGCAGACTATTTTAGACAATAAATATTACAACAAGCAGTCACACACTTCTAATGGAAAATGCACAACAAGGATATAATATCCCAAACATCAACAATTGTAGAGGAATGTCTAACAACCTTCTAGGTCAACTGATTCCCTCAGTAGCACAAACTTCACTTAAATGAATTATTTAGCCTGATTTGAAATAATACCTGACACTGAAGAATCCTTTAGTAAGATAAGGGATACTAGAGAACAACTTCCAATTTTATTTAACTTCATTTCATCCTAAACATAAATGTAGTAATTCTGATCTGTGCAAAAGGTTTTAAAAAAGTGAGTGCTATCTTAAAAGGAAACTTTTAAAAAAATACAAATTATTTTGTGTCTTTGCAGGATCTACATCTCTTCTCTGAAAGGATACTAACATTACATTCAACAGTGTACTTGCTGAACACTCATGTCACATCTAAATTGTTTGATGACAAACAACATTGATAGAAAACCAAAAATATTTACCCTGACTCTCACACAGGTTTCAACTGCTGCTACTTCCACATCTAAAATAATTACTTAAAAAAAAAAAAAATAATTAAGTTTTACCAACATATAGGTGCAAATAGGCCAAGCACAACCAACTAGTGTGGGTACATCTATTCCCTAAGCAGCTACCCTTGCAGACTATGATGCTGACATACCTCTGGTGACATGAAGCAGGAAATTCTTCAGAGAAATTAGTGGGCTTATTTCCATTGCTATGTAACACAAAGCTGATTAACAGAAGTAGAAACAAAAGACAGGGAAAAATAAGAATTAAAAAAATAAAAATCAAACACCAAAACTTCAGCTAACTTAGGAGGCAGAACCTCAGCTAGTGGAAATAGGGCCAGAGTCTCTAAGGACACCAGCCAAGAATCTTTCATCTGTCACCAAAAATTAACTTTGTAAAAAAGATCTTAGGAGAATGTGATCGCATGGCAGCGCCTGGAGAGATCTAAAAAGAAGCACGTGCTCAGCTGTGTGATCACAGCAAACTTACAACAGTGGGATTTAAATATAGATTGGCTCCTTGCTCTAAGACAGTTTTCTCCCACAGATGCCAAAAGCAAAACCTTTAGTTACTTCTTTAAGAGTTAAGCAGAGAAATAAACAATCTTTTGACAGTACTTATTTCCATACATCGTATCTGTATGTCAGGAAAACTTGAGCTTGTTAGTGTGTAGGGTTAGCATGAACAAGTGTTTTGTACGGAGACTATGCATATGACTACTCAACCAATCAAATCTTTAATGTTAAGGTCTCTCCTCACACATCTAGTAACTTCTGTTAGTCATCATCCAAGAAAAGATATTGGAGCACAACAAATCCTATTTCAAACCCAATAGCAAAGTTAAAAAATAAGACAGTGAAACTGCATTCAGCAGAGTATAATTTCCAGTGAGATAAGCTCTTCTGACAAGTCCATCATACCATGGGCATAACTGCAAACGACTGTGCTAGATCGGAGCAATTATCTGTCAGTCATCCAAATGTCTAGTCTTTGCAGCTATGGTGGGTACTGTAAGGAGTTTATCATCAGTTTTAATGCTTCTCAGAGATCTAAACGGAAACCAGCGTATTTTTTCAGTACTTCGCTCAGCATTTGTACACCAGAAGAACAATTCCTCCTTGTATCAGCTAAGGACAAGGCTCTAATACCAACTGTGAGAACACCTGTAATTATATCCAATGCGTTCTACATGTTGTTCTTACACAAAAATAGCATATCTCATCCTCTTACAAAAAAAAAAAAAGCTTTTTTTTTCCTGTGTACTGGTGAGTCATAAAGTGCATACATGATATCATAAAATGGTTAACATTTTATTAGCATTTAACAATGCTCTGAACAATAAGAAAGCCTTTTGGCAGCCTAAAGCCTACCTGTTTCAGGGCACAGAACATTAGTTTGTCTTACATATATATCACAGTCAGAAGGACATCTGAATCAAGACTGGACATGTATATATATGTATACATATATATGTATATATACATTTGCAATTTTCTATTGTCTAAAAAAAAAAACCAAAAAAACAGTTCTTTCAAAAAAAGATTTGCTCACATGTAAGCTTGCAACCATTTTTCTTGGTAGAACCAACAAGACACCTCTTTTCCTGTTTCCTGAATCCTTTCAGCACAGTCTTTCACATCGACTCCATCAAATCTTGGTGCCAACTTTGTAAGGCAAGTAATTCCTTAAGCAACAAGACATTTTACCAAGCAGGACCAGAGAAAGAACTCCATCCCCAAAACAGATACACAGGATTTGCATCAGAAGATTATCACTTATTGAAGACCAGCATTTAAGATAATTCATTCTACAACCATGATTGCTTGTATCCCTTAAAATTAAAGCCAATTAATTTGTTTTATTCTTAATATCATAAAGAGAGAGAGAGAGAGAGGATAGCAAAGAAAAACCTATACCTTTTCTCAAACATCCCTTCAAGTCATTTGTCAAAATCCTTTTCTCCAAAGCTACATTCAGAGTAGACAGTTCACTAGAGATTTGGAATATGCACATACTACAGAGCAGCATTTCCCTAAACCATCAAGTGTTTACATTCATGATAGAAAATATTTCAAAAACACCTCTGAGGTGCCAGGATGCTCTCTGGCGCGTGAGAACCCAGAAGTACACTTGAAGTCTAAATTATCTCACACAGATAAAGAAAATACACTAAAAGCAAAACTTCTGGAGACCTCAAGTTTACTTTATGCTTTTAATTTTTGCATTAATTGTTCTGTTTCACTAACCTCAAAAAACACTAATTCAAGCTAATGACATGCCAAAGATACATAGCCCTACCTACTTCTGTTGCACATCACACGCTTCTCTTCACTCCTTTTAACAGCAGAGCATTAATCCTAAAAGCCCAAAGGTGAGGCTGTCCAACACACATGGCTGTGCAGCACACCAACTCACCCACAAAGTGCACCTGAGAAAGAATGATTTTTCACAGCTGCTCCATTTACAGACCCTGGCTCTCACACTACAGAAGATGATGATGTGTCTTTAAGAGACCAGGAAAAAAACCTGTAAGTCGCAGAAAAGCTGGTGAAGAGCCATTTTAAGTGCAATAAAGAAAGCATAAGAGAAACTTTTAACCCTTGTGAAGACCCTTCTAAAAGTAACAAATAAGGTGTTCTTTAGGGTCCCTGCAGACAGACTTAACAAAATTTAAAATCTCCTTGATCTCTTGTACTAAGCTTAGTTATTTCTAACAACAGGAACTCCATTCAAGATCTTTAACTTTATCACAGCTTTGAAACTTAGTTATTAAGCAAACATTCCTCCATCCAACCATCCACAACGAACACCAAGACATCAGACTGCCCTACCATGTTGCCACCATTCCATTACCATCTCCTCACCAGCACAGTTCCCTTAGAAGCTTCTTGGCCTCCCTCGCACATCAGATCTCCTCTAGGTTGAGATCCCATCCTGCAAACCACCCTTTCACAAGCACATCTGCTGATTCAAGCACCACTGTTCAAGTTGGAATCAGACTCCAAAATGGATCCTGCCTCACACAGCTGAAAGCAATGCAGACTGATCAGGAGACTCTCCCTCCCCTGCTAGAACATTAATAGAAGCAGCTGAGCACTCCAGGGATTGTGGTTAGCAAATTTAAGAGTCCTAACACCTGGGCAGGGTTTTTTTAATTTCTACCAGCAAAAAGCATGTTTCTCCAGTCAGTACCCCTGCTACGTGTGTCTTGGTTTCTGTGTTTTTTTTCCTGGTAATGCACATGCATTTGACCCTTCCACCCTTTTGTTTCTCCTCACTCACAGTGTCAGGAACAGTTTTGATTACATTAAGTTATAGTGTAATTAACTGTGAGGGAAAGGGATTAATGTTCACCAACCACATTAAATGTTTTCTTCCCTCCCTACCAGGAAATCCAATTTTGCAGTGCATGCAATGTGGTAACTCTTCTCTCCTGTGTTCTTTGAACTAAAGAAAAACAACAGTGGAAAATCAAAGGTAACTTAATGCAAACAAACAAAAAAAAGCCCAAACCCAGCAATGAAAGAAAATAGATGTCCAGATGGAAGCATAAGGAGACAGCCCAGGACACAAAAACAACTCTTACCTTCTGCGTGTACCTATGAAAGGTGAGTGTAAAAGCTGGAGGCACTGATGCCACTCTGTAGACAAGCAGCAAAAATCACTTTACTATCGTTCAGGTTCAAACAGTGGCTCCTAACCCGCTCTTCTCTCCAGCTTCTGTTTGGTTACTAAGCCTTACAACACAGGAAAAGGAGTTGGGTTTCATTTAACCCCCTCAGCCTCCAAGTTTCTTCACAAGAGTTTTCTTTTGCTCAGGAAAGCCAGAGTTCTAAGCATGCATGTGCACATGCATAACTTGGAATTGTTTCTAGCTCCTGTAGTCTGTGTGCGAGCACACATTGGCTCTAAATTGTGCCTTAAGTTACTGAAGGGGTGGAGCCCTTATAAGTAGTTGTATTTTAGCTGTAGGCAGCATATCAAAAGTGAGACAGATCACTTAGGTATTCCTTTTAGTAAGTTCCTAACTCTAAACCAAAATTATTTCCTTTAGAACTGAAGTTTGAAACAGTTCAGAAATATTTTTTTGACCAAAGAAAGTTTGAACTTAGATACAATTATCAGCTAGTTCTGGCTATAAGCAGAGTTAATCAGATGCCTGAGATTTGAGAATGCTATTACTTAGGATACGAATTTATATGAATAAGATATGAATTTAACCAAATACAATAGCACCTCAGGTTTCTCTATTTTTGCCTTGAACAAATGTCATGCAATTTAGATACCTTCTTAAAATTCCCAGGAAGGAACAGTTTTGCAATAGAAAAGCTGTTGAAGGAACACAAATATAGTTGGATGCATTACAAGGAAAACTTGTGTTGTTAATCATGTGGATACTGGAGAAGTCATTGCATAACAACTTAAATGATGATGTTGTTTTATCTAGAAAACAGATTCTTTTTCCCTCTATTGATTCTATCCCCTGTGAAGCATAAAATATTGAAATACAAAGATCACTGATCTATAAAAATAGATTCTGGATCAGCAACTACAAAAAGCTGTCAGCATTCTCACCCTACTTAAAAATAGTATGAAAGACATCTCCAAGATTATGACAACAGCTTTAAAACTTAAGTTTAAAACTTAAGTTTGGGTTCTTCTTTTTATTTGCCTTCCTTTTTGAGAGTCCTCTTTCATCAGCAGTTCATTTGAAACTGTGAGGAACAGAACCCTACTTTCAAAAGGAAAGCTGAACCTCCTGCCTTCAGGTAACTCCATGTACTGGATCTGCAAGGAAGACATCAAGATATGCAATGAAATATCCAGAGCTGGCATTGCTGGACTCTTGTCGGCCACATTACTGCATTACCTGAGAAAAAGAGACAATAACCTTGACAATCGTTGACAAGCCTAGACAGCACATAGCTCCAAACAGAAGCTTCCAACAATGTCAGAAATGCTCCAGGTGACACAGAACCGCAAATACTACTGCAAGCAATTTTATTCAAAGGCTACAGCTGCTTTAATCCCTGTTGGTCAATCCCTGCCTGGCAGCTAGCTACAAAAGGTACACAGTACTCAAATTCTACAGTTATTCCATGTGGGACAGTTCAAATAAAAGTCACAACTTTTCCACATGCAAAAACAATCCTGTACTTTGCTGTCCAAGCTAGTTCTGACATAACAAACAAAGTCTACAGGATAAACTAACAGGAAAACCAACACAAAATGTCATCACCTCCAACAAGCAGGAGCACCTCAAAGTTTTAAAGATACAATGCACTCGACTGCTGATGCATGACTATCTATGTTCCCCTTGTCAGAAGAAGCAATAATGGAATACTGTTAATGTCTAATTAAAAATACAGAGATAATTGTTGTTCCCCTTTAGAATCAAATTTTTCTGGGGCCAACCTGCAGGCCTCTTTCTTTCAGAAAGATGTTACCTCAGCCTGCCCTTTTTCTTTACGTACCTCCTACTCTCAACTGGCCACTGGCTATTGCCATCCTGCCAGCTGCACGATTATATCCTAAGCTTTATGATGTTTGATCCTCCACAAATAAAAGCCTGAATGCTTTGTCTTACACAAATAAACCACTCTTGCAGATCACTTTAAAGCTTTTAGCTTCCATCACTTGAAAGAATTGAAACTGAATCCTAAACATTCAAAAGCTAATAGAACAAAACACAATTCCAGATGAATTAATAAGAACCTGATTTTTAAAATGTCTTCTCACAGCAATAGGACCCTTAATAGATGATTTTTTTGAAATAAACAGGTACAGCAGCCTAATTGCAATACTTATGTTCTTGGCTGACAGCTTAAGCTACAAAGGAGTTCAGAAACAGGGAAAATGTGACTGCCTGTGTTGGAATCTAGCCAGAATACATCCAAAAACAGCTGTGCCTACTGCATTAAAGCAGATGCTGTGTAAACACATCTAGATTTATTTTAACCCCATAAAGCCTTAATAGATAACCTGCTAATATGTTAAAATAAAGCAAGAAGTGACCAGACTTTATCACAACTAAGCAGCATGAAACATAGATGAAACTCCTTTTATTAACAAAAGAAATTAAGCCTAGTTCCAGTAGGGACACGACAAAAATCAGCAGCTATTAGCGTGGGATTCAAAATGAAGGCCAGTCCTTGCCAGAAAAAGGACAATCCAGTATGGAGTAAACAAATCTTTGCCCTGCAGTTCTAAAGAATGTTTTGTGTTTGTGCCTTTTCTCTGTAAGAAATAACATTATCCTTACGCTGCAATTATTTTCATCACCCACCATTTAGTGAAAGTATGATAATCCACTTATTCAAGACCATTCTTGTCTCTTGATAAGACAACTACAATTCACTATGGAGTGAATATATTCAGAACCTGAGGCATTTCACTCTTGCCATCAGCTCTATCCAGTGACTGGCCTGAAGGCAATGGCATCTAGATGTCGCATATGAGATCATCAACAACTGAGGTGAACACATATTAAATGCATACTGCTGAACAAGATATCACTCTTAAAGTTATCAGTTAAGTGCTTTTGCTAAGAAGCAGGCATTCTCTACAGGAGCTGCGATGCTGGGATTTCAACAGTTATATGGACAGAGGTCTGCAGCGAGACTTCAGCTTTCTCTTATTATGCTCCAGGAAGTACCTTTCACAGAAACAAGCCAACAGGATTCCTTACTGCCAGAGGATGTTTTCAAATATCTAAAGATTTGCATACTTTACAGATCTGCTCCAGTCTAACTAGTTAAGGATATCCAAAACTTCCATAGTATCAGCTATTGGATTTTTTTTTTTAATTTCATTTGAAAGCAGCATAATTTCTTCAACTAGAAACCAAGTGGGGCTCAAGTCACAAGATTTAGGTTCCATTCTCAAGTATCTCATGACTTGCTAGGCAAAATATTTTTCCAGTTACATTCATGTCCAATTTCTTAGATAACTGCAGTAGCCTATGTAATGGAAATCGACAGCCATTTCTATACTTTAGCCTAGTACTTGAGGGCATATTGTTCAGACACATCTTCAAATCCTTCTGAGCACACGTTAACACTGAACTGCAATCAGACACTCCAGGTAAGCATGCTGATGACTGAATGACATAGGAAAGAAATAAGGGCCTCTGGGATGTCAAACTAAGTCCACTGCTATCAGGGATACTACAGCCCATCATTCCTTCTATCAGATGCGCAGCAGTCTGAAAACTGCACATTTTTTTACATACTATTTTTTTTCTTTTTAAAGATAAGGCAGAATAATAAAATTTGATTAAATCTGAACTTTTCTTCAAATTTGAATAAAGTACTGATAACTCAGTTCTTCTCAGACTCCTACTCAATATCACAGGTTAGGCATGCCATTTAACCCTCTGAATTACAGCCTATCAGTATATAGAATTAAAACCTTTCTTAACCCCTCAGTAAAAGAGGTTTGATTTCCTGTGCTGGAAAGCTTGTTGCAAGCTCTTTACAATATAACTGCATAAAAGTCTGCTGTGCTCTTGTAATAACTCACACACTCCTCTCTCCCTTCTCCATCCAGGAACTCTTTCAAGACTTTGTAGAATAGTTGATCTAGTACATATTCTGTATAGGCACTGTTACTAGTAGAGATCATTTTTTTTGTAGTTTGCCAGTGTGTTGGGTTCCAGTAGAGTACATGAGAGTAAATTGTAATCAGACATATGGAGAATAGGCTCCAGTGTTCATAGGGATATTGGTTCCCAACTCTGAATGCCCTAATCCAGGGCTTTGAGAACTGCAAACAGGCAACTGGAGACAAACAGACCTAAACTTCTGAGAGTCACCTTCTATACTGTCTTCAAATTTCCCTGTGATTTTTAATCTAGAGAATTAAACTGCAGCTGCTGACCTTAACAAGGTCTTCAAGAGATACTGTATTTCTGAAATCTGGAGATCTTTCCAAAGGTAGAATTTCATGAAGCACTGATATGTAAGGAAATAAGTATCACATAGGATTCTTTCACTTCTCTCATGGAGTGCTACAACTATGATTTGTGAAGTTTTGGGGTCTTGTAGGTGACTCCTAGGTTTTTGTTCTGTTTTCCTGGCTGCAGTGGACAGAAACAGTCCACTTTTGCTTGTTCTAAGGTTCAGTAAGCAAGTACTCCCCAGTGAGTTTGTGCTCCTCTTTGTTTATACTTTATACTTAAAAATCCCAGAATACATCTAGCTATTGCTTTCAATTCAGCAACGTGGTTTCTTGTTCAGTGAGCTAACAGCCAGGGATTCCTATCCATCAGCCTGTGTGCTCATGGGCACCATTTAATTCCTTCCCACTCACCCAAGTACACTCATGCTCAGTGTCAGAAGAAGAGGCTTTCTGTAATTAAACTATAAGCTTCATTCCTATTGAGCCTCCCTTCTTGGGCACTTCCATTTAACACAGCCCAGAACAGTGAAAAGTCATCAATATTTTGCTATAATCTGTTCCAAGAACAGACCAACTCACAGACACGTGGTCTAATTGGGTCTCTTTCTCTTAGACTCTTCTTGGCAACTAAGCCAATTACTGTGCTGTGCTCTCCAAGACAGACTTCAAATAATTTGGCTTTTTATATTCAAAGAATTAGATACCTCTCTTCATCCCTTTCCAAGATAAAGGAAATGGTAAGACTGTCACTTTGTATTTATCTTGACTGTCATCCAAATCAGGCAAAACTTCTATTCATGTCTTCTAATCATGCCAATGTTCTGAAAAAACTGATGATGCCCTTCCGCCCCCCCCCACCCCCCCCCCCCCCCCCACACACATATACTTCAGCTCCTCATCCTTAGGCCATTTAAAGAATAATAGCACGCAGTGATAGTGCTGATGTTCAAAAAGCACTAACAACTTCCAAGTGCTGTCACTAATTCCAGAAAAACATTGTTCTGAAAGACACTCCAAAATACTGCATCTCAGGATCCAAGCAAAGGCACTGATCCATTGCTGACCTTACTTGGATACACAGATATTTGCATATGAAAACAGAGAGCTGGCATATAGTAAGACTTAAGTTGATTTCAAAACAGCCCAACTATTCCCAAGTTTAACCAGTGTAAACTAAACCAGGACATAACTGCATCTATTGGAAAGGTAGAGGAAGCTATATTAATTTTTTCTAGCACTGGATAATGCGTCCAGATTTTCCAAAGTCTTATCTCAAATCCTAGAATATTTACATGGAATCACAGCCCTCCTTAAAACTAGACACTTAGAATACTAATTAAGAAACTTAAGATAAGACTCCTTCAAACCCATTTTCTTTTTCTGCATCATGGATTTAAATATTACGTAGGGTGAATTTGGCAGCCACACAGAGAATCTCATTTAGAAAGATTAACCTCGGAACACAGAGAGATCTGGAGGATCTCCATTAGTCCACTCCTTGCTGCAGAGGATTTACAGTAGAATAATTATTTTTAGCAAGCATGCGCACACACTCAGAAATAACATATACATGCATTAATGAGGCAACTCCTTATCCAGAACAGACGATCCCTTGGCTGTTTGTTTTCTTTTTATTGTTGATTTTACATTTTAATTATATATAAAAAGTAGAAGAAAGCACAGGTGGTAAGCAGATTTGGGCTAGAAAATTAATTCCCAGAGAAAACAGTTTTAGTTCTTATACAAACAAATACAGTGATTAATTATTTTTTTTGCTTCCCAAGCTGTTACTGCTAAGCAAGTAGCAAAAAGTCAAGGCTGGTAATTTATATTCAGATTAGATTTGAAAACAAAAAGGACAGACTCCAATCTCCCAAATGTTTTCTAGATATTCCAATCTGCTCCACCCAAAAAAGCAAAAATAAAAGTTTAGAGCACACAAATGTAATAAAACATGTTGTTTTATTACATGTTGTTGCTCCTATTTACAGTGATTCACAGTGATTCATAAAGCTGTTCCCATTGATGCCCCTGTACTTTGACTGCCAAACAAACAACAGCCCTCTAGCTGGAAGGCCTGGACCACAGCTCCATCAAATTAATCTGAAGATTTTAATTTTCAAAGGCTTTGGATCAGGCCCAGACTGAAGTGGCAGAGGACAGAGCAGAGAAAGAACAATAAGTAGCTAATTATAGGCCTGATCTTGGTGTTTTATAATCAGTGACGAAATGACAATTATTTTCACTAGTGCTGGACTGAGTCCTAAAAAGTCTTGCTAAACTGTTCTGCCCCTGCCTGAAGTTCTCTGGAAAAACCAAAGCAGACAGGCTTCACTTTTCCCTCGGTGATGACTACTTGCTCTCAGTATGGTTAGTCTCCCTCACCCCAGCACACTATGCCTATGTTCCTGACAAAACACAGACCCTGAGTCCCTCAGAAACAGATAACAGCATCCCTGCTTCTCACAAATTTCAGCCTTTGTTAGAAGAGAGAGCTTGCCTGGCAATGATAACAATACAGCAAAGCTCTGAAGGGAAGAAGGAAGACAACAACACGGCCAATACGAAGAAAGATTCTCCTGGAACTATTCCAGCTCTTCTCTGTTTACACATCCAAGCTTTTTCTCTCAGTAATCTCTCCAGACTCCCCTCGGAGATCTCCTGCTATTCACTGTGCAGTCAGAAGTCACCTGCTCTTAGCTGGACTTGGCACCGACTACAGCAAATGCCATTTAGGACAGACAGAAGAAAGAAAAGTTGAAAGCAAAACTTCTGACAAGCAATTCCCACCCCCATGCCCCACATACATTTATCCTTCTAACCTCCAGTCCACTTATACACATTATTTCTGCTTAAGAAAAGTAATTTCAGTGCCAAAACATGCTCTTAGGTTAAAATGTGTTATATTCAGCAGAGATTTAACTCTAGCATGGTGAACATGGAGTCATTAAGATTTAGCTCTATTGAAATGGAAATTGAGACAGAAACCTTTCTAGTTCTTTACTTCACTTTGGAATTACAAGAAGACAAGATCGACTGCAACAGCATTAAAAGATCCTCCAGACCAACATGCCCTTGATAGCAAGTACTTGGAAGCTTGAGGCACAATGTTGGCTCTCATTGGCGTCCTTCAGTGACAGGCAGCAAGGAAGCTGACACTCATCTAAAGACAGCATCACAGCCTGGCTGCGCACAGAAAAAAGCTAGCAATGAAACAGAGCAACAGGGGCTGTCAAGATGATGATCCTTCCCCTCTGTCTCCACGAAGTCTCACAGCACAGCTCTCTCCAGTGGCTCAAGGCAGAGACAGTTCTTTTCCTGGATTCTGTCCTTGTGCAACCCCCACAGGGCATGAGAAGGTGCCCAGATCCTGGCAGCCGTTGCTGTATGCCTGTGGCTCAGATTTCTGACAAGGGATTCTGGAATAAGATTTCCCTCCCAGTATAACGAGGCATTTAGTTGTTAACAAAAGAGCCTTCTGGGGCAGAACTCCAGCTGCATCTGAGATCTTGCCTCCACAAAGAATTTTTTTTTTTTCCAGCACACAGGTTTAGTCTGAGGAGGAAGGGAAAGAGTTGCTTTAAAATACTGATCCAAGGATTTTTGGTTGCAGTAGTTGAAGATTTCTCTCTATTCATAAAGCAGGTTCCTTCTCTTTCCTACTGCTTCACAGTTGCCGGTTGAGCTTCTGTGCTTGTCGCTCCTTTGCCTCAAACGCAAACTTGGTGTCCTGCAACTGGGCAATAGCCTCCTTGGCTTCCTTCAGGTCCTGACAGATGTGCTCATACTTCTCTGTCAGCTCCTTGTTCTCCCGGCGCAGCTCCTGTACCACCTGGTTTACCTCCTCTGTCTGCTTGGTGCAGTGGATCTTCAGCTGCTCTACTTCAGAGAGCATGATCTCCATATTCTTGACCAGTGACTCTAGTTTCTCTTTCGACATGGTGTCAGGATCGGTTCTATTCAGTCGTCCTAACCCAAACCCAAAAGGGATAAAGAGAGCAACCCTGTGTAACATGCACCAGGAAGCCTACCACTCACAATCTTGTGGTCTTTTTATACTCCCTTCTGCTCATCCTCCTCCCTTCTCTTTCCTTCCCCAAAGTGTCTTTAATCTTCTTTGCTTGGTTAATCTACTTATTTTTATTGCACTGAAGAAGGGTTGACAACCCCACAGTAACATATGCGCTGTGCAGCAAAAGCCAAAGCAATAATGAGACTCTATGCAGTCTGCCATAGAAAAACAACTTTCATCTGAAGAATTCTCTTGGGAAGCCCATTAAAGTACAAAGAAAAGTCTTCAAGTCAGACACCTACTCCTGTCCAGTAAATCTAGTCCCAAGAGTAGAGCCAGTCTTTCATCTTAGATATATTGAGGTAAGCAATCTTACAGCAATAGAAGCCAAGTGTAGGCAAAGAAGAGAATTAGTGTCAGTTTCTTTGCCTCTCTCCTAATCCTAATGTTTGGGTCAGATGAAAGGTACAAAACAATCACCCTTTATCTTTTCTTTTCTTTTTTTTCTCCTCCAGAAGCAGCTCTATCCAGCAACTAACCCGACAACAGCCTGTGCACCATCTTTTATTGAAGGAGTTCACAAACTTTATTCACCTGGTTATCACAATCAGAGGCTACCACAGTTGCCATCATCATCATCAAAAGCTGGACCATGTATCACTTGAAAGTGGTTTGTGTTCTGATAATGACATAAAGGCTCGAGATTATAATCTTTGGTTCCACTCCTCTTGAAGTCACTTCAACTGTGACTTACCTGTGACACTGGCTCAGAGGTAACATATCACATGACCTACACCAAAAGGCTTCCCAAGATGCTTCCAAATCATAGCCAGGTGCTGCCTGAACACATAAAAATTTCTTCCTGAACATAATGCTACCCTCAGAGGTCTCAAACTGTGGTTGAACACTACTGTGAACCTGTGAGACTCAGGACTGAGGCATGAGTCTGACAACACATGATTACTCAGGTCACACCAGGCAGCAGGATGATCACAGCAGTCACAAAGGATTGAGAGAGTCTGGCTGATTTTCTGAAGTTTGACGCAGGCTGTTTTATGCATTCAGAGATATGATGTGACAATATTTTCTTGTAGAAATTAATACAGTTGAAAAGGTGTTATTGTATGTAGCTCTCCAAGAGAAAAGCCCATGCAATTAAACACTGATTGCCTGGTCAGAGGGCATAGACCACAGCAAAGACAAGAAAAGAGACTTGTCTTTGGATAACTCACAAAATAAGGCCAAACAAGGGTAGTCTCTCTCTCCTTCCTCCCCACATCAGGAACTCCAAGCTGAGCCTACATACCCACAGAAATGCAGTCTTGTTTGCATAGACATGGATCTGCCCTCACCTCAAAGGAGTTACAGTTAAGTGCACAGTATTGCGTGAGGACCTTCATTTCTGCCTACTGTTCTACAGCCTGTTCCCTTAAAAAAGATCACTAGGTAAAATTCTGTATCCCCATCACATACATCCAATACTGGATAGAGAGATAATACATTTTATATGCACAGCTCCTAGAAATACCTTTTTCCTCCAGTCTTTGACCTTTAACCAAAAGATTTCATTTTTTCAACTATGATGAGCGCTAGATGCTTCATCTCACAATTCATTCCCCCCTTCTCCCCTTTCTAGGCTCAAATAAATGAAGCTTTTTCTTCCGGGAATTTTACATCTCCTTCAGCACTGGATGAAAGCACTGCTGGACACTGGCCAGCTCCGACAGTGTTCAAAGGCCTAGGACTTCTCACAGCTGGAGGTTAAAGAGTCACTCACAAAGCCAGCCATCATACTGCCTCTCACACAAGTGCACCAGTGGGCCCCTCTCCTGCTGGCAGATGGAGCATTTTGCACTGCACTTTGAAATGAGTAGAAAGAGTGACATCCTTCAGATGAAAAGAGTGGGAGAATCTAAACATAATTAGAATATGTCCTAACGTCCTTGAAGAAACATTTGCACTGGCTGTCAGCCCAGATCCCACGTGATGCACATGGCACTGGAATAGGCTGGAACATGTTGCAGCATTACAAAACAGCAGGTCTTCATTAGTGAGGAATCTTCCCTGTCTAAACAACTGTGCACAAAGCACCTAAGCATTTTAAATCAAGCAGAATTTCAATGATGCATAAAGGGAGTGCCAGAGGTAACTCACTTGGATATTAGTAATTGATATGCCACTTTTCACTATATTGCTCTCAAAATTATTTAAGTTGCCTTGGATACAGACAGAATCTTGTCAGGAGAACTGGGTAAGAGACGCTACTAAAATAGCAATATAACTTGAAAACAAAGAGTAACATGACATAAGTTTCTGACAAAGAAAGATGGGAATTATTAGGGTTACTTTGATTCAAAATCTTCTTCGATGAAGTAAAATGTAGGAACTAAAAACCTCCTTGTTTAAATTGTAATTGCAGAATGATGCAAAAAATCAATCTAGAGAAAAACAATTTATGAAAATCTAATGCAAGCTGTAGGGCTTCTTTTTATTTATTTTTTATTATTATTATTATTATTTTTTTTTTTTTACCTTTTGTCAATGCTGGACTCTACTGTTGTAGAAGAACTGGAGGCAGAGGTAATCACCAAGAGTGGACTCATCTGGGAAGAATGCAGAGAAGCATACCTGGGAAAAACAATTCAAACCACAAGAATTCAGCGCACAAATGACACATAGCAAACAGCAGAGCTAGGGGCAGAGGGAAAATAACCAGACTGGCAGATGGGAATTTATGATATAACATAGCAGGGGAATATTAATCACTGTTAGGCTCTACTACATAGAAAAATTGCACCATAGAGGGATGAGGTATCTTCAGCATCTCCCTCTCTCCACCCAGCAGGAGAAGGAAAATAATTTTTCAATCTGGACATCTTAGTATTAGGGTTTAAAAACAAGTTTGAAACTGAGACAAGTGACCAGAGAAGATTTTGATTTCAAAAAATTAGTAGAATCTAGGAAGCAGGTTTAGCAAAAAGGATCTAAAACCTAATGGCAAGATATTTCAAGGACAGTTATGCCCTGGTCCCTTCATATTCTAAGGAAGACATCTCAGCTGGAAGGATGCTTCTATAACTATTAAGGGCCTGACTCTGTATTCAGCACTCTCAAAACATTAATGATTTCTATGCACTCAGGCAAACTGTATCGGTCTAGTTATTTCAGAGTTATGTGAAATCAGGAAAACTTGCTGTTCAAATTCTCACTGTAGCATAGTCTATTAAACTTAGAAACAACATTCCTAAAAACTACTTGTCTTCCCTTGCATGTTTTTCCCTATTCCCATCATTCCCACATGCACATGGATTTGAGGTATAAAAAAGCTAGAAAGGCAGAGATAATCAAGAACAAAACAAGGGACCAACTATTGGGAACACAGTAGGAGTGTTCCTACTACTGTGAATGGCAGGAAAATTGTAGAAAGCACTGGTGGAAGTGAAACTTCTGGTGCTTTCCCACAAGGACTGGGAGCTCTCACATCTGACTGCAATACCATACCCAACTATGCTGATTTTAGCACTAGAAGCATGAGAGAGAGTAGAAGGTCGCCAAACTGAACATGGTTCATGTGAGACACGAGCCTTCCTCACAAGTCTCTGGGCCAATGAGAATCAATCATTCCTATCACCCAGCGGCACACATAAGCCAGAAATGCAGCTTTCTATCATGAGCCTACCTCTGAGAGACTCTCAGGAGGAGACACAAAAAACATATCCTTTAAATATCAGTTTGAAAGCAGACTGCAGACATTCCAGTTTCCAGATTATTTCAGAGAGGTTCTGGGAACATTTGTGGAATAAACCAGTTACCTATCTCGCTCTCTCTCTAGGGTTTTCTCGGCAACACAAGGAGGACAATTCACTAACCTAGATTTTTACATGGGAATTAAAAAACTGCTAACTCCAACAATAAAGGCTTCTAAATTACTGCTTGGGCTGACACAGACAACTACCCAATATAAACCCCAAGGAATAAGAAGTACAGCTACAAACCAATGCTTCATCTTCTCAGGCATATGCTATCTGCTTCTAGTTTCATCAGAGAACTGCAGCAGGAGACAACAATGTTCTGTCTCATAGCAGCTGTTTTAAGCTTATCATCCCCAGCTAGTAATGATCAGTATTTTAACCATTTGTATTAATACGTTCAGCATATCTAGCTCTAGTGATAGTGTTAGAGCTCTCAGTACTGTTTTCTCATGCAGCTTTTCATTTATCCCTGGCTTATCCCCAGCAATGTCTCTCACAGCCAGTGCAGTATGCATAAGCTCTGTGCTTGTCCAGCTAGGAAGTCCATTTGGGTAAATGCATTACGCAAACAAACTCATTACAAGATTAAGCATAAAGAGCTCTCATCTCTATAATTATAGTAAAACCATTTGAAGAAAAAAAACCCAACACTAATAAAGACCAAGTAGCACCCGGAGGCACTGACCATTCCTCCGAGAGAATGAGAGACATTCGTATCAAGCTGTTCTATTTGTTTCCAAGAAAAGAAAAACAGTATGCATGTCAAAATACTCCACTGCATGAGACTGATATAACGATGATCTTACACAATGGAGCTTACAGGCTATTGATAAAATCTGCTCATATTAATGCACAAAATTAACTTTAGCAACTATCATATCTCACACTGCTTGGCAGAGGTTGAGTCTAGCTTGGTGTAAAATTACATGATTTATAAGTTTAAATTTAAAATACTGCACTAAAATGATACTCATACAAAATTCTGACCAACATGCTTGACAAAAATTAAAATAGGATGTCTCAATATTACCTGTGTATATGGAAAAGATTTTCTGAATATAGAGGTACTTCTTCAATTCAATCACCACTCAGATCAAAGTATTTGAGGTTTAATTTAGCTTCATATAGCTTAGTAAAGAAAAACTGATACTGTTAACAGAGTTATCCCCAAATTGTCACATCTGAGAAATCAGCTGGGTAGTGTAACATTGACAGATTGTTTTTATAAACTGAAGGGAACCTTACTCTACTAGCCTTTTTATCACCCTAAGAGGAGGAAGAAAATGTTGTCTCACGCCTAAAAACTACTTAAGTTTTCAGGGGCAAAAAAGTTCCAAATTGGGTGAGAAGGTTGAAATCTTCAGGTAAAAAAAAAAACAACAAAATGGAATTATTAGTTTTAAAAATGTTAAGAATGATTTAAAATAAAAGCTGATGTAAATAAATACCTTATTCAGAGCATCAAATTGGAAAGGTTCCAAAGCCACTCTACAGAGTTCTGCTGTGAAGACATCCTCCACTCCACCTCATGAATCTTCTAATGAGATCACTAGCCAGCCTCCTTGCTCAGACTCTGCAAAGTCCCTGGAGAGGGGTATATGGATATGGTGCCTTACAAGCAGCTTGGAGAAGCCCTATTCACGAAGAAGAAAATGAAACCCAGTTGTAATCTTCAGCACGCATCATCTCTGTGGAGGCCAGTGCTGATCTCTGTATGCCTCACACCTTCATGATAAAAGCATACCACAGCACCTCTCAAAAACTGATCTCCAGTTACTCTTTTGGCTATCCTAGTCCACAGACCAAATCAAAGAATACACTGCCAGTGACTGTGCTCAGCCAGATCTGAGGAGGCCAGGGAAGCAGGCACAGAAGAAGAGATTGAGGGACCTGGCAGAGTCTGCAAGTGGTGATTTGGGCAAGAGACAACTCAGCACCAGCTGAGAGGATTTTACTCCCTGCCTTGCTCCTTAGCTTGTGCCATAGTTGGGAAGTGGTCACTGCTCCCTCCCCATAGTGTCTGCTGCCAGTGCTGTGAAAAGAAGAGTAAAGAGGAAGGAACCGTCTTCCCTCATCCCTCATTGTGGGTGCTGGCCAGGCAAAACCTGCAAGGGGAGATCAGATTGCAAAGGAATCAAATTATGGTTCAGGTATCTCACTGAGTGAGGCACCCTGAACAAATGGTTCAGTGGCAGCACCAGACATAAAAAAAAAACTCACAAAATGGGTATGTGCTTATGCCAAAGTGATGAAACTACAGTGACATTTCAGTCTAGAGCGTATTGCAAAGTGTCTGTAGTAACTGGTTGGCCTCTTTCTAATGCCAGCAATTCATTCACAGACAGAAAGACATGATTAGCACTCAATGGTTTGTCTATTACATCTCTTCATGTTATGCTGAACTAAGGGCTGCTGAAAAGGAGGGGAAGGAGCAAAAATCTATGACCCACAACCAAAACTTTGTAGAGGGGAAAATATCTATTATCTTACATTGACAAATAAATAACTAAACTTGCAAACATCCTTTTATTTATTCAGACATGTAATTAGTCCTAAAGACTGAGGGTCCATCTAGTCAGAACATGTAGACTTCAGGAAAACAAACAAGAGTCCTCAAACTGCTGCCATTATTCGGTACATATGAAACAAAACACTGGCACAAACAGAATAAGTGTAGTGCTTCTAATTTTTTTGAGGTGAGGTTATGTAATCCAGTACTGTAGCCAGGCTACACTTAATTAGCAACGGAACATTTTTCAGTAATTATTGAGAAATTTGATCTGGTGAGAAGGAAGGTCTCTTCATGTTCTAGATACATATAAACAATCTCTTACATCATCTTTCTTTCAAATGCAAAATTCTGTTACAATGTTTATTTTCATCTGACATTTAAAATTCTCACTACCTAGCTAAACTGATAAAATTGAAGAATTTGTCCATTTTCCACACGTTTCTCTTCACATCACTACTAGTTGTACATTTAAGAATAAGTTAGTTTATATTACCCAAATACTTCAAGAAATTTTTAAGTGCACTAGCTTTGCAAGGACTACAGACTTTAATGGCAGTATTCAAAGAAGATTCAGCACTGTTTATGAAGCCTCAGGAACCCTAAGGAATGGAAGCATTCAGGATGAAAGGACTTCTTTAAAAAGGATGTTTTTAAACTATGAGAGATCAATCATATTGGCATGCTCTTGCCCCAAATGACCTAGGAACAGTTTCATTTAACCATGCCAACAAATTGACAGTGTCAATACACTGCTAAAAATGGAGGTGAGCTTTCCAGGTGATGGCCCTCCTACTAACTTGTAATAAGATCTGTCCCTCAGCAAATCATAATTGAATGCTATCGAAGTAGACAAAAACATTAAACTTTCTGGTGACAACAAGTAGCATCTCTGTCAGTGCTGTATTCCTAGTTCCCTGTCACAAAAACAGCCTTGACAATCCCTAAGTAGATTAAGTTCAAAACAGCTTCATCTCCAGAGGAAGTGGGATTAAGAGGTTTACTGCTACTATGACAACAACCAGGTTCTTAAAATAGTTTTGAAACCTTAGCAGTGTCTGGGAATGTGTACCTCTCCCCTGCACAATTCATCGTGTTCTAAATGCAGTCTTCCAAAAGGAAATCATATTTTATAACAGCCTACTATTTTTAAACGTGTGCTTTTATCAAGCTCTTTAATCTGTTGCTATGAGCACTAAAAATAACGGTACAAAAGGCACTGTGCTGCCACGTGGCTGTGATTACAGTTTTAGAAGCGATTATTGCTACAGATACCAGGACAGACATTGCTCTCTCACCTCTGCTCCAACATAGCATGTATTTTGTGTTTTTCTTGTCCTGACAGTAACCAAGTCCCTTACTAAAAAGAATGCACCAGGGACCAGCCATTCCACATGCTCAGTGCTGCCAGTCACCATCCATTTCTGATCTAAGAAATCACCCCCTTGACATCCACAGGTATTCCACTGCATCTCACTTGAAATTAGCTCCTTCCTCAGAGATAACAAATGAACACAGAATCTGTTCATTTGGAAACAGTTTGTGCCTAGGGCATAATTCTGCTGATAACCTAAGGGTAACAGGATGGCCTCCATTTGAGTATGCTATTCAATCAGTAATTAGCATTTTATTGTTGAATATGGCTAAATAAACAATTGATTCAATCAGATATGCAGCTACTGCATATTATGAATGTTTAGTTGAGCTCTGAGGCATTCTCCAAGCATATTCATACTGACTCGTACAATAAAAATAGTGAGTAGTACAATGCTTAATTCCGATTACAGCATCACCCAGATCAAAGCATGTAACCCTTATCTGAAATTACTGAAATCAGAAAATTAATATGAACACAGAAGCCGATTCATTACTCTAGTCAGTGTAGATTAAAGCATACTTTAAAACAAAGAAAAAGTAAGTCTAATCCAATTACACTGGTGCCAAGCTGAGATCATCTTCCTGCAGCAAATTTTTTGGTTTTTTTTTTGTTTGTTTTTTGGGTAGCTTTTTTTTTTTTTTTTTTTTTTTTCCCCCCCAGAGGAACCAAATTCAGACTCAGGAAGCAATAGATTGTTTCCTTATTGTAAAAAGAGTTGTTAGCTCCAGTCACCGAAAGGTGATTCTTTTCTCTCTGCAGTTCACAAATTCCTGACTTCTACAGGGCAGAATTTGCCCTTAAGCATATTTCAAATGCAATTTCTAGGTAATCAAAAAATACTTGGTAGTGACTACTCAGACTAAGCTGAACTCTCCGTGCAAGCTAATGCTGACAGTCACATAAACTTATGTACCTATTCCTAAAAGATTACATTGAAAATGTAATGGAGTAAAAAAACAAATTGATAATTAAATTAGAAAACTGGAATCGTATCTCAAACATCAGCATTGAACTTCAGTAAGATAAATCCACATTTTGGCACTGCTATCAACTGCAGCTGCACCCTTCAAGCCCTTGCAGTAACTAAAGGAAGAAGTCTCTTAAAAACAATGAATTTTTTTAAAACTTCAATTTAGGTTTTATCTGTTTGCTAAAACAACGCACTCAGCAAAGACAGCTACAGCAGCAAATTGTTCCATTTTGAGTGCTCACTCTGTTTCTTAAGGAAACAATCCACAAAGTGCAGATTTTTACTGAATACTTTTCTTCATAGTTTGAAAAAATCTCAAGCTTCCTTTTTATATTTGTGATGTAACAGTTGCATTCATGACAGATTAATCAAAATTATTTGTTTTGTTCTTGTTATCATGCAATGCAAATTTTACTTTCATGCAGAATCACAGAATCATTTAGATTTTGAGCATCTCCACAGAGATTCTACAACAGCAATAGGTTATGTTTCAGCGTTTGTTCACACTCCCAGTAAAAAAGTATTTTCTTATGCTGAGATTGAATTTCCTGGCAACTACTGCATCTTATCTGTGAGTGCTATTGAGAAAAATCTGGTTCTCTTGTCTTCATTCCCTCTCATCAGGAGCTTATATATACCAGTAAGATCTTCCCTGAGCCTTCTCTTCTCCAAACTAAACAGTTCCAGCACTCAGTCTCTTTTTATATTAAAGATACTCAGTTCCCTTAACCACTTTTGTGGCCCTTCATTGAATTTCCTTCATTAAGTCTTCCTTGTAACTTACGAGCTCAGGACTGGACACACTACACCAGATTTGGCCTAACCAGTGCTGGGCAGACAGGAAAAATCAACTCCACTGATGTGTTGACACATCCTCACAGTGCCACTCCCAGAATACCATTAGCCTCCTTTGCTATAAGGGTTCACTGTTGGCTCATAAGGTCCCTCCCTCCAAGCTGCTTTCCAGCTGGTCATGCCCTAGCAGGCACAGGTGCCTGGGGTTACTCCTCCTCAGGTACAGGTCCTTCCGTTTCCCCATGAACTCTGCGACATCCCTTTCTGACCATCTCTTCAGGTAGCTGAGGGCTCCCTAAATGGCAGTCATCTCTTCTACCAGTCATTCCTCCCAGTTTTGTATAATCTGCGAATGTGCTGATTGTGCGCTCCAACATCCAGACCAAGAGAAAAGGTATTTACCAGTACTGATCCTAATACTGACACCTGAGGTACACAACTAGTCTCCAATTGGACTCTCTGCTGCTGATCACAACCCTCTGGAGCTGGATTTTCCGCCAATTTTCAGTCCATCTCACTACCCTCTTCTCTAAAACATACTTTGTCTGTCTGTCTGATGCTGCTGCTCTAGGAATCAAAAGTTGTCAAGAAAGTGTAAAAAAAAAAAAAAAAAAAGTCAGTTAATTACATGAACCACTCTCCAATCATCCAGCAACCTAGTTACTTCATTGCAGAAGGCAATTATTTGCCCTTTGAAGTCCAAGCTAACTACTCCCAATCAACTTTTTGCCGCTCGTGTGTTTGGAAACACTTTCCAGAATGATTTCTCAATCACCTTTCCAGGGACTGAGGGGAGGCTGACTGGTCTGTAGCTCCCTAAGCATTCTTTCTTGCTCTTGTTCTAGATATGAGAGATATTTGCTGTCTTCCAGTCTTCAGGAACCATCTACAGCTGTCAAGACAATTCAAAGACAACTGAAAATGATCTTGTGGTGACATCAGCCAGCTCCCTCAGCATTCACGTGTGCAACCTGTCCAGTGTTCAGTAACCTGATCCTCCTCCACCACCTTACTCCAGGTAACCCCTCTGGTCTCAGTGGCATGAGACTCTTTAAGACAAGTCTTAACAATAAATACTGAGGGATATAGGGCACCACCATGGCTATCTCCACATCATTTGTCACTAATTCTCCAGCCCCCTTCATCCTGGTGTGTATCTCTTTCTCAAGTCTTTCTTTTGCTGTTTAACAATTGGAGAATCCTTTCTTGTTGCCCTTTCCACTTCTTCCCATATTCACCTCAATTTGTCTTGGTTTCCTTAATCCTATTCATGCAAGATCAGACAGTAATTCTGTTCTCCTCCTGGGTCATCTGCCTCTGCTTCCACCTCCTATACTCATCCTTTTTATGTCTGAGTTCAGTTATGAGTTGCTCTTCCATGCATGCCTCCTACTGCCTGTGCTTGATTTTCTGTATGTCAGAATGGATCCGTCTCGTGGTCTTCCATACCAATCTTCCATGCAGAGACAAGGTAATCCTCTAAAGAAACATCTTCAACAGCAGTCTGTCCACTAGGACAAATATAACTTTGTAGTGACAACTTCTCCAAAACAAAACAAAAAACACTGCTAAGGTAAAGGACCTTCTCCTGTCACATCTACATGAAATCAGAACCAAGGTAACAATACAGTTCATTAAGCTTTTTATCAGAAAAACCCACATTTTTTTTCCTAGGTAACACTGAACTTCACTGTGAAAGGTAGTGCTTTGATATAACCTTGTGTAGCTTTTATAGTGCCTTAGATATAATTCACAGTTGCGTTTTGCAACAAGTTTTGACCAACTGTTTAACCTGAAAGATAGCATTTAGAACAAAGTATTTCTACAGAAATTAGTTTTAAGAAGCTATTCTGCTGGGAAATAAATAAGCTACTTATGTGTACTAAAACAAGAATCTTACTCATTAAATAGCTACCACGTTTAGGTCTCTAACAGCACAAAATGATGGCTTTTAAAATACAAGGTTAGTCAGGGTCCATGCAATTTTTATTTTAATAATTAAACAAATACAGGAAATTTTGCAGTAATCTATCAAAAATGTATCTTACTAAGAACCAGAAAGGTGTTTAAAAAACATTCACATTCAATTCAGATTATGTATAAACCAGTGTTTGTAAAAATGAAAACAGCAAATGCTTTGAGTGTAAAAGAACTCCATTCTAGTTCATGTTTCAGTGTTTCCAATGACCAGATTACCACAAAGATGCAATCACAGTGCAGGCACGTTCCACAGTCCATTATACTCATTTGAACAGCACAACTGCCAAAAGTAATAATTCTCTTTTTAAATAAAGCATTTTGAGAATTTTCTTCATACAGTACCGTCCACCCAACGTTTATCGTCCAGCATATTTAATTCTTCACTGCAGTAATGTCAGAACAGTCGCTACCTAAAGGTCCAGAGGGCATACAAGTACAGATACATATCCACATATTTAAGAAGCACCAGTCTCCTAAGCCTGAAAAAGCCAGAATCCATGCTGCACATTCAGATGTGCCTTTTTTAGTGGAGCACAGCCCTTGAATACTTGGCTTAAAGTCACAATAATTATCTGCTCAGTCAAGAACTGTTCTGAATGTGTTGCAATATACAAGTGTGTACCTTCCAGACCCACCTGACATACATCATGGGAATTTCAGTGTCATATTAATAGCCATCCATAGATATGACAGCATCGTACACCTTTGCTATAACAGTTCCTGGGCATCTCTGATCTTTTTGCTCCAGATTAAATCCTCAATGCTAAAAAGAGAAATGAAAATGGCTGTTTTTTAGGCAAATCTGTAATATGTCAGTGCTATGTTTTTTCATGTATTTATTTGCAGTAGCTTTGCTGAAGATGGACGCTAATCATTAATTTAAGCTGAAAAGAAAACTAAGAAGATACTCAATTTCAAAGTACCACTATCGGAAAGAAGTCACAGCAATTACTGGTTAGTCTGCTTGCGGCACAAAATAAATGAATGTAGCTACTGGGGTTAAACAATAGTTCTTTCAGAACTACAGTCTAATGTGCTGTAATTACCCAACTAATTTAATAATAGCAAATTCTTTCAAAAATGCAGACTAAATATCACAACTCTTTCAGTTAAACCAAGCTAACCAAGTTGAAATGATTCACAATTTCAAATTAGATAGGTGCCTTAAGACAAAAGAGAGAAAAGTGATACAACTTTCACACTAACAACTCAAATGTGAACACTTTTCTTAACTGCACCCTATGGACACAAGTTCTGAGATGATCTTTAGTTTCAAATCTCATTTGGAACACAAAGTACCATGCCTCAGCGTAAGGGGACCAATCCAGAAAATTTCAAATAGTTTTTGACATTTCTTTTGTGAGAATGTATGTAAGGCTTGGTAATAAGCAATGTACTGTAACATATATATTGGAATAGGCTTGAAAATCAGATTTCCCTTCTGAATTTGAGATTCAAATGCTTATCTGTTACTACATATTTCATAGTATCCAGCAGCATAACATCAGACCAGCTCAGAAATTAAGAATTCAGAATAGCAGAAACAGCTCTAGGAAGAGCAAGACTGGAATTTAGTGTTCAAAGATTGCTTGCATTGAACATCTATCACTCTTCCTCAGGCTGTACATCTAAAATCCATTCAAGTATGTTTATTTCTATGGATTCTAAAGCATCTCTTAATGGAGTCAGTACTCCAATGGTATATATTTAAAACAGTAAAAACAAATAATAAGGATGACTGCTGATTTTCAATAACAAGTCTTAACTGAGACTCAGCTCAGATATGCAAACAGATGCTAATGGTGCCAACTCTTAGCAAACATGTTTTGTACAATAAAGCAATAGTTAGGATCCCCAATAAAATACACAAGGGAAATTTTCTTAAATATAATGCTCAGGAAAAGAACAAGTTACAATCATATAAAAAGCCTTTCCGACTCTTCCAAGTGAAAAAAAGCCTGTTTTAAGATAGGCTTAATTTCAGCAAAATATGGAACAGTGACTGAAGCTAGAAAACACAAGCAAGTTTGCCTTGAAAAGTCAATGTAAGGAATTTTCATATTACTTTATTAATGCTATCCAAGATGAATCAGCACACAAATGAGATGAATGAAAGTACTTTAGACAAGACAATACATTTTATGCTAACGCTGCAGTTAGCAACTCATACTGGAAAAGACAAATGTTTCCAAAGATGATCAGAGAAAGTAAATCTTTCTTGGTTTTAATGTAGACTTATATGTCATAGTCCTTCTTCCCTTACTTGGGCAATGGTTGGTGAGCATCTGTGGTGTTTCAGTCCTTTGAATCTATAGGCACTGACACAAAGCCCCATGAAAAAGGGGCAAAAAGAGTTTGTGTCGGGATTTTAACAGTTGTACTACCTGGCAAGGACTCCAGTATCGAGATGCAAGTAAAGCAGAACGACCATCAAGAGTATCCAACTCCCTGTGCTTCCCTCAGGGGAAAAAAAAAAGAACAACAAAAAAAAAATTTCAGAGAGTTAGAGCCTACAGGGAAAAAAAAAAGAAAAATAAAAAAATCTCATACAGACCTCATCTCCAAGCAATTATGCATGAGTTCTTTCAAATGAAGAATAAAATAGAGTTTACAAGTTTGAAGGTTAGATTCAATTCTTTCTTTTGTAAGATGTTCAAAATCTTCTATCTTCTTTTCAGTGATTTTGAGTCACTTTTCATTTGTCCAGTCTTCTTTTCCACATAGGAGAGGTAATTAAATTGAAGAGGGCCACAGATTTTGTTCCTTCATAACATTAAATAGTGTTTCAAATAACTTAAGTATCCTCAGAGAAAAAAAAAAATTCCCTGCTCAACCTTGGTCTTAGATCATTGAATGACCAACTTTCAGGTCAACAGAACCGTAAACCATATATATATATATTTTTTTTTAAGAGAAAAATTTCAGTGAAACATTGCAAGTGCTACTGATAGCACTTTGGCCTCTAGATCTGGTAAGCTCAACTCCATCTGGAACTGTTGTGAATGTCTACTTATTTCATGAAAATCTCAATACAACGAACATACAACGATGCAGTCCATGCTGTTAGTGGCTACTCTCAACAACAGAGTTTGAAGTGGTGATTTAGCAAAACGATTTGGAAGAACACAAACAGTAAGTCCCAAAATTGCCTTTCAGTGTAGTTTACCAACCTTTCAGAATCTTAGATCAGGACTTCGTGAACCCTTCTGCCATATAATTCAGTCCAAGTCCAAATAGCTACATAAACTGAAGCAGGTGTACAGAAGGTGCACTCCATGCTTGAGAATACAAAGAAAACTCAGAATAGGCTCCAGATCCAGTGTGGGGGGAAAAAAAAGTTTTAATGTACTAAACCAAGCACACCGGGGCACAGAGGCTATGAAGTGGTGGAGCACGCTTAGAGAGTGACAGTATTTTCTCCCTTTGTTGAACTGCTACTAAGTTCTTCTCTCCTCACACAAAGCAGAGTCAAAATCAGCTGTCAAAGAACCACTGCTGAAGAAGTTTGAGTTGGCTTACAGGACAAGTTCCATGTGATTTGTCAGCTTCCTCTGTCAACAGGAAGTCCTGAGCACCCTTAATGCTTTGAAAATAATCAACCTGTGGTAGAGATCACGTTGCTGGTGGAAGCATTAGCCATTTACACACAGGTGGTCCTTGCCAGAGATACGTTTATCAGATTACTCTGATACAGTAACACCCGGTTTAGACCGGCCATCAGGAAGAAACCACTTTTGCACAGGAAAATTAATGTGGTGCCCAATGCAGCACTTGTCTCAGAAAAAAAAAAACAAACAAAAAACTGGAGGAAGTTGTAATGATTCAGGCTTAGAATCTTGAGTATTAAACTTCAGTTTCGCTTGAGAACTGAGGGAAAGATGTTTCTCCTCCTCCCAGATTTGCTACAAATATAAACATACATAAAGTATCAGCAACAAGCGTGCTAGATATAAAACTGATGGAATGCTAGCTGGTCCATAAAGGGCTGCACCAAGTTATCTGTAGCGAAGTAAAAAACTAGCCCAAAAGTAATGGAGATTGGAAGAGCTGGTAAGGCCTTCTTAAAGATGGCAAGAAGCAGAAGTGTAAGGCACAGACCCTAAGGAGAAAGAAAAAAAAAAAAAGACAGGGAGAGATTAAGGAACTCTGACACCTGAAATCTCATAGAAATTTCAATCACATTTCATAATTCCCTAAACTAAATGGTCTAAGTGACAGATTTACAATCAATCAATGTACAATCAACGCAAATGACAGCTAAATTCCTCATTAGTTTGCAGTCAAGTCATCAATTCCATACAAATTCCAACTGGAAAAGTCATGACTTTGTCCCTGATGAGAATAAGAAAATATCACTATGATCTTGCTACATCATACTTACAATTAATATGGCTACAAAACATGCTAAAGTTGTATTCCAATCCCCGCTTGCTGTTGCAGAGGCTTTGCCAACCAGGACACTGTAGAAAATGAAGTCTCCTAGACCTAGCTTTACTCCTCCTACAAAAGTGAATATATAAGTGAATATATGGCAGAATTAAGCCCCAAACAGTCAATTAATATCAAGTATCTGTAATTGTCAGGGATAAGACATTTACATTAAGTATCATCATATGCTAATAACCTTTTTTTTTTTTTTTTTTCCAGAAACAGTACTACTCGAATCAAGTGATAAAGGAAAACTCCAGTGAAACAAGGTGGCTGAAAAACACCAGACTACTAAGTCAATTCATCTTGTAATGATATTTTTTCTGTATTCCTAGCCTGCTATAAATACAACTGCAGTATATACAAACTCAGATTATCTTATTATAGTTTGTGGGATTATTCTTCCCAGTTTTGGTTGTTGTGTCATGGTTCTTCAGCAGAACATGCTAGCATAATTAAATAAAATAAAACTGGTCATAAGAGGGGGAAAGCAACTGAATAACTTGCAGATCATGCTTTAGTTGCCAGTTAGAAATTTATGTACAGCACAATATTCTGCTGCCTTGTCAGTTTTTCTACAGAATTCTTACTAAGGTAGTTCTACAAAGCACTTGTGTGTAATTGCAGAGTGTACCAAAGTCAAAAACTGGACATATTTAGTCCAAGATGACTTAATGTGTTTTATTTTTAAATTGTAATTGCCACCACAGCAACAACTCCGGAAGCACAATATTCAATTACATCTGTAAATAAAAGAACGATAATGTCCTGAGTGTCACTTCAGTTTCTGAGCTTTTAGTCCAAGTTATTAAGCCAGTGAGGCCAAACATTAGTTCACCAGCTGTTTTTGCTTGGCCTATGAGCTGCTTTGTCACCTGATTACAGTCCAGCACTAACGTTACTTCTCAGAGTTCTGCAAAGAACTCAGAGCACCAAAACAGAGGTTTATGCCTGGTTGATCATTTAGTGTGGGGGGGGGGAAGCTACTTTCAGCAGGCACTGAAAGTCACAGCAAACACTGCAACAGTGCATTTGCAAAAAAAGCTGCTAAGAATTAAAACATCCTGTAACTGCTGAGACAAAGCTTGGATGCTTCCTTTCAGCATGACAGAAAAGTAAAGAAGAAATGGCTAGAAAAGGTTCTTCCACACAAGCAAATTCTCCAAATTTCTATTACGCTAATTTGCTGACTAATATGCCTGACTGGATTACTGCATGTTATTATTATTCCCTGTAGAAATACAGAAGGAAGAAAATTAACAATGTCCAAACAAAAATTTTAGTTATTCAGGTAACTAAAACAACACAACTCCTAAGATTTTGAAACTGGAGTTTGGAAGTTTTAGAAAAAAGTACTGAAATGTTCTTAAACAGAAGCCTGCATTTTTAAACAAAGGAGCACCTGGGAATCACAGAAAACAGGTACACCTGCTAAATACAGTACCACCACCTGAGAAGAGCCATTCATTAGGCACATGAGCCCTTATTTATTCAGATATCTGCAATTCTAATACTAACTTACATTCCAACTGAAAATCATGAGTCTGTTAAAATAGACATTTGAGTTCTCAAAAGATACTGCACTTCATCAGAGTGGTGGAGGAAACGATCAAGCCCATTGCAACCTGAATTCATTCCAGTCCTCAGTTAGGTTTTTAAACACTGCTTTGTCCAGAGTAGATTATAGTTATTTAAGTTGAGGATAGTATTTATGGGGCCTAAAATCCAAAAGAGGTGATACATGGCAGAACACTGCATGAAAGAGACAGAAGCTAATGCAGTGGACTGTATAATGGTCTAAAAGCAACTTCATAGAATAAGCTGTTGAAGTTTTAAATCTGTATGTCGTATGGAAGAGCAGTCTGGCCAATATACCTCACTTCTGCAGCAAAAACATGTTATTTCAGCAAAGCACGACACTGATCACAAGCAAGAAGAGCTCTTCAGCCTGGTATTAGCTCACAGCATACCGTATCCGTGCAGTCACAATGACTGAAATTAACTAGCTTCAGACTGACTAAAGTCTTTCAGAGACGGTATTCCATACTCACGTTCTTCAGGGTCTTCACTGGTTTGAGAGTTACTAGGTAGAGCCTGTACAGCAGCTCGTGATTCAGGTGTTGATTCAATGGGTCCTATTCTATTGTCTCTTTGTTGCTGCCACTCCTGACTAAAGCCACCATCATCTGCTTCAGCATCTCCATTCTGAGACTGGTTTGCCGGAGCTCAAAGGAAGAAAGAAAGGCATTTAAAATCTTTTTTTTTTTTTTTTTTTTAATGCATCTTGTAACTCATAATGCTCTCTCCACATAAAAAATCATAGAAGAGTGATGGGAAAAAAGAGATACTCCACAAGATTTAACAACACCTAACATTCGCACACACCATTACAAGAGTCTCATGATTTTGATACTTTAAATGCTCTGGAGTCAACATGCACTCTGCATTCACTGCATCTACAGGTTGCACCAAAGTTCTAGTATTCAAGAGTACTTTGATATAACAGACTGGAAGTCCTGTGGTGACCGAATTCAGCCAACATAATTTAAAGAATGAACTCCTATTTAATACTAGCTCCTCTAATCATTAAAGAATTGACAGTTTAATTTTCCACTAAAATAGAAAACATAACTGAAAATTACATACTATATATCAAACTCAGAAATTCTTCTCTGAGATATTTGAGTAAACAAGTTCTGTTTTTAACCACTAGTTGCATGGCATTTTCTCACGGCACTTTTTCATACCAATACAAACATGAGTTAGAGTATACTAGATTAACCACTTTGAGAACCAACTGAGCTCAGTAAATAGCTGTCTACTGAGAGTCATATCATCACCAATATCCTGTATTCCAGAATAAAGACTGCAAGAGCATTCATTGCACAATAAGTGAGGAATTTTTTCAGTCTTAATTATTCATCATTCCTCATAAGGCTTCTGCTTTTTCTGCTCTTCTACGATAGTCAAAATACTTAAAAATCTAAAAACCATGTATTTATAAACACATATAAAATGACAACTATGAAGGCTTGTCAAAGAAAAACTCACCTTGTTTATCGTAAGTGGAGTTTTTAGAAGCTTTCCGTTGCCCTTCTGGATCTTCCTCAGCCATGTTCACTAGCCACACCATCGTTGCTATGAAAAGCAAACAGTACAGCTAACGATATCTCGTAATGCATGCAATTCTGAGCTGGTGTTGGCATCAACCCACTATTTTTTCTATTATTGTAGTATAACTGTCTTATTCACAAGGCAATTTTACCCTCATTAAATCACAGTAATATCTGGAACACAGCCAGTATCAGCTGCATTATTCATTTACAGAATTTGACAAACACGTTTTATTCTTACTAAAGCAGCATTACCTCTACATATGAGGTCCACTCTGAAAGTCTGAATCAATGACTGCTTTACTTTTTTCCATTAGTCAGTTCTTCCAACTGCAAGTGAAAAGTTCTATAAAGACTGGTATAAAGGTAACTTGAAATCAGAAGCTGCCTCTGCAAAGTTAATTGTTCTGTGTTCCCTCCCACCACAAAAAATTCTCCAGTCTTGAGATAAATAAATGCTGTCACACTTTAATGGCATATTTTATATGCTGTTTCTCAGCATTAACCTTTACTCCCACAAAAAAGAAAGACATGTAACTATGATTACTACTATTAAAACATAGCAAGAGTACGAGATAAAGAGTACCTCCCCCTTTGTCAACTGTATGCTTGTTCCCTAATTATCCAGTATGAAGGTTACCACACAACACACGTCCTGTACTTTTTTTCAGCACCAGGAGAATGATTTATGATTAACCCATTTCATCATCATCCACACGATTCTAACTAGAAACATGGAACATAACTAATTATATGAGAGTTTTATGAAGAGTTTTACTCTCATTAAGTTACAATAATACCTGGAACACAAGTGGTACCAGCTACAAGTTTTATTCTTGTGGATAGCAAAATTATCTGCTGATTGATATTCTGGTCATAACAGCAACTTGTGTCCCGCATGTTGTTTTTTCACAACTGATAGCAGAAACAATATATTAAAAGTCAAGCCTTGCAAAAAACACTTTTGTCAATGAATTTCTGTGTCAATCTCTCCCTTTTCTTTTAGCAACACATAGGATATTTAAGCACAGGAAGTTAATAAATACTTTCTGAAGAAGTGCTCCTTTAGAATTGCTTGATTCACAGGCCAATGACATGCTACTTTGGTGTATTACAGTTTTGTTTTTTTTTCCCCCATTTCTACTTTGTAAGAATAAAACATTTTTTTTTTTTTTATTCTGAAAATCTTAGCCAGAAGATGTTTCATATTTTTGAGTAAAAAGCAAAAGGAAAACTGAGACCCAGATGAACTGACTGGAATTCCAGCTGGTAAACAACGTGTTAAAACAAAGAAAAAAGAGAAAATCATTTCAGCTCAGTGTGTGATTTTAAGTTTGAAGTATTTGATAAAATATAAGGGCTCTGAAAGTAATACCTACTATTTTTATTATGTTGGCCTATGACATCAGAAGCAGATGATGGCACGGCGATAGAGGTTAAACATTCCCAACAACATTCCAATACATTTTGTTGGTGTGACAGAAGGCAGCAGAGGGGCAGTCTGACCACATGGCATCTGACACAGAAGTGCACATGAAGCAAAGGTGTATCAGTGAATTCCTCCATGCGGAAATTACTGCACTCACTGACCTTCACTGATACTTGCTAAACATCTATGGAGACCAAGCAGTGGACACGGGCACAATGAGGCAGAGGGTGGTGCATTTCAGTAGTAGTGATAGCAACAGTAGGTCATTCCTTCTGGTGCAATTTTTCTTTTTTTTTTTTTTTTTTTTAAACTAGCATGGCATACAGACTCTTGCTCATCGTAGTGAAAATGCATAGGTAATAGTGGTGACTACACTGAAAAATAGCATTCTGTAGCTTAGAATTAGCTCTATCAAATAGTGCTATTGTGCTTTTTATATCTGTTGTAGTTTCTGTGGAAATCAAAATGAGGTATTACTTTTGGAATGACATACATATACTTACAGGAGTAAATAAGTGCTGGGAAGAGAGTTTCATTTCTCTCCTGAGCTGTTTCAACTAGCATACGAAGAGGACCTTTAGGACATAAGACAGCAACCAAATCTGGAAGAAAAAGTAAACACATCTAACATCAACGCAGACATACTTTTAGGAAGCGTTTTTAAGTATAACAATTACAGAGACTGGTAATAAGGTAAAATGCCACCATGAACACAGGCTTCTGAGAGAGGCAGTGACCAGTCACAGGTCAGCACCACACAGCAAGTTAATGTTTTGCCTTGAACTGTCACTTACAAAGACAAATGTCACTGCAGCCCACCAGTTATTTTTCAGATCCCTATTTCATTTTTCTTTTCATCTGCTTCTCCATTCCTATCTGCATGGCAATGTGTTACAAATATAAGAACGTGCTCCCTGTCTCCTGTCTTGCACACACGTAAGGCACGGAAACCAGTCACACAAAGATCATCATATAAAATTTAAAGTGGTAAATTAATTTAATTCATCCTGTTCATGTTCTCTAGGTATATTGACTTTCTCTTCAGTGGCTGATCTTTCCCCTAAGTAATAAGTAGTTTTGTGGCTACCTGAAACCTAGAAGCAATACGAGGCATTTAGTTTGATATCCCATCACCTGCAACTCCCCAGGAGCCCAGATAGGTTCAACAAGCCTGAGGATTTTTAGTTTTTTTTTTTTTTTCTTCCAAAGCCATAACTTTAGCCGACCACAAAACTAATGTGAAGTAATGTTCTTAGGACAAGTTTAAAAACACCTTACTGTGGAACTTCACTGCTTCTCTAAGAAGTTTACAGATGAAAAGTCATTGAAAGAAATAGCAAGTATTTTATTTCTAAGAACACACAATTTTACAATATTGGCTTCAGAAATCTTAAGTAACACTCAAAACTATTACTTTTATGCTGTTTATTTTTTTATTAACAAGAGAGCTTTCTCTGCAAAAGTTAAGATAGTTTACCAACTTTAAGAAAGCATACAACAGCCATTCCCACAATTTCATCACTTTAATCAGATGTTTAGAAAAATCTGACACTAAGGGTATCAAACCAGTTTATTAATATTCTCAGTTGTAAAACCCATTTCACGTATGATTGGAATATATAAATTAATTATAAAATGCATTTCTCATTTAACATCATGCAACTGCAAATGCTGCATGTATCCACGCTGCTTTGCAAGCTGAAAGCAAATAATTCTCAAAAACTATGATTCAGTTAACATCTCTGAAATAGAAAGCAAACTTGGCTATTACTGAACTTCTTTCTTAACCCCAGTTTAATGCTAAAAGAAATTTTAAGACAACAGGTATGTAATTTTTATGGATTAGAAGTGATAGCTCATTTATTTTCACTTAAAGAAGAGAAGTGAAAGTGTAAAAAAGAAAAACCAGGATTACAAAGCTCTGCAGTAAGAAAAAGCTGTGAGGTATTCAAAGCACATGTGAGAAAAAAAACAAACAGCTTTTTTCCAGTGTGCAGCGCCCTCTAAAGATTTGTGAAAAAGTTACATTGAGGTATCACTATTTCCAGTCTCCATTCTGAAAAAGTTTAATGTTCAATAATTCAAAATTAATTTTCTTTTTACTTTCAAATCAAGAAAACTGTAAAATACCTTCTCTAAGTAAAATGACTTTTGAGCAATGCTAGCTGCCTTGAATCCTTCTTTCATTATTTTATTAGATATGGATCACAGCGTGGTTCCAATGTCTGTAAACATGAATAATTTGTAGGCTGGGCAGATCTACACCTATATAGGACTATACCCAAACTAGAAACTCCTAAACTCTGAATATACAATCATTTCCAAGGATTCTGCTAAAATGGGAAACAGAAAACCTCTCCACTTTCACAGGAAAGAGCAATGTGACAACAGAGGTCTCTTACCTACTCCTTTCTTGAATTACTTAAATTCTAAACTTTCTTCCTCTCCAAAGAATGTATGAAGTTCAGAAGACATGAAGGAAGATGGCATCACAGTGCCACAAAGCCGTTAGCTGCAGGGGACTTATCTCGGTTTAGATAATGACTTTATTTCTGTAGTCTGTAATCACCTTACCCAGTAGTTTGGATGATCCCCCTCCCCCCAGTTCTTTTTTTAAGGCCTAGTCAGACAAGTGGAAAGTGATAAATTAGGAAATAGAAGAAATTCGCACCATAGCTTCTGTTACAGTGGCCTGCCGCAGTTCTTACCGTACACGGAAATGACAGCCAAGATAAGCCATGCGGTCCATTCGGGAAGATACTTAATGAACACCAGCGCCATGAGAGCGCTGATCATAATGAGGTATGCCTGCTGAAGCCGAAGCGGGCCCTTCCAATGGATACAAATCATTCCCACAACACCAAAGTTCCAGATTATGAGTGCTACTGTAATGTAGTCCATGGCAACGTTATACGTCTTAAAAACCTCACTAAAAAGACAAAGAAAAGGAAGGAAAAAACTTATAGACTGCATTTGCTTAAAACAATGGAAACAAGTCTTCAGTTTTTTTGTTTTTTTCTTTTCCTTTTTTTTTTTTTTTATATAAACACCTTCCTACTCAATGTAATAACACAAATGTCAAGTATTATCTCCAATTATTACTTAATTAGAAACTACTCTTCAGAAAGGGGACAGTTTTACTGGTGTTTACTCAATTCAAATTATTTCACCCTTCCACAAATTTTCATCTGCATTCACTTTTCAGTCAAATCAGAAACGGACAGGAGAAGACATTACTAAATAAACAGTCATTTTGATCATGCTCATGATTTTCTAAAAACAGGGATTTGTGAGGTTATAATGAATCTTTAAAGGCACACAAAACAGATCTGTCCTTACTTACCTGTCTCCTACTTACAAAGCCATGACACAAAGAGCTACTCTTCAGTCATATGCTTATGAAAAATCAAATAACCATAAATTATAGCAGTATAAGCTAATCTGAGGAACATAACTTACTTAGGTAATCAGTATGACAGGAGCAGCATACTTTAAGATGCAGCAAAATCCATAAATCTCTCTATGAAGCTATATATTAAAAGTAAACATTTTACTTCACTAGCAATAGCTCATTTGGTGTCATTCCTGTAAAGATACAGGGGCTAGTTCAAAAATACTACGTGAAAAATACTACATCATAATGGTTTTGTTCACTTACCCCAGATAGATGAATGAAAAAAAGAAAAGCAGCAAAAGAGAAGAAATGATAAGCCAACCATGGATCACCTGGAAAAATACATACCAAATTTTTTTTAGGTTGGGTATTTTTAAGTTATTAGTTACTTAAAAATTGTTTTAATGCTACTTTCCCTTTTGATTAAAGCAGGAAGATGAGATCTCTCTTTGATTTATCCCATATGCAAAATTGAGTCTCAATTTACATTTGTTAATTTTAAGCATTTTGTGATGTTTCAGCAGAGGTTCTACACAATGCAAACTACTTCCCATATATGTTAAGGTTACTTCGATAATAACAGCATTGTAACAGAGTAGAAACATCCAGCACTAACAAAGATAGGAAAAAATGATTAATTTTTGCACTATTAAAAACCTTTTCCTCACTCTGAGACGTTTTCAGAATTCAGCTACAGAATTAAATGCTAAAACACAGAAAACCTTCAATGTTTATCTTCCAGAATTGTAATTTCATTGATGATGACTATATTAGGATTTCTGCATTCTCTACCACTTATCCGTACACATAACCTCTCAAAATGATATGGCAGCAGATAAACAAAACCAACAATTAAAAAAACCAAAACACCGCAGCTCTGTTTTGTAGAGGAGAAGCACACAGAGTTGAACTTGCAAATAATATCAGCTCAGACTTCTGCACTAAAGAAAGAGCCTAACAGTCTTGTATATTATTGTGTGGTTTAAAAATGAAGATCAATGGCACAGAACATGAAAACTGAAGACTGACAGATATCTGAAACAGAATCCAGTCTTTCTAACAATTTATAAGGTTACCTACGTATATAACTAGTCATCTGACAGCAACTTTATTTCTCCATAAAATTAGTTGAAAACGTTTGGAAAAAAAAGAGTAAAACTAGCTGAGACATTTCTTTTATTAACTTGATGTCTATCTGAGGTTCTTCAATACAAGCTCTTAAATTATTTCACGACCTAAGAAAATACCATAATAGGAACATTTCATTCTAGTAGTGTAAAATGCTAAAAATATCAAACTCCAATGCCACAGTTCAGCAAACATTTACACACTTTTGCATCACTACCATCAATGGTATTCAGGAAGACAGCCATCGCAGTTCACGTAGGTCAGCATTTTATGTACAGGTGTTTGTTTCATTCTTAGTTTGCACCACATTTGTGCACACACATTTTCTACATCATTAGAAAATCCACTTGCACCAAAAGAGGATGAAGTATTTCCTATGATATGTTTCAGCTATCACTTTGCTAACAGCATATCACAAGTTTCATATCTTTTAATTAAAGAATTTTCATTTTTCATTTGATGATGGCTCCAACACTGCTGGTTGTTGTTACAGAGCCAATTGCCTGCTACAACTTGAAGAAAATTAAGGATTGACAAATGTGGAGAATTACAACAGCCAAATAACAGGCAGACCAGTGTAGAATGCAGATAATAAAATGGGCTAAAAATTAAAGCCAATCATATACAAACACTGAAGAAGTTATTTTTTTCTTGTTAGACTTAGGAGCTCTAACTGGGATCATGGTTAACTTTTCATGTAGAAGAAAAAAAAAAGGGATGCAAACAGCAATAAAGCTCTTTTCTTCAAAGGAGTTTTCAGATAAGTGTTGAAGATAAGCAAATTATCACTACCAGTTGGAGGCCTACCATTCTTTCATTACAAGTTCAATTCCTTATAATATACAATACATTCTATATACAGAACTGCACGTACATTAAAATTGCACAGGTAACTCAATTTTACAGCCTGCTCATATAGCAGCATAGAAATACTGTTAACAATTAAATAAAAATATAACAACTTAAACAAATGTAACGCTCTATTTTAATTAGTATAAAATACAAACACAGAAAACTTCTGTTGTCTAATCAGTCTAGTTTTTAAATAAGATAATATACTTTGTAATGACAATGTCCAGTGCTTTGTAAGGTCAAGAAGGAAGCCAGAAGTGTGAAAAGCTCAGTAAAAACAAACTGGATAAATCAGCAGCAGAGAAGCGAGGGGCAGTTAAGGAACCTACCTGAAGCACATTAGTTATTGTACTCCCTCAGAATAATCAAGTGACCTTTCATAAAGAAAACTTTGTCAATTCAGAGTTAACACCACACTGTGATAAGAGAGGTAGCCCACACCTTAAAAAACACTACTCCAAATCACTGCCAGAGGCATTCCTCACATGCTTTGTAAAGGGATTTCACCTACAGCCATGAAGATCACAAACCTTTCCCTCTTGAAAGCAAAATAAACAGAAGCAAAGTTGTGCGCCAGTGCAAGAATCCCATAGCTGGGATTCTTACAATTCTTGAACAGACTAACTGCATACTGGGAAATTCTATTATGCCAAGCTTTGCCAAATGGGTCATTAGACCAAAAGACAATCACAAATTTTCATCAACACCTCTCAGGCAGGTGACATTGCAGTCATTTATGCTAAGCCTGTACTTGTCTAGATCACATCATTATTTGATTGAAGCCTTTCACAGAAGAGCTTTTGAGTCTTTGCATTTGCTATAAGGATATCACCTGACACGTTATGCCATGCACACTTGGGAGCCTCTTGGGAGGTTTAAATACCAAGGGCAAAGTGGGGTGGAGGAGATCCCTTAAAGAGTCCTGGAATTCTTCAACAGCTTCCAAGTTGTAGGACCAGGCCTGTGCTTCGTAGTTCTTAAGCACAGAAAGATTTCAGTACATTTAACGGGAATAAGAAACAATTCCCAACCTAATTCTAGCATATAAAACAACCCAGCAGTGCTAATATTGGGTCGCTGTCTCTCTCCTCACTCTGTGACAGAAAGAGAAGCCACAAAATTTTGAAACAATGAAAATCACTGCTTCTCTCTCACCCTTGATAATCTTTCTTTTTTTTCATCCTTGATAATTTGTACTAACAGAAGCAACACATTTATTCAAGTCAATTACGCTCACCTTGTAGCACCTATATTTGTAAAGCACAACCAGGAGTATGGTCATGACAATGATGACACTGATCATGATCGCAGCGTTGAGAATTGAATTCAGGGCCCTCTGTCCAATGGTATCTGTCTCTTCTGTGAACGGAGTGTAGATACTACAACAACAAAGGGTCAATTGAAATACTACCGTATACTCCACAGATTATTCTGATACACAATGCCAACGTGAAATGAAATTGCAGTAACCTTTCAATTCAAAGCTGTACAAATATTTTCTACTCAGCCAAAATTTGAAAGGCAATGTAGTATATTCTTCCTTAGAAGACCTGCCTTTCTTATTTTCTTAGATTACTACTACAAAGCTTTTCAGCTTTGTAAAACAAACAACAAAAAAAGCGGAAATCCATGTTGCTTAATGAAATTACTCACAGGCTATGAATCATTACTATTAGTGCAGCTAGACCTTTATAAGCACACCATCTAGTGGATTTACAATGAAGTATCTCTCAGTGACTGCAACAAAACAGTGCACGAGCATTCAACTCTTACAGAAACGAGCTGGGGAGAAAAACACACTTAATTACTTGACAGGAAAAAATAAATAGATACTTACCATAAATAAAGTTACCAGAAAAATAATTTTTGATCAACAACTTTCTCTCAACAAAAGACAAAACTCTTTTTCACTACCATTTTATGACATTCTTGTACAAACACTTCAAAGCCAAATGAACTCTGACTAATTTTGTCTAAATGTTTTTTACAGGGAAACATTAAGATTGATTTGCTGCAGGTTCTGACAGGCTCAGTGCTCTTCCTTTGCCTCCTTTCTCTTAACCATCTTTCAGTGAAAGTATTTTTTTGGTAATATTTTGACAAAAATATTATTATATCAGGAAACCTGCCATGGAAGTTTCCAGAACTGCAACAGAAGTGAACCTCAGAATATTATCTTCCTCTTGTATTTGAATGTCTTTCTCAAACACTCATACACACATACCATTTATTTGGCATATAAGGCACTTCACTAAATTGAGTACTGGTTTTCCTCCTTCCCAAATGCTTTGCATTCTAGCAGAATATGCCTGAAAAGGCTTTGGTAAGGGATTGAGTTTATTTTATGAATAGAGCACAGTTTTAAAATAAGGACCAAGACTTGAATCAAATATTATGAAGCAAGATATCATCGTGACTGGTCATAAGCCAACCAACAAATATTCATCTATGACGGAGAGTTTGGCTTCTAGAAGAAAAAAAACAAAACTATCTTTGGGCTGGTGAACGGGAAAATGGAGACAAGAGGAAGCACACTGTTGCAATTACAATCCTGAAGAAGTGGAAGTTAAAGAAAATTATCTGACAGGACCCATTGAAAAGAGAGAATAAACTGATACATACAGCTGTCCATCCTTGCGTGTATAAAAGCTGACAGACTTGATGGTTGCAACAACGACCACCATGCAAAGTGTGACAGGTACAAACAACATAATCACATGTTTTGCCCCATATTTCAGTGTCAGCTCCTCATCTTCCTCTTCATCTTGATCCACCACTTGCTGAATGTTGTTCTGTGGCTGCCCATTGGTCTCAGACCCAGGATTGTCATTTCTTCGGCGCTCACTATTATCATGGCGTCGTCTTTCACTGTTATCATTCTGCAATACATAAAGCACAGTTTTAACAGAAACCATCCATAATCATATTGCCATATATTAAGCTAAAGATGAAGAATGCTTAAGGTGACATTTGCTGTCAAAAACAAGATCTAAACCAGAGTAATTAATTGTTTTACATTTATACTCAAAAACAACAGCAGCTGATAGTAATTCTGGCTGCATCTAATAGCCTATAACATCTTTTCCTCAAATTGAAGGAAATGCTAAACAGAGAGCTTTTTCCTTTTGACCAAACTACAGCTGATACAAAGTTGTGTGACAGCAGATTATAGCTGATAACAATTCATTATATCTGCTTTCAGAAAAGAACGCCAGAGACATTTATTATCCTTATTCCATGAAACTCCCAAGAAACTTTCTACTTTCCTTGCCATGTAGCTCTCGCTACAGTACACCAACTACCATGTATTCAAACGAGTTTTGCAAGGTATTGTGTTCATGCATTCTTAGCAAGAACAACATAGAAACAGTGATTGAACTCAGATAATTCTTACTCTTTATACTGACATTCGATCAGAAAGTTTTAGTGCAATGAGTTAAGTGAGCAGATTCTTCTCCTTTCCCAAGGATACTACTGACAAATTCCTTTGCTTGCACTGAAGAAATTCTGCCACCCTTGTGTCAACAAATACAAAAGAGCCTCCAAGCATTCCTGATTATGCTACGATTCAAACACAAGGGCAGAGACTTCCCACGTCATCCTTGGAGGAATTAAGATCAACTAAAAGCAAAAGCATAATTCAGGAACTCAACAAAGAATTTCGAGTTAAAATACTGTGTGTGAGTAAATGATCAAGCCTGTATTCTTTAACAAGGGCACATCTAGAATTATATATTGCGTGCACACAGAGAACACAGTAGAAGAGTGAACTACATTTCACCTGTTCTGGACTACAGAGAATCTTTTAATGTTTACCAGCCAACCTAAACAAAGCCCTAAAATGCAACACTTTATGCAGATTAGCCTTTTTTTCCATCCCATCTGTTATCACCTGTAGTTGATGCTGTACTGTTGCAATTTCTGCCACTTAAAAGGCATTACATAAATGAGATGTAATATGAAGACTTGGTTCCTTAAAAAACGAATCTTAAAGCTTCAGAATTACTTCCTTTACAGACAATTCAGGGTCAGTAAGTGCAGTAGAGAAGCTTAATATCAAAGAAGTACAACAAACTAGAAGAGAGATGTTTTGCAATGCCTTAAAAAATTGAACTAAGTAAAACTGTTCCAGACGTGGGATAGGGCACTGAATATAACCTAATGTGTAACAGTTCTTAAATAGAAATACAAGTAATTTTTTTCCTTAAACACGCAATGTTTAAGTTCCATTACTTGTTCTTCAAAGCATTCGCTGAAGCTTTTTTGATAAAGTAACAGCTATTCTGGAGATTCTTTATACAGAATTGTCTCAGTTTCACTCTTATAAATGATGTTAAACATGTGGTCAGGAACTGATAGCATGGTTTTCAAAAACACTTCAGTGATTAAGGAGTACAAGTCCCTGGACTTTGAATTGCAAACACTGACAAAGCAAAAATCCTGGTTGAAGCTTTACTGCTTCCCTAACTCAAGAAAAAGTTACCTTCACAAAACTTTGCACAGTAGGAATACCTACCAAGTTGCCTTTTTTTTTTAAAGGAAACTGAGTATAAGAAAACAAAACAACCAAAATTGTCTAAATTAAGCAAGTAAAATTAGTGGACAACCAGATTTTTTTAACTCAGATTTCAGCCTTCAATTGAATTCCATATCATTAACTTAATGCATACCATAAAAAAGATTTCAGATTCAAGATTATTTCTTACTAAATTGGAAGATTCATTACAAAACACTTGGTATTTCATGTGAGGTCCTTATGTACAATTAGTACAGCTAGAAGCAGGAATAGCAGAGAACACAAATAAATGTAATGTTTAACCATTCTGAAGCTTCCACTGTTCAGCAGACTGCCTGCATCTCAGCCTCTTTCTTACTGATCATAGCTCGAATGCAACATTCTTCACTTTCATTGCGAAAGTGCTTCTTTTTCTCAGTCTACAACATGAAAACAATGAGCTTACCAGTCTAAATAAACTGCCTAAGATGACCACATGTAACTCTACACTGGAGAAGATCAGAGATTTTGAACACTTCACAGGTAAAGCAGAATTAGATTTCTGCATACTTGTAGAATACGTTGCTCTTTCTCTGTGGTAACAACAGTTCTGCATGAGGCAGTACCTAGAGCTGTCTTAGGCACACAAACATAGAAACTAAAATAAAAATCTACAATTTGCAATACAAACTCAAAAACCACCAAAGGGAAAACCTGATCAACTACACATTACTACACCAGAATTTAACTCAAAGGAAAACTGAAGAAATTGGACCAGTATGTGCCATTCTGTTACCTTTACTAGTAAGGAACAGAGATGCAATCACAAAATGTCTTTACACATTAAAACATAGTCCATAAATATCTGAACAGCATTAGAACAGATACTGTAAGTTATGATTTGAACTAATGTCTCACTCATCAAACTAGAGAAACGTTGTACCTTCTGTCTACTGAACTAAAGAACTACTAAACGTGACATGCATGTGCCCCTCTGCTTAAAAGAAGGAAGTGCTCTCATATCCTACCTGATCGGTATTAAACAGAGCAGAGGCCATGGACTCCTGCTGAAGTGCGAGCAAAGGAACAGACTCTTCACTTTCCTCAGACATAGTTAAAAGTGAAAATTCTGAAGCTAAAAAGTCAGTAACACCTGTTGTAACACCGTAAGCAAACGTAAGTTATGAACTACGCGCTTTCAGGCGAATAAACAACATCAAAAGCAAATGATCGGCTTTCTTTCCTATCAGGAAAATAGTTAATAGCAAACCCAGATCAATGCCCTTGAACCAACAGGTAGAAAGCTAGCATGTTTGATAAAATATTTTTATTTCTTGAATCTAAATGCATAGGATAGTAGCAGGTCCTCTTGCCTGAGAGTAGGCACAGACTTCTTCATTAGTTCTCACATTCACCGTTTATGTCTAAAGGTGTTACGCAGTGACAGACGCTGAAGCCTGAACTGAACTCCTAGTGTGTAACTAAGAGGGGATGGCAGATGCTATCTTGGAGGTTTTTCATACTGACCATTAGCCAACAGAAGCTAGGGATACTTAGGGAAGAAATAATTTCTGCACTCACGTACAGAAACAGTGCAGATTGATGTAGGAGAGAAAAATCACTACACCTAAGTATTGGAGCTACACCTCCAGTTACACTTAATAAATATTGTGGAAAAAAAAACCAAAAGCTGTACTTATTGATTAGTGTAGTCTGGCAGTAAGAAGTAAATAAAAATATCCATCCCCATTGCTGGGAAGGAGCACCAAGAAACGTTCTGCAAGGACAGCGAGCCCAGAGCTAACGACAGAGCTCTGCCTTTTCACTGTGCCAGAAATGCTCAATAAAGGTTAATCTCCCACCTGTCAAAGATGAAAATAAACTTTTTTCCTTTCCTCTGAAGTACAAGCACAACGTATGCAACAGGCCAGTTTCCACCTCCCTATTTTTAGTAACCATTTCTACAATCAGCAAGGTCTTAAGTCATTGTGACTTCTTAATTTCAACACAAATTTTCAAAGGTTCTACATGTTTATAGCACAGTGTTGCTCTGAGAAATAGTTGCAGCGATTTTTGATATTTCTGCTTAATGTGTTGGACTGCACAAAGAAATTAGAACAAGGATCAAAATACCATCGTCTCAAATCACTGCCATAAACGTGGCTAGGAGTGACTTAATTGCAGAGCATTTCTTTATCATGAGGAAAACAGATACTCAGCAGGAACAAAGAACTGTGCGTGACAAATCCCAGAGCCTGAAAACCACACCCAAGTAAATCATCAAGATTTGGTTTTACCGTACAATAGTTCTGGTAATAATTGCACAATTACATCTTTCAAAGCAATGATTTAAAATTAAAGGTTTGAGTTTTTACCCAACCCTCAAGAACTCTTAGAATACCCTGACAGTTATTCAAAATTAAACCAACACAGTGCTGTTCCTTCTGCACAGGAGTACTGTGTAGTGAGTAGTTCTGAGTAGTAGGAAAAAATCCAGGTCTGAAAAAATTAACTATTAACTATTATAACCATTAACTGTTATGACTGAAACCTCAGAATTGAACAGATGAGATCCAGAGCTCAAGTCATCCCACCACCTGGAAGTCAAAGTTTGCTATGAGAACATCCCATCTTATTTTTTTTTTAATTTTTCTAGAGGGTCTGGTCACTCCAGAATCACTTTAACCAGGAGAAGACTATATGTGTATAAAAATGAGCTTAGAATGACAGAAACTTCACATAATGTTTCTTTCAGCACTGCTGATCACAACAGTCAGATGGAGAAAATAACTCCCAATGAATAGATTTCCACAGTTCTGAACTGTGTGCTCATCCACACTGATTAATCTGTTTTAATTGCTACTAGGTAATAAAATTGTTTGTTACATACGGTGTTGCTGAGGTGGTTATCAGGGAAGTTTTCTGTCAGCTGCCCATGCTGGAACTGGGGTAAATGTGCAGACAGTTCTGTCATTGAAGCTGTTCTCTGGGAACCACTTATTTCTACACAAAATGGATCTTGATGCTGAAAGGAAAAAGATGCGTGAGAAACCTTTTTTCTTTTATCACCAAATTCACCATCCCCTCTGCAGCCCAATTCTTAGAGCTCACACAGACCACAGATAACCATTTTCTCTCTTCACAGCAACACCGAACTGTAGCACATCTTTTCAGACAGCTCATAATAGGGATTTTCCAGAACAAAAATAAGAGTATCTGGTGTTATCAAATTAGTTCATCAACCACGGAAGTAAGTCAGCCACAAACTAAATATTCAGTTCTCCATTCTATCTTGTGCAATAAATGAGAAGTACTGCATACTTGCTCAAAGAGTTATTTGCGTGTTTTCATCTCAGAGTACAACTGATCCCACTTCTTCATTTGTGGATTACTGCTAAGCTCAATCATCAGTAAATTTCAAGCACGGATGATCCAACTAAACTCAATCATTTAAAATCTGGATGTGACATTCTTCCTACTGTAATACTCAAAAAGCAACCAAGAGCCACACAAAACAATATTTCAGCTGATCTTCAAGAACTCGCATAACCCTACAGGTAGGTTTGAAGTATGAGCTAAGTGTACCTGAAAGTTTCCTATGCTTTTAAAACTTAATATATACTTACATTAAAAAAAAAAAAACAACAACAACTGCATGCCAATATTTTCACAAGAAAATGTGAATAAACTAGAACTAGACAGCTGCTCCATAACAAAAGGAAATAAGCAAATACAGTAAAAAATGGTGGAAGTGATGTATTTCAGAAAAGACACAATTTTAAGAAACAAGGAGTAGGTCCAGATAAGCTGCAGGTTTGGTTGCACAAAACTGAACAGAAGTAACAGCCACTGCTGCTAACAGGGAAATGCCAGTTCCTGCTTCCACCGCAAGTGGCTCTTGCTCTCCAGTCTTTTTCCAGCACGTTTAACTCACTGCAGAAAACAAAGCCAAGGAAAGAAAACTACAGTATTTTTCTGCTGTTACAGTACATTTACAGTCAGTGTTTGGAGAAATTTAGAAAAAATTATAGACAGGTGACATCTGGGTGATGCACGAAGCAAGGCCTCTCACTTTTGGCAGCAGCAAGCCACAAGACAGCTCCTTACTGAAACGTACATTCAGTTTAGCTTCGTATCTGCGAAGACACAGAAGATGTTTCTCCACGTACAAAATAAACCAGCACCTCATAAGACCAGTTCACAGTGGTTACCGACTTCTGCAAGGATGCAGATAACATGGAAGGACCATTAGAACGCAACATCAATTTAGCAGTCTAGTGGGAACATCAAACCACTTAGAAAGCCAATACAGCATTTACTAGGAGATAGGTTCTATTCTGTGCTTGTAATTAAAAGTAAAGCATGGCTAGTTTAAAAAGCATGAAATGTAAGACTAGATGAAAATAAATAGGCGTTGCATTGCTTTTAAAGTTTTTGTTCTAATTTTTCAGTGAGACTACAGAATATACACAATGCTGTTGTAAATCCTCAGTGCCACTACAAATGCCTGCGCTTTCATCTCCAAACGTGGATTATGAAGAGTGAGGCTTTTACACAGCATCACATCAAAATCCTAAACTAGGTAAAATAATAAAAAAAAAATAGCAAAAAAAAAAAACCCACCACCCTCAGAGTCCCACTTAAAGGCCAGTACTGACAGAAACCAGCTCAAATCCACCAAACGTGGATCCAGCTACTGAGGGGCAGAGAAAAAGCGAGGGCAGGAGGGGGTGGTATAAGAAGTGATAGCAGAGAGCGAATGGCACTAAGAGGCCCCAGAAGCCGTGCTTTGTTAGAGAAATTACTTTTTAAAACTCGGGAACTCTGAAAACATCTTCAGGACATAGTCAAAGACAATTTAATTCTTCTAAATGAACTCTCCAAAGTTTGAAACTTAACTGTGAATAAATGAAATCTAGGAATAAAATGAGTGCAAGCAGAAGCAAATTATGCTTTTACCTGTTTAACTTGAAAAGGACTTACCAAATCTTTCTGTTTTCTAAATAAGACTGTTAATAAACACCTGTCTTAAAAACAAACCTTGCTCGTTCCTTTTGCCTTTCCTACAACGTAGCTTTAGCGTATTATTTGCAGCCACCTAATAATGAGCCGCAACGCGCTGGGAGGCTTTAGAGCCTTTTTTCGAGCCAGAAGCGAAGAGGGAGCCAACACGGAGCGGTGCGGCCGCTAACCCGCACCGTGCCTCGCACAGCAACAGGTGGCCGCAGCCCTCCCGGACCGACGCCGCAGCGCTGCAGCCGATCGCCCCCGGCCCGACCCCACCGCGCAGCCGAGCCGGGAAAGCGGCGCTCCCGGAACCCGGCTACACCCCAGCGGGCACAGCCCACCCACGCCCGGGGAGCGGCCCGGGACCCCGCCCCAGCTGTATGGCGCAGGGCGCTCACAGACGCCGATGCTGCCGGCCCGGCCGGTTCTCGGTGGCCCCACGCAGACCTCCCGGGGGCCCCGCGGGGCGACCCCGGCCCGGCTCCGTGTGCTCAACCCGCCAGCAGCACTCCGCTTCCCGCACACCGGCCGGAGCGGCCCGCGGGGAGATGGAACCGCCCCCCTCCCCCCCTCGCTCGCCCCCAGAGCGCGGCGCACCTGGCGCTGCCCCAACCCGGCCCCGCGCGCGGCCCCCCCACACCGACCTGCCCGGACTCGCTCCGCTCCGCGGTCTCGGCCACCGGCTCCTCAACACCCGCAACACGGCCCCACTCGCTTCCGGCTCAGGCCCCGCCTGAGCCGCGACCTCACTTCCGACGGTGGCGGCGGGACCGTAGCACGGCCTTTGAGTCCCGGCGGGACGGGACCGGAGGGGACCAGCCGACTCTCCTCAGCGCTGCGCGAGGCGGGAGGAGGCGGGAAGAGGCGGGAACGTCCGCGCGCGTGGGCGCGAGGCGCGGAGGACGGAGTTGTGCTGCTGGGCGCGAGCTTGGTTTCCTTCGGCTGCACCGATGAGCTGCGTCCAGCTGCACCCGGCTCTTCCCCGTCAACACTGACGCCGTTTGCCTGGACCTGTGCTGCAATGCCCCATAACCGCACTTCATCCTCGCTGCACATGGTGCAGGTTTGCATTATGATATCCTGTGCTCGTGCCAAAGAAAACGTACAGAATATTGAAGTGACGCCGGTGGGACAGATTCCAGTTTTAAGTGTAAATAACTCCTGACGTACCACATACCTAGAACCTCCCTTAATAAAATCCAATGCTTTTCTAAGAGTAATATAAAATGAAAACTAAACAAAGCTGGTGACCTTCCCCAGCCCACAGGTGGGCCACTATGCAGCCTGTTGCTTCAGTGCAGAGATCACAGGAAGCCTTAAGTGAGAACTACCAAAGGACTACACGAACATGCAAATATTGTAACAACAAAATCTCCATAAGAATATAAGAGTAGATCATTCTCAGTAATGAATTTGTCTGTGATTTCTTCTCCTCCCTCCAGTGCACTGCAGAAGAAAAAGTACTCCTATTACACGATGTACTCACATGTTCCAAACAGCACTGAGTATCAGTTAAAGGGGTTCTCACAAGATGCAGGCACGTTAAATGGAAAAGCCCAGCTCCAAGCTAAGTCCAGATCAGTGCCATGTACATCCAACTCTGGTAGGCATACACTGCTATTCTTCCTCCACATACAAGCTGAAATACTTTATTTAGATCATGGAATGTACTGTAGCATATGCAGACATATATGCCCCAACTGTGGAGGAGATGAAGGCGAGGTTGGATGGGCCCTGGGCAGCCTAATGTGGTGGGTGGCAGCCCTGCCCACAGCATGAGGTTGGCACTGGGTGGGCTTTAGGGTCCCTTCCAACATAAATCCTCCCATGATTCTATGACACTGTACCCAGTACAGTGATCATTCCTACTTCCTTCCACTGCAGATGCAAATCTCAATTACGTGGATAGTTAACATTCCAGTTTAAGTTCTAGATCTTTCTCACCCAGACGCTGCCTTCAGTCTCTTTAGAGAGTATACAAGCTTACATCCATTCCATAAATAATGTAATAGACGAATATACAACTTTAATGTAGGGCAAAAGAAAATATGCTGACATTTCACAACCAGAAGTCTCATTAAATAATCTCAACAAGGACATGAGGCGATCTGTCTCGTGGTGGCATTAAGGGGAATTTGTTACCTTTTGCTTGTTTAAATACTACTGATAGAATGCTGTATTAGCAGAACAAAAAGAACCCATGGAGCTCACCTCTTTATACTTACTAGGAAAAGGGCAAGTTTTGAACTTCTTGAGAATTTGGAAAACTAGAGGAGAAAGGGGATGATGGAGCGTGTAACACAAATTTAAGCACAACATAATGCAAACACCTAAGCATTATACTTCAAGTTAAGAAAAGCACAATGTATAATATGACAGGGATGTGAAAGAACACACAGGGATCACATGTGCATTTGCAGGATTCTAGTGACCTCAAAGAAATGAGGTGGAAGTTTAAAAACCCCAACACCCTAATTTGTGAGCACGTTGATTCACTGATTCAGAAAGCACTTTTAAAAAAAATTGCATACTGCACAAGACTCATGTCAGTCCTCAAATCAAATATATACATTTTTAATATTTGAAATATTTACATGGTGGAACCTTTACACGATCCCATTTGTTAAGAACAGTGTTTTCAAGTCTCCTCTCCAGATACAAAGAACTAGTAACTCAAGGTCACAGTTATGTTTTCTGAACAGGTCAACCTGTATCCTTCAGTTAAATACAATATAGAGATGCTGGAACACCTTTACTTAATTTGTTTGCTATTAAGAATTTCGCTTAAAAATTAAGAGTTTTTGAGATGGTTTGCTCCCTGGAACACAGTCCTCCTGCAATCAAAACAGTTCATAGCACATTATTGATTTGTCTTCTTACCTGGGTATGAGATAAAAAATGCAGTTTACAGTACATCTCATCATTTATATCACATCAGCCTATTTATAAAAATCCATACAAACAAGGCAGTAAAATACAACCCTCTTTTTGTGGACAACAGACTGCTTACAGTAGAAAACAAAAGTCAGGGCTAGTTTTAACAGTATGGATAAAAACAAGACTTCAGCTTTGTTTGAAAACTTACGGTTTAGTTTTTGTCAACTACTACACTCAGTTACAACTCTGAAGCTTCCCAAGCATGTGCGTTTTCTTTCCTCCTTACATTCTAAAAAAAGGTTTTAAAAATTATTTCTTAAAAACAAAACAATCAATTATTTTGGAGACAAGGGACTATAAAGAAGTGATAAAAATGAAACTGAGCAAAAGATACGCAAGGTTTAAAAAAAAAAAAATAAATAGCACTTACTGAGATCCTCTTCTTGTTTTAAGAGAGCAAATTAAAAGTTTCCTGCAATTTGCACTTCCTAGGAAAGAAGCAGAGTAATCTGCAGAAAATCAACTTCCAGCTTTATTGGTAGCTAAATGGGCAATGATACACCGATACCAGTAATGGTTCGTGTCAGAATCAGAAGTCTGAGGAAACTCCTTTTCCAGAATTAGGTAAGGAGACCAGAAAACACACAGAACTGTTCTGTGAAAACAGCTAACCACTTAGTTTAAATTAAATTTAAATCTGTAACTGAAAATAATTCCATATTAAGTGCAAATATTTTGCAAAAGAGGGGCTTTTTTTTTTTTTTTTTTTTTTTTTTAATATTTACAAGAATCAAAGTAACATAAGATTACCAGAGAGCGTGTACAGTAGCTGCAGCTTATAAAACATACCGGTAATTGTACCTGGTGAATTATAAAGAGAACCAATGCAGGATTTCAAATAACTGAGAAGGGCAGAAGGGGCCTCTAAGCAGAGGACAAAAAAAAAAAATTCACATTTTCTACATAAAAAAATACAGGTCTCAAGTCTCTGAGAACAGAGAAGGTCTGAAGTCCTTGGATGATAGGGAAAAAAAAGCAAAAATTGAAATGGAACCCTAGAAGCTAGGAGAGTGCTTTATTTCACTAGACCAATCTTCTTGGCTTCTGTCTCGTATATCAACAACCTCCACATTTTGACTATGAAAACTTCAGCTTCTTCATCTAGTACCTGTAAGAAACACACATTTTATACATTATTTTTTAGGTTAGGGATTCTAGTAATGATGATTAATTCTAGTAGACATATCACAATCTGCAGCCAGAAGAAAGATCACTTAATACCCAATTCCAATGCAGTGGAGGTAATATAATCAAAGTTAACATTGAG